TACACTTCAGGGCCTCCCGGAACCTGCTACATGAAAGATGATCTGCAATGATGTTATGTTCTCCCGAAATGTGAAAAATGCGAAAGTCAATTGAGGCTGCGATAACAACGTCAATTGAGATGAGGAGGAGCGAATTGAATCCCGGCGAAGCCTTCAATGAGTTGAACATTGCAACTGAATCCAGGCTGTCAGTAAAGACAGCCAATCTTCCTCCTGAAGGTAGGCGAGAGGCGGCATCTTGAATAGCCGAACAGATACAGAGCGCTTCAAAGAAGTATATTGAACAGGAGCTTGCGATGGGAGTGAGGACTGGAAGCCAAGATTCAAAGATGGATACCAGAATCCCATCCCAGTTCCTGAGGCGTCACAATATACTTTGACTACTTGATCTGTGATACATGAAAAATCCCATGAGATAGACTTGAGGAGATAGACTCCATCCGATTGTTGAAGGTGATCCGCTACCCAAAGCACCTCTTTAACCACGTCTCGGTTTAACCAAATGAGCCCCTGCGAGTTAACCTTTCCTTTCATCTTCTTGTAAAGGGCCGAAAGCCCTGGTCGCAGCAATGGACAGATGTTGAGGGCCCAGTTAAGCGACCCTGCAATCTGCTCACATTCCCGCAAGGTGTGTCGACTTTTGTGACAGGCGAATTCCCATAATTCTGAAATGAGGTGAGCTTTTGATTCCTCCCACAAAGTTATCCGCATTCAATTTGGATCAACGTTGAATCCAATGACTGGAAGGGGTGATCTGTAAATTTGTTTTCGCTCATCATGGGGAATTCCGAGCTCGTCCCATAGCGTGAGCAACCTGACCATGTCGCGAGGGAGCATCTTTTGATATTTGTGATAGAACACGAAATCTTCAGCTTCTGCATAGGAGAAGGAGTTGTCAACGTAAATATATGTGAGAATGAACTGCACGAAAACCGCGAGCCAAATGACTAAGGACATGAAGGCGTGAAATATTCGCTGGGATGCTCTCGTGCCAAAGATGTTTGCTCGGTCGACCCGTCTTTGCCCATTGAATGATACAATTTGTTTTATTTGCCACAATGGATGCATAGGCATATGACGATATGCCTCTGATACATCGGCCTTCCAAATTGTGAGAGGATGATCAGGATTAGTGCTCCGATAACATCAGAGAGTGTTTCCGAGGTCTTGAACATTGTCAAGAGTAACACCAGCAATGTCTTCCTTTGCGATCATGGAGTTAAGCGAGTATTCTCTAGCGCTGTGGTTCATAACTAAGCGAAACTTTCCTCCCTCCTTCGGTACAGCGTGGATGGGCATTGAATACATCCCCGGCAAGAGATTGTGACTGAAATCGCGCAAATATCTCCCAACTGCTTCCTCCTTCAAGATCTGATCACGAAGGAAGCAGAACTCTTCCTCCGTCTTCGGCTCTGGTGTGTGAACATCCAGAGTCGTTGGGTAAGTCCCATAATGTGTATCTGCCCAGGGCCAGAAGCCCTCACGTAATCCTGTACAAACCGACTGATAAAAAGGGACATTGGGATGACCTGAAGAGATAAGTAAAGATTCAAAGATATCGATATGAATCGGAGTTGAAACTTGAAAGAAATCAGAATGAGTAGCGATTGTATGCAAAGCTTGTTTGTTTTGAAACTCCTTTTGAGGAGGACAAGGAAGGGGTTGCGCAATTTCAGTCCAGACTGCAGCATGACTGAAAACGGGTGAGTTCTCTCCCCACACCATCCTCCGTCTAAATCGCTGCCCCTTAGCGATCCACTCATTGAGTTCCCTTTGCCAAAGGATACTCCACTCACCTGTGCGCTCCTTTGCAATTTCCTCTATCGCAGATGTGGTAGTAGAGACACTCTCGCCTCCTTTTCGCACTACCCCTGTTCCATTTATGACATGGTTCTCCAAACCTAGAACTTCCAGTGGGTCGTTTAGGCCCACCTTGAGATCTACTGCCTCGTTTGGATGTGCCTGAGCCTGACTTAGAAAGCTGGTTGATGGCAACCATTCCAAAGGATGAGAGATGACTAGCTCGGAGCCCCTCGAAGCACCCAAAACTGTTGAACCGCAAATACTTCTGTTGTTCGATGAGGAGCCAAATTGCTCGATCAAAGTCGAGAACTCATTTGTGGGCTGAGTAATGTATGGTCCCAAAGATGTCAGACATAAACTTGCAAAATTCTCTGAGTTCTCTCTCTCTCCAGGGCATGATGAAGACAAGGGCTTCGTTCCAGAGATCCGTGGCGATGCTCCAATCTCCAAAGGTTTTGACCCTTTGAGTAGCTGTAGGTTGGGATAGAGTGAGTTTGAACCTGCTTCCAAGCACTTGGGTTTGTTTGGAATCAATGGCGGTTGAGTAATGGCCCGAGAAGACTTTGTCCAGGTCAAGGGCTCGTCCTTCGAGGAGAAGGAGCCATCGGGAGGATGGTAAGCTTGGACACCCGGGAGTAGTTGTGATTTTGGTGTGGAAGAACTTAGGGTCCTCCGACCATTCCTCATAACACTCAAGGGTAAGTTTGAGACTTTCATCGGGTGTACAGTGTTGGAACCTGTCAGGATTGAGCCATGGGAAGAAGTTGGTTTGGTCCCTGGAGATCTTTCTTCTTTTCCTCCACTGCACGAACTCCTCTCCGGATTTGACGTCTGAGTTTTCGTCAATCTCTGTTTCTTTTGACCCAACAAATCCTCTATGAATTCGTTGTTGAGAGCTTGACCCCTTTTCAGAGATTTCGTCGTCATGTTCCGAATGTGTCTGTCCATGTTGTCGGTCATTCTCCTCGATTTCATCATCCTTCTGTGCATCGTCGAGGAGTTCAAGATAGTGATTGAATCTGGATTTGAAGGTTGTGCTATCTTCATTCTTGGTCATGATTGTGAGTTCTCAATGAATGCAGAATATTGCTTCACCTTTTGATATTCTATGCTTTCGGTAGTTGACGACGGATTTAATACATTGTTCGATGACTTCTGAATTAAAGGATTCAGATCTGTCGGAATGGTGGTCACTTCCTGGAGAGGAGTGACGAGATTGCGACGATGCTTCAGCATTATCAGTCATTGATGAGAAATTGAATTTCGATGATAATATTTAGTAGCCGAAAATTTAAGCACTGACACAATGACAAGCAGATGAGAAGAGACGCTAACTAGAGACTGATACCAGTGACATACCTGACACGACAACGAGCAGATGAGAAGGGGGGCTGCCTCCTAATTGCTCAGTCATGTCAGGTAGAGGTCGAGATCATTGAGATTGCTCGGCATGATCGACAAGCCGAGAGCGCGTGCCATAAAGGCAAAGGGAACTGGCCCTAAGGTAAGCCCGCACGCGAAAGCTTAGTTGTACAGTGGCTCAAAAAACTGTCCACATGTTTTCACATTTTTCACTATCTATGATATTGTGTGAGAATATACAAACACCTCAAGGACATGCTGGTATCATATTGTAGCACCACTTCAGGGCTTTCAATTGAGCACTATGGCGTGGGAATTGGTTGAGATATGGTTGAGATATGAGGCTTCCAAAATGATGACTCATGCGGACAGTTTTTTGACTCAAGTATTTTACAGTGATAATCAGGTATTCTAGTACTCTGTGTGACCTCCCTTGGCTTTAATTACTGCTTCTATCCTTCTAGGCATACTCTTGAAACTATATCTAACTATATAAACCAGAATGTTTCATGTGTCATGATCATAATCACCATTAAAGCTATCTCCTCTGCTCAAAAGAGGGCTATTATTCAACATATCACTACAGGAAAGGCTGATAATGCTGTCCAAGCCACCCATTATATCAATTCCACCATCACCACCACTGTCTCTTCACAAACTGTGAGGGATGTTCTCAAGGCAGCTCATCTCAAGGCAGTAACAAAGAAGAAATGCCTCTTCTCTCTATCAAACATAGGCAGAGAAGACTACCTTTGGCTTGGGCCATTAAAACTGGACTGTAGAGCACTGGAAGCATGTTATATGGTCAGATGAGACCAAAATCAATAGGATTGGGTCAGATGGGAAGGTATATGTATGGAAAAAGAAGGGAGATTCTCTAACAGACAGAGAGGTTGGTGAGACTGTCAAATTTGGAGGAGGTTCTCTAATGGTACAGGGCTGCATTGGATGGAATGGTGTGGGTATGCTTGCTGAAGTTGAGGGGAGGATGGATGCTGAGCAGTATGTGGACATTCTAAATGACCACTTGCTGCCTAGCATAGCTGAATCAGGGATTGATGAAGAAGACATCATTTTCCAACAGGCTAATGATCCCAAGCACACATCTAGGAGAGCCAGAAAATGGTTTGAAGAACATAATATCAATGTTCTTGACTGACCAGAACAGTCCCCTGATGTCAATGTCATTGAACATCTCTGGGGAACACTCAAGAAGAAGCTTCAAGCCTCTGAAACCCCCCTAAAGGAGTATGGGAGCTATGGGAGAGAGTAGCAGTGGAATGGGGAAGGATTGCAACAGAATATTGCCAGAAATTAATTGAGAGTATGCCTAGAAGGATAGAGGCAGTAATTAAAGCCAAGGGAGGTCACACAGAGTACTAGAATACCTGATTATCACTGTAAAATACTTGAGTCAAAAACTGTCCGCATGAGTCATCATTTTGGAAGCCTCATATCTCAACCATATCTCAACCACTTCCCACGCCATAGTGCTAAATTGAAAGCCCTGAAGTGGTGCTACAATATGATACCAGCATGTCCTTGAGGTATTTGTATATTCTCACACAATATCATAGATAGTGAAAAATGTGAAAACATGTGGACAGTTTTTTGAGCCACTGTAAGTATCAACCAATTAGACTTGTGTAAAAAAGATCAAACTCGACTTATCTGGTCTTGCAGCGATCTGGTATGGATGCAGCAGAAAGGTGGTTACTTGCATGGAGGTAGCAAAGACTGGTAGCGACTCGCATGACCAGCGACAGGCTGGTGTCATGTTTGTATGATAATTAATAGAGTGCTACTCACGATAGGGTCATACAAGACAATTGTTGCTAGAGCTCTGCATTCCCTTCATACTCATACATAGCATCAACTTCACCATCCTCCGGTCCAACCTCATCATTAGCCTCCTCAAGACCATCCACTTGTTCTTCATCTCCTTCTTCATCGGTCACCTTTTCTTCCTTGTCAAGGCCCCCATACCCATACTCATCCATCTCAGACCTGATATCAGTCTTTGTCTTCATCACTGGTGGCTTGATTTCGACTACTAGTGGACCCACTGAGCTGTGCTCCCTGATTGATGCCATCTTCAAAGTCTTCTTCGCTATTGTCTCGAGTGATTTCATCTAGAGGGTCACGGTCCTCCAAGAAAACTGCAGTTGACTCACAAGTAGACTTGTGGCCAACCCCACCACCATGGAACCTCATCATCATGTCTCTGTCAATGAATCTGAATAATGAAAATCAGTGACAGACATCAGGAGTATAAAAATAGCAGTACATGTTAACATAGAAGAATTTCCAGTCTTTGTTGTTGTCATGTAGCAGACAAGCAATTGAGGGTGGCAGCAGTAGATCAGCCTACTAACATTAAACTTTCCAGCTTCTCGTTCAATAAGATCAAGATCATGGAAGATCTTGCATGCCTCAAAATCATGTCCCAGAGTCCTGGGTAAGTTTTCTCCTATTTGCTTGATCATTACACTAACAAAAATCAATCTACAGAAATAACTCTGTCCAGGTGAAGCCAGTGCACTTGGTGGGAATCTGCAAAAATCCACCGCCACTCAAACCCAAATTCAACAGTAGCATAGCCTGGCCGCCCCACCACCATCACCATTTCAGGGATGTGGAGAATAATGAATCCATTGCCAGCCTACAAGTTTTGCACACCTTGCCTGCTCCTGTTGTGGCAGCTACATTGACATAGAATGTTTTCTCTTTGCAGCTTTCCTGTTACTACTGTATCACTCATGCACATTGTAATGTTATTGTGTTTCTTGTTGCACATATATTCAAGTTTTCTCAGTTTTGCACTTGTAATCAATTACTAGCATGCTTAATAATGTAACAAGTCAACAGAACCAAACAAATAACACATCAACAAGAATCCTGAATCGTGTTTACCCCTTAACCCTGAACCACATCATCATGCCTGAAAGTGCAGACCAGAACAACCGATCTGAGGAATGTTTTGAAGCTCTTCTCCAGAGCTTAGATGACACCTCATCAACTGGGTGCAAGCAGAAGAAAATGTAGGGTCACCTGTAAGTGAAATTGAAAGACCGTGGCTTACTTATCATTACAGCAACCCACTTGATCATTATCTAACTGCTGCCCTGATTCTTCTGTTTGAACCACAACCTTTTTGCTAACATTTCTGTTGTTCTGCGAGATGGAATACTTGCTGAATTTGAGCCTGAGGAAACTGATCGTGATGAAGAGCTGAATGAAGAGTTTGTTTTTATTCCAACTAGCAGTCATTAGCTAATCGTCTGTTGCAGAACATGAGCCAATATCCAGTTATTTACCACATTTTCAAAATCAATCCCCAATTTCAGCGACCTCATTGCAAAACTTGAATGAGAACCAGAATCACTGATGAGTTTCCTCAAATCAGTAGGTACATATATGTGCTTTTTAAAGGCATATATGTGCTTTTTTAGCATATATTTTGTATACTGACATCTTTTAGATGGAAAGTGCAGCAAATGCAGCTCATTGTGACAATACGGGATCTCTGAAGCATACCGGACTTCAGTACATGCTCAGCGACCCCATCAAGGATCATTTTGACCCCCCAATACTCAAGTCTCACAGCAAGGCCTTGCAAGGGTGGAACCACCCACAGACTGCACGACTCTTATCTCCCACACAGGATATTACTGAATTTGATATGGACCCACAGTATGTACTTGTACGTGATCAAGACTGACACTAACATTCAACTTCAGAGCTTATATGGACAAGGTCAACACAGGGGAGAAGAAGATCAGTGCGAAGCAGTGGCCATTAATGTTCTATGACATGAGCCTGTACGACCCAAAGAACAAGAAGAAGGGATTCCTCCAAAGTCATGTCATGATACAGGTATTGTTTTTGAGCTACCAGCACTATTTTTTTAACCTCCTTTGTACTAGGCATGGCACCATATCTTTACAGGTCCAATGTCTGCTCTATCAAAAGAGCACATTAGCCACTTGTCAAAGCCTGGGAAGGGGAAAATGCATCATCTTACGGAACCAGGAATCAGAAATATTATGTATGCTGCCTGTCAGGTAAGTGATTCTATTCTGATAGTATCTACTACATCTGAATCATGTGCATCAGATGGATTTCACAGCTAGGAATGTGGAGTCATAGACACCTGTCATTGGGGCCATAGACCTTGGTGATCTATACTACAGAGCCGTGGACGCCATCCAGGATAGCACTGACCAACAGTGGGTCAAAGATTTGATGAAATTTTGGAAGGAGTAAGTGTGCTGTTTTTAAAAAATTATTGCCTGAGATAATGATGATGGATGCAGTGCAGGCCATAGTGTCAGATTGAAGCATAAAGGTGTGTGATTAGACAGAGACCTTGATGCAAAATGTGTCTAGTTCTCTGACATGTGTAGGTTGATGCTTCAAAGTTTCTCATGATGCATAAGATGTTTGAGTTGGGATGTGCCAAGGATGCACTGGCTCCTCCCATTTCTAATATATGCTTACATACTTCTCCCACAGCTTCTCTTCAAATTCCGGACCTCTTGGAGCTCCGTGGGAATTACCCCACAACACCAAAAACATCGCCCATTTTGGGAATCTCCACAATATCAATTATTCCCACACCCTTCCCACCTCACTGCAGCTTCACCACCACACCACAACAGGTCCCCCTTCATATATAAGTAGTAGTTTAGTATATATATGCATAATATAATATAATAGACCGCTTTTTTGTTTATTTGTGTGACAGCTCCCCCTCCAGGGCCCTTTCAAAATAGGGTGGGGTACAGAACACTTTCGCATTTTTGCCCCTTTAATAGGGAAGTTTTCTATAATATTCAGAACATGTTTATGAAGAGATTCCCATCTTTATTTGACCCCCTGAAGTGTCCTACATCAATAGATATAGCACATATACAGGAAAACACAAAATATGTTCCCATTTGATTATTTCTAGATGGATGAACTTGGAAAAATTATACCCAGCATCTATTCAACATGAGGAACAATGTATAAGGAGCCCAGGACCACAGGACAAGACCTTGTTGTATAGTGTACCCCCCTCTCCTGGTGGTTTACCCCCTGTGAAATTTTTTCCTGTAGGACCAGACCTCAAGGATGGTAGGGGGTCTACTTCTATGTATATTTGTAGTGAATACATCACATAGCTAGCCCAGGAAACCTACAGGAACAAAATTTGATAAATCACATTTTTCATGTTTCTGACTACTCTATCCTTGCATGAATAATCAAATCTGTTCATATATCATTAGAATAGCATATATATGTGCTTTTTATGACCAGGATCAGCTCAAAATAGGCTGTAGTTTTGAGATAGTGTATATACTTGCTATTTCTACTGATAAAAGGCCCATACCTTCAAATTATCGAATTTTGATGATCAGACACCTAGAGTACATTTCACATATATTCAGTATCATGTACCTAAAAGTACAGAAAGATCTGCGCAGAATTGAGAGCTGGGGAAATGAAATAGATAAGAAATTGAGTGTAGGAAACTTCAAATGACCTGAAGTTCGAAACATTGAAAATAGTCAGTTGGTGTATACATTGCTATGAGCCACCCATTCAAACACTTCTACACTACATCCCTCCCACTACCACTCTACCCTCAGGGCAGTATGTAGTATAGGTTCCTTATGTAGTCTATCATGTATCCTACACATTTTTTAATGAAATCTTCGACCTGTATCATATATAAATGTGACTTTGTGTGACCAGATGTCAATTGTCACTTTTCACATATATGTTATTTTACTCATCATTCACTCAATCCTTGAGGGATCTTTCTAAATCTTTGAGGCTATAATCAGGGATATATATAAGAGGTATCCCAGGTGTCTTATCACTGATAACACCCTTTATTACCATGTGGGCTTCTGATCAGTAGAAATACCCCCTTTACATCAGATCTCAAATTTTCGCCCTAGATCTCACTAATCCTTAGCATAACAAACATGTAAACATGTATTAATGATAGTCTCTGAGTAGCTTGGATAATCTATGTAAGGGTGGGGTGGTAAAACACATCAAAAATGTCACAATTGTGATTTGTCAAGTTTTGTTCTTGTAGAAGGATCCTGTAGGTGTCATGGGCTAGCTATGTGATGTATTTACTACAAATATACATAGAAATAGACCCCCTACCCTCCTTGAGGTCCGGTCCTACAGGAAATTTTTTCACAGGGGGTAAACCACCAGGAGAGGGGGGGTACACTCAGGCTACCTTGTCATTATAATGCATTAATTGATGATAATTACAAGACTGATGTAATGCATTAACTATTGTAACTATCAGTATAGTGCAAAACAGGAAAAACTGACCTCTGCCACAGCATCAACACAGATCCCTTTCTACATCGCCCCATTCCATCTGATTTCCACCAAAACTAGTGGAAACACCTCTGTTCGAGCCTAGTGACAAACCTATCTGATTACTTTCTTGAAATTCCTAGATTTAAAAAAATGACGGTCTCAAATTGAGACTTCCCATGCCACCAGCACTGCCACCTTCCTTATTTGGTAGTCACTCCTCCTCCCCATTGCTTGCAGTGAAGAAAAAACATGTTTGTGGCCTCTGCTGGACCATCGTAAATGTACAAAATACATGTACTTATTCAGCGTAGTTCAATGTATCCATTTCAGCCATGATTCCCGCACCAACTTTGCAATGCAAGCAGTATTTCTTCACAGCATATTCAGCTTGCTTAGCATCAAGACCCTTCCTGCATGAATGCGGGTGCTGAGAGACTGGAGGCAAACTATAGCATTGAAATGCTCACCTACAGGTGTCCATATAGCGCCATGTTTTGCGGTAAAAGGCCCAGATAACTTTGGTAGGGCATGCACCCAGTATCTCAGGAACAAGTCTCCTCGCAGTTGGAAAAGTGCCATCTGCAAGCACTCGTAAGCCTTCCGGACTCGTCAGAATATCACTAGATGGCACAGGACTGTTCAACTCACGGATTTTAACCCATCCCCAATACATCTCAATTGGATTTAGCTCACAACGGAACTTTGGCAGAAAATAGCACTTGTGCCCAGCAGCCTCGATGACAAGCTGCAACTGAGGCTTCTCTGCAAGAAAATTGGCCTGGAGTGAGAGCACCTTGTGCATGCAGCATGTTGTCGACTCGTTCAGATGAAGATTGTCTTCAGGAGCTGCATTTTCATCCTCGGCATCATCAAATAGTGACTGCGCAGCAGCACTTCGAGCGAGCGTGGTGCGGGCCTTTTGTGACATCTTGCATGATGCGCAGTCATCAATAAGGGCTTTCCCATTGTTTCCAGCACACAACCTGTCCCAAAGGCCACATTCTTCAAGCACGACCTTCATCCCTTTCGGTTGGCCACAGAATTCGTGGAATGGATGGTCGGATGGTAAATTCTCCACAAAACACATATCCTGAGCCACTCCACGAAGAGCAGGGTTTGGATTGTCAGCAGGAATAGTGGTGGAATGCATGTGACGCTGCTTGCCACCAGGTTTGACATTCATCTTGTTTGCATTTAATGCGTTCACCGCAAAAGCACCGTGAGCAGCAGATTGATCAAAGAAAAACTCAGCGACGGCATCGGGATAAGTCCGCTCGAAGAGCAGAATAACTTGTTCAACCTAACATTAATTAGCACACATCATTGTGACAGTGTAATGCAAATATTGCTTCGTACTTGTTGAACAAGCATCTCAGCTGTCCACCAACCATCTGCATTCTTTCCTGGAAAAATTATCTTGCGAGAATCATAACATTTAAGGTGTTTGTTCACGGGCAATGTGGTGTCCTCAGCTATCTAAGTGACAACATTAGTCAAAGAACCACAAACGTGAGAGCTGGAAAAACCTGTTCTTCCGACAGACTCAATCGACCTGTCTCTTCTGTTATGAAGTCCGACACGTGAATTGCTTTCCCTTGACCCTTCTTTCGCAGTGGCATTTTCCCCTCCTTTGTCCAAACCCTTTGCTGCAGTTCATTGGACCTGAATATGCTCTCGTCATGATGCACCGGAACATGTTTTCGCTCGCCAGGAAGCAAGGTTGGCTCTATGACATCTAAGGTTTTGTCATTATACATGTTCCGTAGGTGTTCATTCTCAGCCACTTGGGCTAAAAATGCTTTTCAGTATTCCACAACATCAGCACGCTCGTGGCCATCAACATATATCCCCTTCTTTACACTGGTGAGCTCATAGCCTAATTTCTTCAACCAACGTCTCACACAATTTTCGGAGATTGTGTTTTTCCCCAGGTCAAGACCCAGAGCAGGAATGATTGTTTCATTGACTTCGTGCTGAAGTTTGCATGGCATGATCTAGTAAGTGACATCAATTTTCTATCATTCTTTAGGATTGGGTGCACTACTAACTTGTCCAGCCTCTTGTACAGTCAAGAAACAACGAACGGATTGGTGCACTTGCTCATTATTCAACAGTGACAGGTGCGCATGGTGTTTTCCAGCTTGAGATGGTGGGAGGGTTCAGAATCTACAGATGTAGATGATGAGGCAATGAATCATGCGAGCAAGGTAAGGCCCCTTACCCACAGACTTCACAATAGCAAGGCTGGCTCATGTTGCAGGATTTTTGATGTTGGGGATTCGCCGATAGCGCTCAAGCAACTCCAGATAATTTGTGACAGCATGGAGCTTGAATTGTGCACTGAAGGACTTGTGCTTTGTAGCATCTTTGATTAATCCTTCAATGACCTTGCCTATTGGAACATCGAGAGGATCCAGCTCGTCGTCTGCAGTAGGATTGAGGAATGAGGCAGCCTCCGGCACTGGCTCTGTGTTATTGTTAGACGTAGCAGTGTCTGACAGCAGCTCAGGGGCTGTGTCATGAGATTGTGTTGGTGGTGCGGGTGGCTCCAAGAAATTGACCCATTGGTCTGAGTCTTCCATGTCAGAAGGTGTGTCCGAGTCTGACTCGGAGGATATGCTATCTGACTGCCGGACCTCGATAATAGGCTGGGAAGTATGTGGTACTACTGAAGTGGAGCACCGAAAGTAATTGCTGAGTTTTGCTGTCCCAACTGCTGCTTTGCAAAGTTTGCTTTGCTTTTGGTAGAAACTGCTTTGGCTCGTACCAGTGTAGCTGCCTGTTAAGGTCGTGCTCAAGGGAGAGGTTATTCAAAGGGCTTCGGCTTCAGCTCGTGCGCTGCGCCCCTTACCTGAGTATGTGCCCTTTAATTTCCGGGGGACAGAGGGGAAGTCCAACGGAAGTCCGGGGAGTTCCGGAGGACTTAGTGTCGGTGGAGTTTGGTGGAACTCCGGAAGGTTTATATGGGGGACGAAGTAAGGCTACTATGGAAGTCCGGAGTAGAAACTGAATAGGGGTTAGACTACCCTAAGGTAGAGCCGGAGAAGTAGTCCTAAGGTTTAACCCCTAAGACTCGGAGGTGGACAAGAGGTGAGACTCAAGTCCAGAGATTGCAGGAATGAGCAGAACTAAGATGATATTCGAACTGAGGAGTTCTGGAGTATTACAGGGGTTTATATACTGTAGGTATCATGTAGGTAAATCAGTCAGCAAAGGCAAGGGCTATGTACGAAGCATGTGGAAAGTCTATTACTAAGTATAACAGATCAAAGCAGTGAAGTCAGAAATGAAGTAAGAATGGATGGATCAGTAAGCATAGTGGAATAGGACATAACCGGTAACCGGAGCAATAGCTAATCTAAAAGGAGTTAGGGGTGAGTGTGGAGATGAAGGCGGAGCGCCGGGCGGAATAGTAAGACGGAGGACCAGACTTTAATGGAGTAGATCCGGAATTCCGGATCCAGAGGTACGGGATATGACACTGCCCTTGGCTTTAAGAGGGGCAGCATTGAGATGGTTGACAGGTTTGGTAAATATTTTCTGCCAGAATTCTTCAGCAGCGGCTAGTATCTGGTGAGCTTTGAATTCTTCGGTACCCTCCTCATCAGATGCCTTGCAACTTTGGGTATCACCAGCAGCCTTTCATTTCTTGCCACCATCACCATGATCCAAGTTGTCATTGACAATAGGACCATGCCATTCTCTATCATCCTCGAAGTCAGAGATGGCACCAAGGTCTGTGATGTCATGCTCTAGTAAGCTGACAATCCAGCCTTCACCATCCAAGTCTGAACCTGAATCTTCTTTGTTGATATAGTCCATGTCATCTGGGTCCTCGACATTGTCAATATAATCTTTACTAAAGAATTTGCTGCCAGGAGCTCACTGAGCCTGGGCCCGCCGAGCCTTCTTGTTTTTCCAGGGCATGTTTAGATGGGAGATTGGCGCACGAACATATTGTTTTTTTTGTGAAAAATTGGGACTGCTTACATAATCTACACCAATTTTTTTATTGCAGATTCATGATCTTTTGACCCAGTTGCACGCCAAAAATGTCAAAAATTTCCTTATCACACCACAATTGAGTTTGCAACAGAGAGGCCTATGCTATCTGTTTTGCACTGTACACCAAACCTGTAACCTAGGTTACCTTTCATTAAATTCTCCAAGACAGAATATAATCCTAGCTAATCCTAACTAACCACTAACTACTAACCACTAACTCTCTAACCTCTAACTCACTAACAAACCTACTAACCTTCTAACCCTCTAACATCTAACCTCCAATCCTCTAACCAAAATTAATAATGATCACAAAGTATTAAAAGTAAATTAAAAGTAATGCATCATTGGCATTACAATTGTTAATGCATTATTCCCACAGGGTGAGGTGGTACACTATACAACAAGGTCTTGTCCTATGGTCCTGGGCTCCTGATACATTGTTCCTAATGTTGAATAGATGCTGGGGATCATTTTCCAAAGTCTGTCTACCTAGAAAATGAGCATATGAAACATATTTTGTATTTTCCTGTATATATGCTATATCTATTGACGCAGGGCGCTTCAGGGGGTCAAATAAAGATGGGAATCTCTTCATATATACTCCTAAACATGTTCTTAATGCCCTGGAACACTTCCCTATCAAAGGGGAAAATGTGCGAAAATGTTTTGTACCCTACATCATTTTGAAAGGGCCCTGGAGGGAGATCTATCACACAAATGAATAAAAAAAGTGGTTCATTATATTATATTATACATATATATACAAAAATACTACTCAGATACAAGGGGACCTATTGGTGAAGCTGCAGACAGTAGGGAGGGTGTGATATTGTGGAGATTCCCAAAATGGGCGATGTTTTTGGTGTTGTGGGGTAATTCCCACACTGTGCCTGGAAAATGCGAAAATATCATGTGTGGGAATATTGTGGACCAAACACTCCAGCTTGACGCTTCATGGTCAAAGGGATTAGTCGGGTGGGCAGTGTCTCTGACTTGATGCTTCACTCTCACAAGTTTAGAGTCATTTTTACATCAAGGCTTGTGTCTAATCTGACACTTTGAAGCTTCAATACTACAGGTACAGATGGTATCGGTAGTCAGTTCTTGCAACGCTTCCCCTGCTTGTCATCTCAGTCGCTTTATGTGTCTCCTGTGTCGTTGTGCAGTGCTAAAGGGTCTTTTTCTATTGCACTTTATAACTAATTCATCAGCGCCTTCTGTCTTCACTTGGTGTGCATTTGTGATCTGATGATAAATCTCAGGGATCCCTTGAAGATCGCTATCATATAGTTACAGATGCAACCATCCGCCCTCCGTGCACCGACACACGGCCTTTTTTTTTACCTTCCTTGGCATTCACTTTTGTCATGGAATCCACCCTCGAGCACCTCCGGAGTCCCGGCTTCTGACATGCACGTCGTCACTGCATTGCGTTGAAGTAGAGCCGTTGCAACGAGCTGTGGAATGACTACACTTAAGGATGATCTCCTGGTCTCCGGCCAGAAGTCAAGATTCAGTATTGGAACCATGTGCTGGAGGGGGTTGATTAAATAAGCTTGTCCCGGGTTTGAATTTCAACACGTTTCTATTAATCATCATATTACCATCCAGGATATCCTGAGTCCACCTCGGTGCCATTCTTAAAAGCTTAAGATATTCGGCGGAGTTTCATAACTAGTAGTGCATGCTGGCAGATCTATGGCCGGCGGCCTTCCTGTTGGGCGGCTATTATAAAGTTGCGAGATCTTGTTCAGTTTCAAATGGCACTGATTCCGGTGAGCTGTCGTGGGCTAGCACGACCCCGCCCACAATTTGAATTTGCATCATCAACTAGTACCTGGTACTACGGGGTACTACTTAGTTCCCGCAAGCTATCGCACCAGCAAAACCGACGACAACGGTGACTTCCCGTAAGAATTTACAGAAACAAGCTTGTCTGTATAAGTTTGACCGCTCGACATCGGCTAATTTACGCACAGAATCTGTAAACCGTAAGAACTCTGCAAGACGCTGCAAGACGATGGACTGGGAACAACACCAATGATCCGGACGACAATTCCGTGAGCGAACTTGGAGCGAACCATCTAAAAAGAGTAAGAAAATTACCCGAATCAGACATTTAGTGCGCTCCGACAATTTACAGACATCTATGGAGGAGTAGCAAACCTCTCCTTATACATTAACAGATTTACAGACGAGTGCGAGAGTAACCGTTTGACAGGCGTTGACAGCTGCCTTCCAAGTCCAGCGCGGCTATTAGGCTAAGGCATGAGGATCTACAGGAATTCGTCTGCAAAACCTTACGGGAAGTGACTCTCAACGAATATGTGTCTGGTCTCACGAATTATTGTAAGTAGGTCAGACTGCCGCACGCGCATAACCGTTACACCAAAAGGTAGAATACTGAAAGCTTAGCTTTCAGTATCAACGACAGTATATATACTGAGTATGGGAACTCAGGTAAGCCAGCGTGCTTACAATTATCGGCTGTTCGGCGCGTTACCCCCCCCCTCTTGGTACCTCCGAAGCCAGTCACTACCAGTCCTGGCGTAGAGGAAAAATCAAATGTTCACTCGGACTGATTCCTCGTCTGCTTGCAGACTTCAATTACTCCATGGACGAGCGAATCATCTCGGGCCAGCATGAGCACCAGGTTTGGGTTACCAGCGTGTCATAGTTGGTATAACTTGAACACCCGATCAATGAGTTCCCTCCAACCATTGTTTACTCTTCCCGCATCAGTCATGCTGCAGCTGCCTGACCTACTCACTTCTGATAACGCGCAGCCCCTCCTCGCTGCGTCTTGTCTTGCGGTAGCACTCATCGTTCGCGCTTACCTTGCTAAATCAGATACCAGCCTTCCTCTCCCACCGTCCCCTCCCAATTGGAGACTTCGGGGTCACTTAGTACCCTTACCGCAAGTAAGTTGTTACATTTGACTTCTTGGGTTTTGATGTTAACCGTGACCCATCGCCAATCAGGTCTTTCATCACTGTGGCAAGATGGATCGACGAGTTTGGTCCTCTCGTCACCATTCGTCAAGGAACCGAGAAAATTGTTATTATCGGTCGCCATAAAGTCAGTCCTTCCACGCTGAGTTTGTCACATCAAGCTCAACATTCTATTGCAGGCCGTGGTGGATATCATGGAGAAGCAGGGCGGAGCGTCAGCTGATCGTCCTCCCATGATTTCTGCTGGAGAAATGCTTAGCGGCGGACAGTCTATCGCCTTTTCACATGCTGGCGACAGGTTGCGTCTGATGCGTAGGTTCGTAGTTCATGATTTTGCGCAAACAGCATATATCTTACGCGCAACGTAATGTAGAGCACTTCATTCCCATCTCCAGCCTAGAACGGCTGAGGCGTATGAACCCCTGCAGTTTGCTTACGCAAAGAACGCGGTCATCGACATTCTTGAGGATCCACACAACTTCCAGAACCATGCGTTGACGTAAGTTCTCTCTTTTCAGACCATGATAGTACACTACTTACGGGGACTTCTGAAGTTTCACTGCGTCGACGATTATGAAAATTGCGTATGGAAAGACCACCCGCACGTATGCGACTGATCCCGAGGTCAAGGATGTTCGCCGGCGCTTCATGGCATTGAGTGTATCTATGCGCCCTGGCGCTTACCTGGTAGACTCGATCCCGTGGCTCAAATATACTCCTTGGTATGGTCGCGATTTAACACGGGAGTTTGAGAGGGGCAAAAAACTCTACTTCTCCCAGCTGAACCGCGTCAAAGACCAATTGGTATCCATTTCCCTCCCAATTTTCACTTGTACGTGTCATCTGAATCCTTCCGCAGCAGAGCAATGAGGACGTCGGCCCTTCGTTTGCGAAATACATGCTGGAGAATCAGGCAATCCTATGGTTTCACTGAGACCGAAGTGGCTTTCCTTGCTGGCGGCTTGCTTTTAGCTGGTTCTCATTCGGTGAGATGTCTTGTTTTGTCGTTTCCGACGAAACGTGGCTGAACCCAGGTGTCAGGCTGCTGTGGCAATTTGCACAATACTAATGGCAGCGGCAATTTTCCCCGAGGAGCAGGCTAAAGTCCATGCTGAGCTTGATGCGGTGATCGGCAGGAACAGAGGTAAATTTGGTTCCATTGCAGTTTAGACTTTTTTTGATTCCATAATGTCTCCGGTAAAGTTCCGACCTTCGCTGACGAGGAGTCCCTTCCTCGTATGCGCGCTTTCATTATGGAGTGTTATAGATGGAGGCCGACTGCTCCTGAAGGTGGGTATCTTCATTGTCAGTTGTGTGCCCGACGTTTATAATGTTCGCTTTGTAGGAATCGCTCACCGAACAACTAAAGACGTGATTTGGGCAAGTAGTCTTTGAACACTTCGTTGTGCAAACGATAATCTAGCGTCACCGGACAGGAAAACTATTGCATTCCTGCTGGCACCACGGTCGTCGGCAACCATTGGTAGGCATCGTCGTTGAGGATACGAAAAGATACGAAAGTTCTAACATCTACTGTCTCAGGGCCATCTCTCGTGACCCAGATGTCTTCCCCGACCCCCACGCGTTCAACCCTGAGCGTTGGCTCAACGACCAAGGTAACCTCAGGGATGACCTTAAATTCTATGTCTTTGGGTTTGGTCGGCGGTAAGTCCATGTTTCAAAATACTCTTTCATTCGACTAACCGAGTTTCTAGCGTATGCCCCGGTCAACACCTTGCGTCCAGGTAAAAAGACCTTTCTACGCACATGATCGTCCGAGCTCATTTGATTCGTACAGGGCGGTGACCATACACTCCGTGCTGGTCCTTTGGGCCTACCAGCTCGCTCTGGATAAGTCGAAGCCGGTCGATGACACTGGGTATATGAGCGGGGTGGTGCCAGATATACAGCCATGTACTGTCGGGTTTCAGGCGAGGATTTCGGAGTCGGATCTGAGGCGCCTGATGCAAAGTGATTCTGAGGTACTTTGATTCTAGGCATATGTATTCCTCCTAACTCGTACGCGTCTTCATCGCCGCCATGCCCTTCGCGAGGTCTGATATAAAAAGATGTACATATGCTCTGTACGTCTCTGGGTCAGAATATATGCAAAACCAGATGGGCTTTGGCGCTGGAAGGTTGGCGGCTGGTCTAGGATGGAACGGGGTTGGTGTATCTGGTGTCTGAATGCTCATGTTCACGTTACCGTTGGAGTTGAAGGATCAGACTGGCATAGACGGTAGTTTGTTGTTTGCTGAGCTTGCGACACGGTACGTGTCGCCATCACTTGCTTGTCACTCAGAAGCCTCTAGCATTGGGTCAGATTTCGGTGGCGATCGTCTGCAGTTGAGATAACTATACATGGTAATGTGTTTAGACTTGAAGCCTGAGGGTATCGAGGGGAGGAGTGCAACGAAGCGGACCATAATATAGAAGAAACGACATATAGATGACCATATTTCAAGCAGCATTGTCCGCTCGGGGGACATCACCGGTGCGCTCCGCCCGTTCGCCATCATTGCTGTAATTTCTCGGTGGATCCACTCGACGATACCATGACCAGTCAAGCAGCACTGTCTCCTTGATAATACGAGGGATGCGAAGGTACAGGAATGGTGGAACAGGAATGAGGATCGATGTGCGCGCAAGGTATTCCTGGTATGCCACTCAAGGGCTTGATACAGGAGGCAATTCTGAAAGGGACTCGAAACCGTGGGAAGTTGGGTTCACCGCATCGACAGGCGAGGTATTGTGGGGAGGGGAAGCGTTTACTGTTGGAGCGGTTCCAGGATTGTGTTGTGCGCCATTCGCAGGCGGTATATCGTCTTGAGAGAGCATCTGAAACTTTCGTGCCATAGAACGTTCTGCGGGAGGGATACCTGACGCAAAGAGGAGTAAACTGTGGACTTTTTTTAGTCGGCATGAAGATAGCAGACATAATTTTTACATCATTGTCAAGATCGGGGACACGGGCCATGCCCCCCTCAACAAACACCTTCATAGAATCAATAGCGCCGATTTACCAACCTGTCCCGCGTGCAACGACCATGATGAAACTATCCACTATTACATCATGCTCTTCCTCGCATGTCGAGTTCAAGGGGATAGGCTTCGTTCGTTGTGAGTACGAATTCATTGGTTTTAGGGGTAACGCACCTTTATGTTCCACGAAGGCGACAACTCTTTCGCTAGGCCCTCCGAGAAACCCTTCAGTGCTGTATATCAAATCAGTCATAAAAACTTTCAATGCATCGAGATTCCTACCATTTTTACTGCAGGAAAGTCAGCAACGTCTCTATCATGGACAAACGTTCACTCACGTCGCAGCATAATAACCCAATCCAGGAAGCGGATTAAAGCCAGCAGCCGAACTGACTTGGAGAAGTATTCCCCCCTTCCCAGGTTCATTCACCTCCCTAAAAAACTTGACCGCAGCACGACTAACATTCGTCGAGCCCCCAAAATTCGTCTCGAACATCTCACGCGCTTTATTAACAGGCATGCCTTCCACCTCAGTGACAAGCTGGTAGCCCGCATTATTGAAAACCACATCCAACCGTCCGAACACCTCGTCGATGTCTTCTTGCTTCGCGACGTCGACTTTGAGCACGAGGAGTTTTTCTGCGGGATATCGAGTTGCGAGATCGGATAAGGCTTCTGGCTTGCGGAGGGTCGCTACCACGATGTCTCCTTGGCTGAGTGCGCACTCTGTCATGCATCTTCCGAATCCTGACGACGTCCCCGTTACTGCGCGTGATGCTTAGTGTCGGCCACACTCCTAGTAAGTAGAGGAATGACTTACTGAACCAGACTTTGGGAGAGGCCATTGCTAGTAGCTCGTTCAGGAATTGATAGTTCCTCCTGCCTTGGGCATGGCTTTTATACCATTATCTCGTGCGCCAGTGTCATATTCCCAAACAGACTGGAGACGCTGCATCAAAGAGCTGACAGACCAACAGTTCGTGACATATGTTTGTTTTGCCTACGGGAGACTAGCTGAGACTAGGTTAGAGAAGGCAATTTTCTGAGGTAATGCTCAGGAGCCGAACAACCGCCATTAGAACCGAAGGGTTGTCCTGTCTTCCGAATCACGATGGGCAAGCAGGGCCAAGCCTGGTATGTATTACCCGCGAACCATCACAGCCAGCAAACCGGTGACACCGCGCTTATATCAAGATAGATCAAGACCCGACACATCGGTGCAGAGTCCAGACTGCAGGTCTGAACTGTGGGTGAACTGACGCTTTTTCGGTCTTAACCCGTGGCGGTTCTTTGACAAATTTAACGCGAGAGCATCACATTCGACGCGTCTGTTCACGTATCCACTGCCGTGCGCAAGTGTTTTTACTCATCAGAGAGCGACTGTCGTGGAGTTACAGGAATGCCCCAGACCGACCCGCACATGTTATTATTACATTTGAGCAACTATAACATATGCTCTGAAGAGCTGGGATGATCCTTAATGCATCCTCAGCACTTTCATGTCTTTCGAGCTTTTGTGTAATGTAAGTACTGTAATACGTGGAGGGATAAGGTTGTGCAGGGTTGTGCTGGGTTTGAATATGCACGTGATATATATAGGTCCCGAGTCTGTTTATGTTGCCATCAGAGACCGCCCTCGAACCCTCTCCAGCTGCGGTGGGTACGAGCCCTGTACACTGACGTGACTACCTAGCTGAATTCATTTCAGGTGCCAGGCTTGCAATGTCGAGAAGTGCGTTTCTGATCTCACGATTATCGGTTTCCATTACTCAATCCTTGTGCAAGAGAAATCACTGAATTCAGATGTCCGCCTATGTCCACTCATTTGTATCTATCTCAGACTTGTCCGACATCTCGTCTGACATTAGCTGATATTTGAGCCCAACACAAATTGCCAGCTCATTCCTAAGAATGATCAATCAATCCTTGGTGGCGCTCCCTAATATCATATTAGGTGAAACCTTAACTGAAGCGTATCATGTTCTTGGAAGTCAGCTGCCACGTTAATCACTCCCGGGACAAATCATATCAGGCCAGCAAGAGCCCCAGAGCCGGGGCACTGTATGGTACTGTCATATTCAGGGTAGTTGGCGCGCAGTATTTTATTTTAAAAGATCATTCATAACTTGAATACCCAGTCATTGAGTTCCCTCCAATCATCGTTTACTCTTCCTGCATCAGTCATGCTGCAGCTGCCTGACCTACTCACTTCTGATAACGCGCAGCCCCTCCTCGCTGCGTCTTGTCTTGCGGTAGCACTCATCGTTCGCGCTTACCTTGCTAAATCAGATACCAGCCTTCCTCTCCCACCGTCCCCTCCCAATTGGAGACTTCGGGGTCACTTAGTACCCTACCGCAAGTAAGTTGTCACATTTAACCTCTTGTTTTTTAGTGCTAACCGTGACCCATCGACAATCAGGTCTTTCATCACTGTGGCAAGATGGATCGACGAGTTTGGTCCTCTCGTCACCATTCGTCAAGGAACCGAGAAAATTGTTATTATCGGTCGCCATAAAGTCAGTCCTTCCACGCTGAATTTGTAATATCAAGCTCAACATTCTATTGCAGGCCGTGGTGGATATCATGGAGAAGCAGGGCGGAGCGTCAGCTGATCGTCCTCCCATGATTTCTGCTGGAGAAATGCTTAGCGGCGGACAGTCCATCGCCTTTTCACACGCTGGTGACAGGTTGCGTCTGATGCGCAGGTTCGTAGTTCATGATTCTGCGTAAATGGCCATCTTATCTGGCGACGCGATGCAGAGCACTTCATTCCCATCTCCAGCCTAGAACGGCTGAGGCGTATGAACCCTTGCAGTTTGCTTACGCAAAGAACGCGGTCATCGACATTCTTGAGGATCCACACAACTTCCAGAACCATGCATTGACGTAAGTTCTTTCTCTTCAGACCATGATGGTGCACTACTTACGGGGATTTCTGAAGTTTTACTGCGTCAACGATTATGAAAATTGCATATGGAAAGACCACCCGCACGTATGCGACTGATCCCGAGGTCAAGGATGTTCGCCAGCGCTTCACGTCGTTGAGTGCATCTCTGCGCCCTGGCGCTTACCTGGTAGACTCGATCCCGTGGCTCAAATACATTCCTTGGTATGGTCGCGATTTAACACGGGAGTTTGAGAGGGGCAAAAAACTCTACTTCTCCCAGCTGAACCGCGTCAAAGACCAATTGGTATCTATTTCCCTCTCGATTTTCACATGTACGTTGTATCTGAATCCTTCCGCAGCAGAGCAATGAGGACGTCGGCCCTTCGTTTGCGAAATACATGCTGGAGAATCGGCAATCCTATGGTTTCACTGAGACCGAAGTGGCTTTCCTTGCTGGCGGCTTGCTTTTAGCTGGTTCTCATTCGGTGAGATGCCTTGTTTTGTCGTTTCCGACGAAACGTGGCTGAATTCAGGTGTCAGGCTGCTGTGGCAATTTGCACGGTACTGATGGCAGCGGCAATTTTCCCCGAGGAGCAAGCTAAAGTCCAGGCTGAGCTTGATGCGGTGATCGGCAGGAACCGAGGTAAATTTGGTTCCATTGCATTTTAAACTTTTTTGATTCCATAATGTCTCCGGTAAAGTTCCGACCTTCGCTGACGAGGAGTCCCTTCCTCGTATGCGCGCTTTCATTATGGAGTGTTATAGATGGAGGCCGACTGCTCCTGAAGGTGTGTATCTTCATTGTCGGCTGCTTACATCAAGTTGACAGTGTTTGCACCGTAGGAATCGCTCACCGAACCACTAAGGATGTGATTTGGGCAAGTAGCTTTTTGAACACTTCGTCGTGCAAATGATAATTTAGCATCCGCGGACAGGAAAACTATTGCATTCCCGCTGGCACCACGGTCATCGGCAACCATTGGTAAGCATTATCGTTGAGGATACGAAAAGATACGAAAGTTCTTACGGTTACTGTCTCAGGGCCATCTCTCGTGACCCAGATGTCTTCCCTGACCCCCACGCGTTCATGCCTGAGCGTTGGCTCAACGACCAAGGTAACATGAGGGACGATCTCAAATTCTATGTCTTTGGGTTTGGTCGGCGGTAAGTTCCATCTTTCGAGATACTCTTTCATTGACTGACCGAGTTTCTAGTGTATGCCCCGGTCAACACCTTGCGCCCAGGTAAACATTTCATTCCACGCACATGATCGTCCGAGCTCATTTTGATTCGTACAGGGCGGTGACCATTCACTCCATGCTTGTCCTTTGGGCCTACCAGCTCAGTCTGGATAAGTCGAAGCCGGTCGATGACACTGGGTATATGAGCGGGGTGGTGCCAGATATACAGCCATGTACTGTCGGGTTCCAGTCCAGGGTCTCGGAGTCCGAGCTCAGGCGCCTGATGCAAAATGATTCCGAGCTTTGAATCTAGAAGCCATCAAAAAATTGCCTTCTATCTTTCTCTGTTGCCGGCTCTGTATTATTACGATCAACCGTTGTATGCGATCTCTTAAATCTTTTCTTTAGATGGCGCCTTACTTTGTTTGTACTCGTCTTACTTTACATAACCAACTTAGAAATCGTTTAGAGTGTCCGTTCCTCACTTCGATTGAATAGATTATGTTCACACCGCGATCACATCTTCTGCATTTTGCGTAGGACGGTGTTCTCTAAACTATGTGACATGGGTGATATTCAATCTTAAATGCATAAGAGAATGAGAACGCAGTGACAAGAGTCGCGAGTGAACCCTGATGTACGCGCCAACTTGAATATTCATAATAGCACGCTTACATCTCTCACTTTCTCCTCATCTCAAACGTGGTGCCCGCGAGCATGACGTCGGATCTCAGAGACTCTGGAAGTGACCTAAAGACTAAGTACGGGTCTTCATCGTCGCCATGCCCTTCGCGAGGACTGGTAGACAATAGAGCGGGCTGAACACAAAGATAGTGCAAATGAGGGCGAGACGAGTCGAACTACCTTCACACGAGCGCTAGGGTAGTAACTCTATCCAATGAGCAGAGGAGCCAGCTCGTGCTCGAAATGTCGTGTGTGACTACTGCAAACGCTACAGGCAGTGTTGTTATTGACCCGGGTTATAACCAAATAGGTTATAGCTGGTGCATCTTAACCGCGAAATAACTGCGGTTAGTGGGGTTGATTGACTGAGTAGCTGCTAGTAGCTAGTTGTTGATAATAATATTCGAGCCAAATTCGAGCTCGACGGACATGCTCGCATGATTCCTGCATTAATTTTAAGTGCGACACAATCGTGGCTCTTCGTCGATGCATCCTCGGGTGGGCGTGACATTAGCTAGCTCAGCATTAGCTCATAGAAACTCCATGTCCTGGAACCAATTGAACGTATACTGGATGTGGAACATCCGCTTCTGACTGAAAATAAGTAGTAGCGCATTATCTATCTATTCTACACTAGTCAGAGTCGAGGATTCAGATCAGGCTGGAGGCCCAGCTGTTGCCAGTACACTTGGATATAAGCATTATCCAACTTCGAGCAGAGATATGCAGCAGTCAGAACGAGATGATATGGTCGCGTCTGCACATTGATTGTCGGGTGTTGCCGAAACTTTGCTTAGTGCCGACAAGCACCTTGCGAAGAAAGGCCATCTTAAACAACACGGATTCAACTATCACTGAAAGGTTCTTTGATAAAGAGCTCACCTCTGGGAAATTTAATGATTCAAAGTTTACCACTGAACCCTCAACCAACCCGATATAACGCCAAATAACTCCTGGTGTATTAACCCTACTAATCCCTACCAAAACAGCATCTAACTAACCTTTTAACCAGTTAGTAACAGCAATGGCCACGGGTATCATCTAGATTCTCCGCAGTGGAACTTGCGGCCACCGTTGAGTCAGCACAAGCCCTAGAATAACCTCGCGAGTGCGCTCGGTGAAGGGTATTCGATATATGACCTATTGCAGGGAATGTCAATATGATCCAGTCGCGGGTAGATATCAGGCCTACATGCAGCGTACGCCCTGACGCGATCGTGTGAGAGGTATACTACATAATCGACTACTTACAATCAAGGAAAAAGAATCGAGGAAGGAGGGTAGTACTCGGAAGGAGCTCCACATGCATGAGTGCGTGATTTTCGTGATTGGGGTATAGGGAATCCATTAATGTGACATCAATCAGGCGCGCGCTTAGTAGATGAATTGGGCGTTGTGACTACGATTTGATGAATATTACGATGGGCGCCATTCTTCTTGACGTCTTCGAGTTCTATCTCCCAAATATGAGCACAGCCTTTCATGCTGTCGCCGTGGACATAGGACATACCAGGAAAGGGTCCTCAGCAACCAGCATGTACGTACACCTTAAACAACGAGTTTTTAATTGTACACCGGCATTCCAAGACCATAGAGAATGGTGATCGCAGCAACAAAAAGGTATGAAAGAAGTTCTGTTGGCAGAGGTGAGGCTGACCTCGCGGTGAGTGTAACTGTGAAAGACTATTTTCGAATCAATTGAAGATATTCTTGCGATAATAAAGGGATGCTTGATAGTGCAGTGAAGGCCAACCGCCAATGACTTGATCCTCGTGCATCGGGGACGATCAGTAATGTATTTGAGCAACTGGGTCAAGGGATGGCTGGGATTGAATGGTCGAGCACGTTCAAACGAGGAGTGGGCGATCACTGAAATTGGCTTGGCTGTAGTACAAGTTTCAACGTGTTTGACACTTTTGATAAGGTCTTCGGTTAGCCGGGTAAAACCGGAAGAAGTTATTCAGTCTTCTTCTAGGATACACAGCAACTCGAGTTGTATAAAAATCAAGCAGGGGATGCGAGCTTGAGCTCCACGTCGTTTCATCTGGCTCATTTTCATTGTAATTTACACTGCATTGTTATCCAATCTCGTACACCTGAATATGTCATCACACGACGCCCCGCACAAGCTGTCTTCCTCTCCGAAGAAAAACAAAATCCAACGCAAAAATATAACCGCTTCCCCATACAAAGCCAATCCTACTACCTCCCCCTCCCGTCCACGAAAACTCCCACTAAGTTCGCTTCGCCTTCGCCCGATCCCCAATTCTTACTGGGCAACTCCCCTCCTCATCGCATGCGAGTACCCCTGGTCCCCTTTTGAAACTTCCATCCAAAAACTCGACAAGCTTCCTCGCCGCCGGCGTCCGCACCTTCATCGACCTCACAGAGCCCCAGGAGCTCATGCCCTACAAGCCCCACCTCCCCATGCATATCAGTGCCTGCTGGCCTCGACGCGACTACCATCACATACCACCAGTTCCCCATCCCTGATCGTTCGCTACCTCACAAGCCAACATATTTCATGCGTCTAGTGCTGGATGTGCTCAGGGAAAATGCAGAGCAGGGGCGCGTATGTGCCGTGCATTGCCGTGGTGGGATTGGGAGGACCGGTTTGGTTATAGGTTGTTGGCTTGTGGAGTCAGGAATCGCCAGGGACGGTGAAGAAGCGCTGAAGATCATTGAACGGGAGTGGCGGACCGTCGAAAAGTGCAAGCGCTTCCCACACTCGCCAGAGACTGGCCCACAGTTCGAGTTTGTGAGGAATTTCACCAGTCCGAAGATGGTACCGGTGCTTGTCTAGATGACAATACGTGTGTTCTACTTGTCTGCTTTCTTTTCGTATGCACGTCCCTTTTCCTCCTCGTGCCCTTCTCATAGACATATTTTCAGCATACCTTGTATCAACATTGCCAGTTCCCACATCCCTTTAGATCCGCCCTCAAGTTCTTCACGTGCATTCATGTAGCCACTATATCCCTATTCATATTTCCGCTGTACCCACCTCGAGCTTTATATACGTGCCTGGGCACCTTCACTCACCTTGTGCCGGCCACCATCCCTTTCGCTGGTCACTGTGCATAATGCCAGATAGTGCCACGTATAGTTATCATGTCACACTTACCAGCTTGCAATTTGAACACGCATTTTTGTTTTGAGGTAGAAGAATGATTAAGAGACCAATATGCATATGCAACCTGAAAGGCTGCAGGAGGCTGATACGAATGGGAAAGATACCTATGGTGAGTTTGAGTACCTGTGCCAACGCGTCAACAACGCTTCGTCCACGTGTCAAAAGTTGATACGTGGGTGTCGGGGATAATAGAACTATCCAACTCACCAGTAGGGCTGCTCAATTCTTGGGCTTCACTCGTCTGAGTTCACTTCATTTTAAACGGTCCGCGCCACTGCCGAGAGTTTGCCGACACGGCAGCCACAGCAGCGGCATGATGGGGGACATGCAAATGAGTTGCAAGTGAATTTGAAGATTGTATGGTGCAACCAACACTGGCTGAACTTCAAGCACATCTCGCCGACCCAGCCCAACTCCTCATGGGACTTGCGGCTGTGCTGGACGACGACGATACCGATGACCTCACCAATAAATCTATCTCAGTTCGGTGCTTGCGAAGCTTGCAGGAAGCACTGACTGTTAAGAACTATCGCTAGCCGGTAGAAGATATATCAAAACCTTGGGAAAACCCCTAATACGAAGGAACGACTATCTTCCTTCGATTGGTCTGGCTAGGGGAGACTAAACTACACCATGATCTGAGATTAGTGTGTTATTTCTCACCCTCACGTGAGTACCGTGCACTGAGGCTTAGGCGGATGCGCAATGTGCATCCATTGATTGAAACCAACTGGAATCCACCACACAGATCCAGGCGATGAATATTTGTATCATTCAAAAGGCCGAATTGATAAGAAGTATGACTGTCTTCCTTCATTCAAGGTCTGACTGCGGAGACTGATCGCGAGCGTCTTTTCTACTGCTCGCGTCGCTCTTTCTATCGTGAATCGATCCTTAAGTCTGTACAGTCAGTTACCAAGAACGAGTCTGATTTCTTGGCCATAGTCGACAAGTCAGGTCACCTGAACCAATCTTTAGGTCTGTACAGTCAACAAGTGCCGGACCATCGGGATAATTCTTACAAGGACGACTAAGGACGCTACCGTAAACAATCTGCGGTACTCTTTGGGGGGTGCTTTATCGCAGCTTAACATGTGAGCAGAACGATTTGTCGCCTCTATTCTGTGATCAGTCAGTACGTGTTCTGATAAAGCATGTCATCGCCGACATACCTCACTTAGTTTCCAACTTTGCAACAGTACTGAGTCCCTGTGCCACCGGCCGCTGTCCTGCATGGTCTGGTTTTCACGATGACCGCTCCCGCGCACGGAATCCCCCCACACACTGGCTCCCATGTGCACTTGGTGGCCTTGTTGGCCTCGGAGCTGGGCATGGCTCGTGCACTAAGAGGACTGACAGCCGTCAATGCCAGAAGAATGATCGTTGAGAGATTCATCTAGACTATGTGAATCAGTATTATAAGTCGGATTTACAGGTTGGCGAGTCGATCCTTACCGTCGAAAAATACGAGTATATGCCTGGTTTCAAGCTAAGCGCGGGTTTGTTTCTTTTGTTTGTTGTTCGTCAGTTCTATGCTCACGCATTTTATAGCTGCTGCTCGTTAAAATATAAATCCGTAAGGTCGAAAACAGCGATCACGCCAGCATCATCAGAATGCAGAATCGCTTGATCTTGAAATGCGCAATGGTGGAGGCTAAACCAAGATCCAGCCAAGCGTGGAGTAAGTCAATGACAACAACGTGCGCTACCCCTCTGCGGGCAGATGAAGTTGGAAAAACCCACTGCCTGAAGTACTGTCGTTGGCAGCAAAGAGTCGATATTCCAAGCAGTTTGGTTCAAGCGAATTAGACCCACACTGGTTCAGAATCCGGTATCAGTAAAGTCATTCGTACTATACAATTCACTTGTGGTATAGTGTCAAGTGAAGGTCGCGTTTCCAATGCCTGCGGTAGAACTCCGTGGCTTCTGGTCGCGGCCCGCGGGGTTCGTAAAGCCAATCTAGAGTTCGAGGGCAGTAAAACAACCGGCTGAGCCCGTGTCACTGGTGTCATCTGCTCGCATGGTGGAATATCGATTATCAGCGAGAGCGAACTCTGCCGCAACACTTTTTCTCTAGCGTCACATGTTACCCTGGTAACTCAGTCACTGAATGTGCTCACCCTGGTGGACAATAAACAAAGATCGTGGATCTTAGCTAGCCGCATAAAATTAACGGATAAGAGGAGGCGGAGAGGAAGATAGAGATAGAGGTAGAAATGCAGGGTGACTTACATGAAGGAGAACGCCGTGCGCCTTCCGCACCATCAAATCGGAGATGCCATCTATGATGATGACCACGTTTCTTTGTAGGCGTACGCGGAACACGCACTGTGCGGATCTAGAACCGCATGACGCGCAAGACGGTGGAGTGCACGACAGGGTTGTCCCAATGTAGCCTAGATATCAACAGGTGACGGTAGTACTCCCTAACCGCAAGCCATAGCAAAATCAGCGAATTCTGGACTTGAAAAGGATGGACGAGAAAACAGTCTGGAGTTGAGGTTGGATGGTGGCGCCAGAGATGCGGTCGCTGTCCTCTGAAAGAGGTCTGAATCAAGAACACTCACCCTGAAACACGCAGTTGTTCAGCCCCGTTGCTAACTTTACCTGGACGCCAAATGTACCATCTTGACGGAAAGGCTCAGCTGAATAGCCAGATAGCAGGCTGCCAGGGGCCCGAATTGCCAAGCACACATGCGAGTTTCTTCTGTCGTGCGTCCCCAGTTCCGAGCGCCCAGATGCCGTAGTGTCGTCTTCATGCTCCGAGCTGCTATCATCACAGCTATCTTCATATCGATACACCAGGTCTTGGAAAATTCGTCTAAGCGTCTCTGTTTACTTGTGGAGCTAGACGATCAAATGGGATGACCCTGTTCGATCACGAAAACTCTCAGAAAGGCAACCATGTGTGCGCCCTAATGGACAGATGCCTGTCCCCACCACTAGGTTCCTGACCGTGGTCTCTTGGTGATCTCAGTTCAAAAAACCAAGTCGGCAACTGTGATTCTCGACACTGCAATGTCTCTGAAAGTTGGGCTCAGCTGCCTGATCATAGTTGCGGGACCCGAAGCAGTTCGATGACTTGATTCTGTCGCTGATGCTATTGTCTTCAAGCTCGTTCGTGCACACTATAAGGTGACCCGTTGCTGTTTAATAGCCTCTGAGTCGAATTTCCGGGCATAAGTTGGGCGCTGTATTTCCGAAGTGAGTGGTGGGAGGCGCACCTCTGTTTGGTACTGCTCCAAGGACAAATAAAGGTGCTTAAGCGAAAAATCTGAGTCATGATCCATCAATTTGAAGATAGCTGTAAGGCATCAAGTACCAAAATGAAGAAGCAATTGAATTGAATCTCACAGGCCATACAAATCAAGGGCCTGCGGTAGACCGGGCTGAGCCAATGATGACGTGTGCACCAGGATTCTTCAGGTAGTCAAGATTTGGGGTCGCCGGTGTTATCACCGCTGGCGACGAGAGAGGTAGTCGACCGCGGTGGCGGCGGATCTCCATCGATATCAGGCCCTGGGGGTGTGGGGCGTGGATTTTTTCAAGAGTGATGTACGAGCTGGAACGTAATAAGTACGTTTAGATCTTGTTGAAAGTCACGAAGACGAATTGGAGATTGTTGAAGTTTCCTGACCCTTCCTGACAAATATTTCATAGGCTGGGTGTTAACAGCGGTATATGCCAGCCTCGCCAGGTCTAGGGTGAGGGAACGAGACTGACCTGACTGTTGTAAGCGCCGGTCTCCCCCAGCTAAACTAGAAAGACTAGAAGGAAGATAGTCGTTCCTTCTGTCGCGCGGTCCGTGGGAGTGCCGGTGGTTGACTGGTGGCTTGGCTCGCAAGTTTACAACACTGATGTGCACGTCGACAGCCGACCGAAACCATTCGAATACTCTTTCGAGCCTCGTTCTGCCAACGGAGAGAGCTTGATTCAAGCAAGTAGGCCGGCACCTCCATAAAAACTGCATTACATATTACATACCTCTTGAGTGCCAACCGCCATCATTGCACAGCAGCCCAGGCCTCGTTACCTGGGAATATCAGCAATATGAACATCATAAACGAGTGAGTCGAGACCCGAGGCCCTGGATAATACTTATGTAAATCACTGACAATGCACTGTAGGTTATTGAGTTACGGCAGGTCGCGAAATGATGTTGTGGACTCGTACCACATAGTCGAGCCTCTACTGACCATCGACTGTGACTGACATTTTGTTGTGACAAGGTACCTACAACTCGCGAGAAAGAGACGTGACCGACACGATTGACAGTGACACGCGTGTACTGAACATGCCGGGTGCACAAAGGATAAACGAAGGTGTGCGTCCCATTCATATTCTCTGTTTTGCTTTTCATCCGTGATCTACCAAAGTCAACAGCTTCAGCTGTGACGTCTCAGACGGCGAGAACTACACCGTCCTCTTAAACCAGTTCAAGTCTGATACATGCTCCCTAGCACCTCTCCAAACTAATGATGTCAGGCAACGTGTAGAACAAGTCCTCCAGAACGCCGAAGCCATTGGTTGTCGCAACTTGACTCGTAAGTACCTCACGCCTTCGTCCCTCGTCCGCCCCATCTCCCTCATCGTCCCACACATCCTCCAGTTCTCAGCTAGGAGTCAAGTCTCAGCCGAAGCACAGCTTCAATATCCCATCCTCCCACCGAGCAGCAAATGTCTCACCACCATGCTCTGCTCTCAGAGAGTCGGAGAGCACTAGCAGAATTCTCGCAGATGTCGACCCGATAAATAGTCTATTCGATGCCCGAAGGTACGTCTTTCTGTCCCTTCTTTGGTGTTCCGGCATGGCGGACGGTTTTTTCTTTTTTTCACTCGGATGATTTTGACGCCCTTTGCCTGCCGCCGTCTCCCGACCTGCCGCCTCCACCACCTCTCGCCGCGACCCCTGATTGAAATACTAACAATAATAGTAATCAACTGCAGTCTTTCCGAGACATTTTAGGTGAATGTCTTGCCTTATGTTAAATAACAGCTCAGAGCCGTTTACACAAGTGCCATTAAATCTGTTTCATTTGCGTGTATATGCGAGCTCGCTGTTGCAGGCAGCGAGCGCACCATGCGGACATCGGGATGACAACACCAAACAACAACTGACCATTAGACCAGCTGCTGGTGGTATCAATTTTCTTTTACTCAAAGCCGTGAATAAGCCCAGGCTATACCGGGTCGGCAAAAGGCGTACATGTGAGCAGCCTGCCAGCGGGGTATCGTTACAACACTCGTAAACGTCCCTGAATATTGGATCTTAAAGGTTTTGACGCCACGGATTTTCGGATTTGTACCACGATCGTCGGTCAGATTGATTAGTACGGTACTTAACAATCATAAGTTGAAAGCACTGTTGATAAGTTCCATCCATTGCACTTCGTCTTCTCCCAATTGGCAATCCGTCATGCTTCAGCTGCTTGACCTGCCCATTTCTCACCACACGCAGCTCGTCCTCGGTGCTGCGGTTTGTCTTGGGACAGTCGGAGTGGTTGTTTGGGCTTGCCTTCCTAGATCAGAGTATGGCCTTTCTCTTCCACCTTCTCCACCCACTTGGAGTCTTCGGGGGCACTTCCTACCCGTTTGCAAGTAAATTTTCACATTCTAATAATTGTCTTTTTAATGCTAATTGTGTCCAATCGCTGATCAGCTCATTTCTCACTGTAGCGGGATGGATTGACGAGTACGGTCCTCTGGTCACCATTCGTTCAGGAACTGAGACCATCGTTATTATCGGCCGTCACAAAGTCAGTCCCTCCATGCTGTTATAGTATGTAGGCTCAACATTCTACTATAGGCCGTGGTGGATATCATGGAGAAGCAGGGCGGATCACTGGCTGATCGTCCTCGCATGATTGCTGCTGGAGAAATTCTTAGTGGCGGACAGGCAATTGGTTTTATGCACGCTGGACACAGGTTTCGTCGGATGCGTAGGTCCGTAGTCGGTGGGAAAGCACAAATAGCCCTTATCTTGCTTGTGACGCAGGGCACTTCATTCGCATCTCCAGCCTAAAGCGGCTGAGGCTTATCAGTCTCTGCAGATGGCCCACGCGAAAAACACGGTCCTGGACATTCTCGATGATCCGTACAACTTCCAGAACCATGCCACAACGTAAGCGCTTTCCTAGGTTCACGTTATGAAAGCAGACCACTTACGAGTGTTTTGAAGTTATGCTGCGGCGACGATTATGAAAGTTACATATGGGAAAACTACGCCCACGTCTGCAACTGATCCAGAAGTCAAAGAGATTAACCGGCTTTTTGAGACCTTTGGTGCAGTCCTACGCCCTGGTGCTTACCTGGTAGACTCGATACCGTGGCTCAAATACCTTCCTTGGTATGGCCAAGAATTGAAACGGGAGTTTGAGAGGACCAGGCAACTCTACACCAAGCAGCTGAACCGCGTTAAACAGCAATTAGTATGCGTTACCTTTTCAACGTTCAAGTCATATCTCAATCGTCCCACAGCAGAGTAATGTGGACGTTGGCCCTTCGTTCATGAAATATATGTTAGAAAATGAGCACTCTTACGGTTTGACTGAGACCGAGATGGCCTTTCTTGGTGGCGCCTTGTTTGGAGCTGGGTCCGATTCGGTGAGGTGTCTTGATTTGTCATTTCCGAAGATATGTGACTGATATCAAAGTGTCAGACTGCTGTGGCAATATGCACGGTACTAATGGCAGCCGCATGTTTCCCCGAGGAACAAGCTAAAGTTCAGGCCGAGCTCGACGCGGTCATCGGAAGGCAACGAGGTAGCTTAATCTCCCCTTGTACTTCTATTGATTCAATGATTTCTCTATCAAAGTGCCGACCTTCGCCGACCAACCAAGCCTTCCTCGTCTGGAGGCTTTCATCGCCGAGGCTTTAAGATGGAGACCGCTGGCTCCTAATGGTGGGTATCTTCATTGTCGGTCTGTACCCCAGGTTTACGCAGTTCATCCCGTAGGATTTCCTCACCGAACGACTCAAGACGTGATTTGGGCAAGTGCTCTCTGAACTATTTGTAGTCCGAAGGATAACCCGACATCTACTGACAGGAAAACTATTGCATTCCCGCCGGGACTACGGTACTGGGTAACCATTGGTGAGTATCGTTCTTCAAGATACGAAACATCTGACGGTCACTACCAGGGCCATCTCTCGAGATGCAGAAGTCTACCCTGACCCCTATGTGTTCAAGCCTCAGCGCTGGCTTAACGATCAAGGTCGCATGAGAGACGATCTTAAATTCTTCGTCTACGGGTTTGGTCGGCGGTAAGCATCGTCTTTCCACGTATCCTCTCTCTAACTGTCCTTCCATTAAGCATGTGTCCCGGTCTACACGTTGCGAACAGGTAAAGGTATCTTTCTACGCACATGATACTCCAAGCTCACCTCGATTGGTATAGATCAGTCTTCATAAACTCGCTCCTTATTCTTTGGTCCTTCCAGCTCAGTTTGGATCCTACGAAGCCGCTGAATGACATGGGGTTTATGACCGGGGCGATGCCACGCGATCGGCCGTGCGCTATCGACTTTAAGATGAGGATTCCGGAAGTGGAACTCAGGCGTATGATGCAGAGTTATCCTGAGGTCGCGTGAGATGCGTCGATGCCTGGATTGGGACGCCACTAGGCAGGGAACAAAGAGCCAGTTCGGAATGAATCGCCATCTTGTTCATCTTTCCAGGACTCGCTGTATCACATCACATTTTTGGCCTTGTTACCATAACAATACCTTTCAGTTGTGTATTTTTCAAACAGAAGCAGATACCAATGTTTTAACAAATGCGTGAACTTACCCGACCATGAGGAAATAGTTACTAGCTTCACGCATAATGGAATAACCCGAAACTTGTGTGACACCCTGCTATGCAGCTTGCACAACCCACTCCGTCGTGCAAATCATTTATCATCGCGGGAGAATGTATGGATGACCGCCACAACAATCATGCATACATGATACACAATTTAAATCATGGTATTACCCGCCTAATTGTAGTGTGATATGGAAAACGATAAACAAATCAATAGGTTCGTTCCCTCCCCACCTGGATAGCCCATTTGGTAAGCCTTATAAGGCTTAGTGATCATGTGCCTCGCCAACTATACTTAGGCTTGAATGCAGTAATCCCAACACCAGCATTATATCATGCCCCAAATATTCCAATATCTCTAAGTCATCGCTGTTATATATGTCGGAAAATTCCTAAGTCGGTTGCAACAGCGTGCCTGTGAGACTCGGTTTCAACCGTATTGATACCGAGTTACGATATTGGCACGTGAGTTCTGTTCTTAATACCCAGTAGGAATATCTATACTAAAGTTGCGTCATTGATACTGATTCGTAATATCGATACCGACTTGCACTATCGATACCGACTTGCACTATCGATACCGACTTGTACTATTGATACCGGGCCTCGAACCTTAGTACGTCAATTACAACGCTGCAGCGCTGCCAACCGATTCAGATGCCACACCATCCTCTCAACACCCCTTCACCATCAACTTCAGTGCTTCAGCCCTCGTTAGTATCTTCTACTCTACTTGTTACAGTTCCGATTCAGATAAATTCATTGACAGATCTGCGCCTTTTAAATGTTAGTCCACCCTTCACTGATTCACTGACATAATATTTGACAGATTCTGCAAGCCCAACTTCACCCTCCAGCGCTTCTCCATCAAAGTGCACCATTTCCGTTCCACCTGCTGTCTTGAAAGAGGTGATTTTACACCCATCTTCACTAACAATTTAAATTAAACATTGTTATTCTCAGAATCAGCCAATATTCAAACTGTAAGTCTTGTTACAGTCTCTGATCTGAATCTGACAGCGAGGTTTATATCAATATGGACCCTCCAGTACTTCTCCCTCAACGTGCGCCATCCCTCTGCCAGAAGAAAGATCAAGAGGCGGATTTACCCCCATCTTCACTATCGGTTCCTGGACCACTGTATGTCAGAGGCTGTGCCCAAAATTTTATCTAAGACTTAATAGACTGGACTTTATTAATTGTCCCTGTTTCAATATAGATGCCTGCTGATTTGAAACGATCCTGTGATTATTGTGGCCAATCCTTCCATTGCCAAGGATTCCGAACACATGAAAAAGCTTGCCAGAAGCGCTCTGAACAAAGGCGAGAGGATATAGAGCTTGCTAAAAACATTCGTTGAGGTATCTCTATGCTAACATTATTATGACTTTATGCTAATGATCATTGATTAATTGTGGAGCAAGAACAGGCACAACAGGGTAGTGTGTTTGCTGGCAAACGTCCATCCATCAGTAGCTCAACTCTTTGTAAGCCATCACTGTCGTTTGTCCTTGATCGCTAATACTGACTTGTTGGACGCTGATGCAAGCTATCATCAATCACTTAGAGGATGTTGATTTTGATTTCAATAATCAGATAGACTATCCGGATGATGCCAATTCAGATGGTATGTCTTTATCATTTCTTTTTATCATTGCATCTGCAACTTATGTCAATACAGGTCATCCGCCATGATCTGGAACAGCATCGCCTGCACCCCAGCACAACATAGACAATATAAAAGTGGAATACCACCCCAGTAGTGGTCGCCCTACCGAAGTGTACCACGTCGAGGACTATGGATGTGGTCCTGGTGCCCCAACAGCGGTTCCGAAAGCAGATCCTACGCCCTGGCAGCCGTTTCACACTCATATTGACTTTGAGGTTGCAGAACTCGCCCACGAAACTGGACTCTCTCATGAGCAGCTGGACCGGCTCATCCAACTCATTCATCGCAGCAGGAGTGAATTATTTACCCTCCGGAATCGCAAAGATGTGAGAGACACGTGGGATGCAGTGTCATTCAAGATGACACCTGTGTGTACTATTCAATAACTTCATATATAAAATCTATGCTTATTTTGCTTCTTTCATGTAATAGTTTACGAAGGAGGAAGTGGTTGTGCCCTTCCAAGGTATTGATCAGACATTCCTGCTATTTCATTGTTCACTGTGGGACTGGGCTGCAGATCTACTTCAAGATCTGCAAGTAGGTCCATATTTTGTCTTTGATGCCCAAAGGCTTTCAAAGTTCAATGGCGAGAAGTTTGTTCGGTTCATTCACGAGCCATGGACCGCTAATGCATTCTGGGAATATCAAGTAGGTCATGCTCTTATTAATATCATGTTAAGTGTCTGCGTCGTATATACCAACCGAATATTATCATAGTCAAAAATCCCACCAGACGCAAAACCTCTTGCATTTATTTTATATGCTGACAAAGCAAAATTATCGTCATTTGGTCGTGCAAAAGGCTATCCTGTAGTTGCTCGCTGTGCTAATCTTCCTACTGTGGTTCGAAATGGAAAAGGCTTGGGTGGGGGGCGTGTTGTTGGTTGGCTGCCTATCGTTCGCTCTACTCTTTGTTGCTACTGATGATTTCATTATTAACACAGAGCTTTCACAGGTAAAGGAAGATAAGAAGCATTCTGGAAAGCCCGCTTTTGTCAACTTCAAGAACACGGTATGGCACACCTCTTTTCTGAAGATTCTTGCCTGTCTCGCACCACTATCGAAGTTTGGTTCTGCCATCAAATGCTGGGATGATGTTATTCGCATTTTCTATCCAATTGTACTCATACTCTCTGCAGACTATGAAGAACAGTACATGTATTTCTAGCTCCTTAGGTACTGTTAGATATCTCTGACGTTCACTGTTGTAATAGGATTGTAATGGCATTGATTCGTGGTTTGATGGGCAAATTTCCTTGTCCTATCTGTCTAGTGCCTCGTGATGAGCTTTCTAATACACTCAATGTGTATCCTCTCCGCACATCCACAGATACCAAGGCATTACTTACTTGAGCCCGAGAATCTACTACATTGGGGGTGAGAGAGCAGATCTTGAGTTCCCAGAGCCTCTGTGATGTCGACATAAGTCTCTCTCTTATCTTTATCTTACTTAGTCTACCATTATTGTTATCAGAGTTCATTTGGTGTCCTGGAGCACACTGACATTCACAGGGCTCTATCACATGATAAACTCCACTTCAACGACGAGGGATTGTTCAGTGATCACAAGTGGCCTGAACTGCAGAAATGGGCTGAACGTTTGGGTCGACAGGCTGCTGTGCAGATTGACAGCTTGTGAGTCATTTTTTCCGCTGTATTTTTGTAGGTATTAATTTAGATTGTCAGCTTTCAATCGATTCCGCGTTGGCGAAACCTGAATCATTTTCTGATGGAACAAAATATGAAGACATATCTAAGGCGAGCCTAGATCATTCACTTTTTAACATATTATTCACATCGATTTAGCTTATTATATTTGCAGTGCATAATCTATTTGACCATGATATGGATCCAGAGGCATATCTCCTGCTCTGCTGTATCCGAAGCTATGTCGAGTTTAATATGTACACTTCGTTAGAGGTCCATACTGAAGATACCATCAAAAATGGCTGAGAAACCTTGTCAAAGCTCACTGAATTGATGGATGTACATATCCCTAGTATAATTTTAATTCATTGTATTGATTCAAACTGTACGATCAGAAATACATCGAGGATACAGCAGAGATTTCCGAGAAGTCCTGGAATTTCCCTAAGAAACATCTTTCTGCCCATCTCTTTGATGATATTGAGGTGAAAGGTGTTTCTCAAAACTACAGCACCAAGCCTAACGAGAAAATGCACGGCCCATTGAAAGATGCCTATCAAGATCGTACAAATTTCAAGAACTTCGCTGAACAGGTAAGTGACTTCTGAATCCAAGTCTGCATATATGTGAAGTGAGCACTGACGTATGGGTAACAATTAAAATTTTCAAGATCCTCTGATACAACCATGACAGCCTGGTTGCAGAATACATTCGCAACAAGTTGGATCACCTTGACACTCAGAATTTCAGCATGTCCAATTCAGAAGATCAACCTGATACTGCACTCCAGGAGACTGATGAAGTTGAATCGACAGAACCAACTGATGCACAGCATTTTAGTCTTGGTTCAAAGCAGGCAGCAATATCATTCGCAGACATCAAGGCAGGTAGTGCGGGTAATCCGGCGTTTGATAGATTTTGGATCAAGCTAAATGACTTTCTGAACCACACATTTGCTGCCAACAGCATACCATTTCCAGGTGGACAATGCATCCAACTCATTGCAAGCAACATGGTGAGTTGATGATGTTTGCAGCTCCAAAATAATATAATCTGTGTCTTACTGAGTCCTGCTGAATCAGATTGTGGAATATCGATTCCTTAAAGTCAATTTTGAGTTGCTTGTTGACTGGTGAGTGTCCACAGACTACCTTCAATGCGCTCCAATGTTTCATGGCTCACCGCAATACGATTGCATCATCTTGCAGACCGACACCGGCGTCATCTTTGGCAAATTAATGTTGATCTTCACCTGCACAGTAGGGGATGTTCAATATCCTGTCATGCTCGTTCTCCCATATGATCGACTGGTTGGCGTTCGTTCATGAAAGGACAAAGACTTTCAGTTTTGGTGCGTTAAGAGAAAGCCTAGGGCTTCTGCAGAGTTTTTCTCAGTTCACTCAATTGTTTGGGGTTGTGTGATAGTAGAGGATGCCAGCAGACCTGACGAGTTTTTAGTTGTTGACACTGTTGATACAGATATGTTCCTTCGAATGCAGGACATCCGCAGCCAGTGATTAAATTGGACTCTTACTTCTGACTCCCTTATTTCCCTGGACCTGCCTTCGACTATTAGCAACTTCGGGCCTCATTATTAGGGCAACTTGATTCATTTCTTATTACTATTACAGTTTTCTTCTATCTCATGATGCACAGTCTAAGCGCCTGTTACTAACTCATTGATTCAGATTCAGAGGGTCCATACCCACCTCATGTCAGGTAATACCCAATATCCGTGCTCGAGATTCAGTCAAGGACCTGATGAACATTACCAGATCTTTAATTGTGCACTTCGAGCATCGAGAAGCGCTGTCGGCCCTTAGCAAATCGCTGAGTGCAAGGCAGAGACCGTCAGCAAGTTGAATGCAGACTTTGCAAAGCCTAGACCATGGTTCAGTTGGAAGAAGGATGGTCTGAGTGTTACCCTCAATTTGGGTGACATGATTCAGACATATGAGGAACTTGACAGGCAATTGGTTGAGGCGCATGGAGGAGAGGTTTGCAGGTGTGGGTATTCCGGTATTCAACACCAAATATGGTGCACATATAGTCACTTTAAAATGTGTTTCTGGCTGACCTGATGGTTGTAGACTCTGATATGCATACTTTGGAGACATCTATCATGCGTTCATTATGTGACCAGATCTTTATGTCACCCATTCACTGGACGCTTGCCACTGGTTTCCCTGAGACCACAACACACGTCATTGACTTTGGTCCTGGTGGCCTGAATGGCATTGGGCCTCTCATAGCTCGTAATCTTGAAGGTTGCGGTGTGCGTGTTGTCACACTAGGTGATACTGTCTGCATTCCCAGCACTGAGAAAGCAGCAGAGATCATTGATTCAGATGGATTGAGGAAGGCTGGTCTCCGGTAGCGTTGTTCAAGCCGGGCTCGGTAGATGGTATCAGGCAGGTCATCAATATTGCAAAGTCCAACCCTGATTTCCCTATCATTCTTCAATGGACAGGGGAATGGTTGCAGGCCCAGGCACTGGAAATTCGGCTCAGGGTTGAGCTGGCTCAAGGGGTATTCTAATTTTATGTATTTTGAATTATGCACGGTCCCTACGCTAATATAAATACCTCTAATTTTCTGAAACTGACGTTCAGATGTGTTTCAATGGATTGTCAATGTAATTATGTCAGCATTTAATCGCGTTTCTCGCTAAGTTCGTTGATTGAGTTTACTGTTGCAACCAAGTTGCAACTTCTGAATCTTAGTCTGAAGCCAATTGGGACCACGACTCAAGCACAATTTGATGGATGTCAAGCAAGTGCAGGTGAGTCTGGATTGCCACTTATTAGACTGCCTACTGTTAATAACTGTAACATGTTCATTGTTTAAATTGGACGCCTGGCCGACGCTGTGTGATCTCCCTTATTACGTCGAGAGCAGCTCCTGCCAATAATTTTACCCAACACCTTTCCTCTGAGAAGGAAATTTCAGGTGATTTACATTCCTCGCATGCTTTGAAACACCTTTTTATTCACTCTACGACATGATCTAAGGTCTTTGAATTTAAATTTCAATGCCAGCTCTTCAATACTTCTTGGCCATCAACACTAGACAGTGCCACACAGGTAAGTTGCCTCATGTTGTATTGTCATTCACCTGCATGCTGATTTCAATTAAATGTCAAGGCTATTATTCATGATGTAATTTCCCTCGTGTTTTCTTTCATCGTGTTCGGTCCAAGTTGCACGGCCAAGATTGACTATAAATTTATGGTGGGTCCATCATTATTTTTCGCACCATGTTTTACTTGACCATACAAGTTGTTGTGATGCCTCAGCGTCCCATTGTGCACCATGATTCGGAGTCCGAGTTAGAGTATGATGATGCATCGGAATCAGACATACTGTCATCGTTTGTGGTGGGGATCTCATCAACCACCACTCAGTCATCGGCTTCTGTGCAGGATGGAGACATGGAGGTAACAATGCTTTACTTCGCTCACTCTGATTTAGTAACTCTAACTTCGTGCATCTCAAGATCATTCAGTGCCTGCAACTTGAAAACCAGTCTCTCAAGAATAACAATTGGACTCTGGGAAAGAAGAACAAAGTCTTAGCATCCAATCAATGTAGACATTCGAGTGCGCAAGTTCCTGACAAGCTGAAGGCCTTTGACATTGAAATCTCGACCTTTGCTCGCAAATATGGTGTTATTGCTGAGATGTTCCCACCTGAGCACCGCGTTCTCAGATTGCCCGTGCCAAACCCTTCGCCCATCATCACATCTGCTAGTCGCTATGCAAGCAAGGGTGCCGAAGAACTTTGTCTTGTGACAGAGGTATATTCACTTCTACCAGATCATCTCCATCGTTTCATACCTACTTCTCATTTTCAATCATTGGTATGTTAGTTTATATATTTCATTATCCGACCAAACACTGATTGATATGTAATTTAAATATTGCAGCTAGAGCAGCATCTTCAAGGTGGACGCTCCAGTGAGATTGGCAAACTACGCTTTATGGCAGGGCGTATCTTTGGTCTGGATTCATCATACTTTGACCTGAGTTTCATGAAGCGGGATACCATTCCTGAGATCCAGAAGATGCTTGGATCAGGTACTGCTGGTGGTCGCTCCTCACCGTTGAAGTTTCCGCCCGTCCTTTTCACAAATCAAGAGATGGACCCCACAATGTCCACAGTTTTTGGTAACTGGGAACCACTTGTGAAGGTAATTTTATAAGCTTCACTCTGTTCTCATGCTAATGGATCTACATAGGCGATTAGGATTGTGATGTTTGGAAAGAATTCACTAGACATTTCTGGCTGGCCATGCGCTAAGTGCAATGCTCGAAAATGGGGCACAATGTCCTGTACTCCCGGTCTTCTTGCATGGGGTTGGGTCACAGTGAGTTCTATTTCTGCTATGATTGGTCCTCTGGATCAGCATCTAACTATTATTCTTTAGTTGATCTTCATCCTTTCTCCTGACACTTCATTCATGAAAGCTGGAGTTGGCGCAAAGTCTCGGCTACCATATGCTGCCATGTTTATGGCCTACAAGCAGCTGTGGGTCACCCTTTGGGATCAGCCTCGTATTTGTGCAATCCGCAAAAGGATCGACGCCCACGTCTGGCAATCATCCTCAACTTCCAATGTCACAATGTCCGACACCGAAGGTGAAGATTTTACCTCTGATCTGATGTGTTTGGCCATTGCAAATGCAGGGCAGAAGGAATCCAATGACTTTCCTGGACCAACGACTACCAATGACAATCCCATCAATGACATTTCTGGATTGGTCACCCCCATTACACCCACAATCACTCCTTTAGCACTGGTCGTTGTTCCTTCAGCACCGGTCGTTGTTCCTTCAACACCAGTTGTTATTCCCTCAGCACCAGCCATCCTGGTGCTTGCCCCTGCAAATACTACCACTGCTCTCAATTCTGCAACCCTCTTGCTGGCTATTCCAGCCCCTGGGCCACCTGTGGTGTCTGCAGGTGCAGCTGCTGCCACTGCAGCCTCTGAAGTCCCTGGACCTCCAGTGACCACTGTTGATTCAGAAGTTCCTGGAGTACCCAATGATGTACCGGTGGTAGCGACAGCCCCATCTTCTGGTTGTCAGGGCTGAGGAAGGAAGGTGGGGATGCTGGCGCCTGTATCTAGTGGACCAGCAGGTGAGCGGACCAGCCGACTAAGACGAACCCAGAAGAAGTAGTATTAAGGACCGCCACCTACAGACTGCTAATTTACTTGGTCTCAATGATATTTGAATTAAATTGAAACCTGCCTGTATGTATTCCAACATTGTTGAGACCCAGTTAGGTTATTTGGATAAACCTTGAGATCTAGATCTCAAGGTACCACAAAATCAGCTTGGACAGTTGCAGCCGACGGTCAATATTGCGAACTTGGTTGAAAACCTGATTGGAATCACCATTGTGACGCAAACTCAATATTGTAACGTGAATTGTAACATAAATGTAATGTCACACTCTTTTATTGCAACCTATTGGGACCTCGGCTTGTCATTGGATCATTGCAACACGTTACAAGGCAATGAAACCCGATTAGGAAATTTCTGACATAAGCTATTTACATACAATATTATTTTATCGCCCAAAAGCGGTAATTGCATCACACTTAGTGTTGCCAACAGCTTGGCTCAGCTCAGCTCGGTTCTGATTAGTTCACAAGCCCTGTGGTTTATAAGTATGCAGCTTGAAGTAGGTTTTGATTGGTTTGGCTCAAGTTTGGTTTGATTCATGGGTCAACTGCAGCTCATCATCAGAAAAGAAAATTTCACATAGTACAACTAATTGACATTATGAAAGTGGTCTTCAATGAGCAGAGAATCAATAAAAGCTGAAATATCATCTGGAACAAGAAGTTCTTCATCAATCAGCTGCTTAATCTCCTGGATCTCTGTGTCCTTATCCATCCATGCTGTAAAATTGAGTTCATGTCCATGCCTGAATGAAAACTTCAAGATTTGCAGTGCTTCCATCATTTTGTGATTTATTTGGTTGTGATGCATCTTAATTGTCTCCTTGGCTGATGAAAACACACACTCACAGGGTACTGCTGAGCCTTGTATGGGAAGAACATCCATGGCAAGAGAAAATAATGCCAGGTAGTGAGACTCATTCTCCTGATACTTGAAATTAAATGATGACACAATAGAAGCCAAAACTCAAACCTACCTGCCAGTAACTCAAGCTACTTGTGCCAATTTCAGAGTCAAGCAAGTATGCATCAACTTTGGCTTCTACACTGTGACATTTCACTACTGGCTGACAGAAAATTGACATACCAAGGACAGTATCAGCCCAAAATGCATCCAAGTTAGTAGTTAATTTGTCAGTGACAGCATTGTGTTCTGATGTTGTCATACAGTAGGCTCAAAGCTAATATGAGAATCAGTAACCTCAAATATTAAATCAAAAAATATGTGCCTTGGTGAGCAGGAGATTCTTCACCCACTGCATCTGGTGTGGGGCATGAGTCAAGAACCAGTTCAACTTCATGGCAGGGTTGATAACTGTTGACAATATGTTAAATTTTGCATCTAGGTAGTATCATCAAGGACTTACTCATTGCTAGAACATAGGCTGGTACTATGGTAGATGTATGAGTACGGTATATTTCAAGCTTCTCAAGTCCAGGTTTGATGATAGCTGCACGGTCAGGATATTTTTCTACTTGTTGTCACCAGACTCAACTCATGGCTTCAAATGATGGAATAGCATCACATAATGTTGGTGTCTTCTCAGACCAGAGCTTCTGCTGAAAAGCATGTGGAACCTACATGGCAGTGGCACTTTCAATAACATTACAAGAACTTAAAACCACAACATACACTGAGAATATCCTTGAAAACATTCAGGGCCTACCATTCCACCTCATTGAGCTTATATTTCTTGAGCTCTGGGAAGTCATGGCTGTTGAGGAACCGATCAATGGCCTGGAAATTCAACTTTAGCTCAGAAATGTCCAATACACAGATAACATACTACATGTAATAGTATAGCATGCTTGATCATCAATAATGTTGATGACCACCAAATGTCGACATCATGTAGCAGTTGAAGTTTCATCTGCTCAGTAGCCTTGATGATGTCAGAAAAGCACTCTTGTCAAAGTCCTGATGCCCTTGTCTATAAACCATCAGATGCATGATTCTGAAACATGTAAGCTAAGCAGTGACTCACAACACGAACAATTATGCAAACTGTCACAATGGGATCACACTTGATTGCACTCGTAAAGTCTCATGATGATGGCATATTGGGTACATATTCAGCTGCATCACTCTGTGCATGATCCATGTTTGTAATTTCCTGTAACACTGCCTTGCACACATGGTTAACAATATGGAGAAAGCACCTAGTAGAACAGTAAGGATCAAATTAGTACATATTTGGAACACAGTATACCAGATATGATGTGAGTTCTTGTTGAAGTTGACACCCCAATGATGAAGCTCATTTTTGAGGATACTAAGAAATGTGTCATTATTTGAAGCATTATCAACTGTCACCCAACCAAGCTAGATCAAAGTGTCAGTTGTTCGCAACTCTGAGTCAGGTACAGACACATATTAGCCTACCATCTCAGTAATCTCAAGCTGTTTCAATACATGCAAGAATGTCTGTGCAAGATGCTTGCCATCATGATGGCCTGGAATTTGATGGAATCCAATAAGGTTAGCTTGAGGTTCGAGTTCACTTTTTGGACCTGATAATGCAGATTTGATGATTCATTGTATCCAGTGTGCAATCACAGCCATGAATGGTGCCAAATTAATATTGGACCATATATTGGTTGTGCACAAGATTTTTCCTGATGAGTCCTGCAATGACAGGTTATGAGACTTAGCATTCACTAGTAGAGAGCAGAATACCTTCATTTCATCATGAAGCTTGTCCAGATAATCTTCAAAGACCTCTGATAACTGATTTCATAATGTCGTTTGGTGAGGAATGTCAGACTCAGACAGCTTGTAAGCATGGGCTCTTGATGAGATTGAATGACTATATGATAGATGTTAAAAAAATTGGAAAACTTCACTTGTAAACTTACAAGGTCATCCCCAACAAAGTTTGATGAGTGCATTAACAAATGCTTCATGGGAGAATGAGCGAGCAGCAGTGGAATGTCCTACAGTTGGACTTATGGCATCAGCATGACAAGCTTGATACTGCATTACCACTCCTTGAGCTCCTCTTGCATTGATAGGGATCTAAAATTGATCACAAGCCACAATCTACATGTCAGCATGCACATCATAAAGACGCCTCTGCAGGACTCCAGTTCCTGTGTTGAGACCATACTTGACTGGTTATTTTCATTGATTCAGAGCCACTTAGTGTCTAATAACAAATCAGAACAAAATCATGCATATGTTAGGTACCATGCTTGGACGGAGAAGCAGAGGGGTTGGGGCTTGGCTTCAGCTCTTGTGCTGTGCCCTTAGCCAAGTATATGCCCCAAATTTGGAGCAGGACCAATGTTGTCCAATGATAGGATGAGAGGACCACTTTGGTCTGCTTGAGGGTCAGGAAAGTAAAGGCTTCTAGTGGTGGTCCAACTAGTAAGCGGGCAGATGAGGTGAAGGAAGTAAGTCAGAGGTGGAAGGAATTAGAGGGGTTTGGAGGTAGGGTTTATTGGACAGAGGGGAATAGAGGTAGAGATTTAGAGCATGGCTCTAAGTTGGAGCAGATGAGTGGAGGTGATAACAAGGTGAAACTTGTGTCCAGAGTTGAGCAAAGTCCTACTGTTAAGACTGTGCTCAGGGGTAAGGCTGAGTCTGAGGGGCTTGGCTTCAGCTCGTATGCTGTGCCCCTTACCCGAGTACGTGCCCCTAATTTCGGATTGTAGTCCGACTCAAGTTCTATGAGCTCCAACAGTATATCAAAGTGGAGGTCCTCCGAAGGAGGGCTGACGGACTACTAGATAAGCATGGGAACATTGGGTGGAGGTTGGTCCGCCCAACAGGGGAGAGTTGGGGGGCTACTGCAGACGGAGTTAACAGTAGGAGCGGAGCGGAGGAGACTGCTTGGATGAAGTCTGAAGCAGAATGGAAACACAGAGGACAGAGGTATGAGAGTACTAGTCACACGTCCAATGTGTGGGAAGGGCGGCAGAGGCATGGGAAGTTGGATGAGCGGAGGAGGTGGCCGACCTAGGGAGTCAATCCCCTAGGCTGGCAAACAGGAGTTGTCAAGGGGTTTGCCCAAGAACAAGGATGAGAGCAGGGCTTAGAAAAGGTAATATTCAGACTGAGTATCTACAGACAGATGTACATATGTTTATATACTCTAAGTAAGTAGCATAGCATAGCAGAAGGCTATGTGCTGAGTGTACAGGATTACAAGAGAGATGACTGAGACATACAAGAAAAGGCTCGGAGAACAGTATGTACACGATGGATCAGTAATCACTCCGGTATAGGAATGACCGATGATCTGAAAGGAGGAACTATGATACTAAATGGAGATAGGACCAGTTGAGTGGTACCTAGTCTAGGAGTGGACCGGTGAGGTGGTGTGGGGAACGTCCCCACTGTAGGCCCGTATCCCATATAATTCCCAAGCCTTACCACCATCTTCCCATGCATTCCACTACCATTCCACTACCCATCTGCGTCTTACCCGACCCGTCCGCTACACGGAACCAAGCAGAACCCAGCAGAACAATTGTGTACCACGTGCATCATATCCCTTTAGCCTTCAGAACATCCTCCTCTGTCCTGTCCCTGTCCTTCCATCCTCACTGGTGAGTACTAGCTACGTTCCCTGTGTTACTAACATGTTCCTATCTCATTTCATATGTGTTACGATACTTATATGGATCCTTCCACTACTTGGGACCAGTTGCTTATCTCACAGCCTCACCCAGTTGTAGCATAGCACATTTCGGAACCCCTTCCTATATAGGTAGCAATAGATGGGATCTTAGTTTTTTACCTTCTGATAGACTCGACTCCACTTCCACTTACAGAGTACTTCCCAGCACTCCACTCACTGTTTAAAATATCTTCCCAAATCTATTCCTGATCTCATCACAACATTCCTGCCTCTGTGAGTTCTGCTCGAAACGATCGACATCGGATCCAACGACTTGGAGCAAGTACCAGACACAAGCCTGGTCCAACTTTGCCCAATCATCCTCCTGCAGGCTCGTAGTTTCCTTTCCCTCCATTAGTTCTGTTTGTTCCCCATTTGTTCTGTTTGTTCCCCATTTGTTCTGTTTGTTCTGCATTAGTCCCGTTAGTTCCGCATAGTTCCACTTGTTGCGTGTTAGTTCCGCTCGTCATGTGCTGTGTTCCGCTCGTCACGTACCTTCCGCATCTTTGTGTTCCCAGTCCTAGTAAGGACCGGAACCCTTCGGGTCACTAGACAGAGTCTAGTCTTTGCTTTCCTCACACTTACTTGAGGACCCACTACCCAGTAGCAATCCCCTCGGGATGAGTATTAGTCTTGCACCCTTGTTAGACATCTGAATCACCCCAGAGTCTATTTTCCTCACCCACAGTGGTCGGGCGGACTAATAGTGAGGTGATACGAGAGAAACTGCAGGAACCGAATGGGTCGGAAAGCAGAGATGGTGGAGGGAGTAGGATCAGTCAGACCAATGGAGCGGAGGAGCGGAGCTCCAGATAGGGTCGGAGGGTAGGGATATGGTGTCAGAGGAAATAGGGGTACTGTCAGAGGAGCGGAGCGGAGTTGGGCAGAGGTAGCAGGGCTAGTCCTGCTGAGATGCACTTCGTGCATTGTTGGAGAAGGGGGGATGGAGCAGACAGGGAAACAGGGGGTTGGACCAATAGTAGGGACATCTATGAATGGTATTGGGAGTGGCTGAATCAGGTATATGACACCTACAGAGAATTCCCACAGTAGAAACTGGAGAAGACAAGTAATATTAAGACTGAGGAAATACAAGCTAAGTAAAGAATATGTTATATACTCTAGGTAAAGAGGAAGTGATCAGTAATACATAACATAAGGCCATGTGATAAGTGTACAGTTAGTAAGTATGATTACAGAGGAAAACATAAGAGTTGGAGTGGATATCAATATATATGCAATGGATCAGTAATTGGATGGCTATAGGAATAACTGGTAATCTGAGAAGGAGAGCTATGTACTGAAAGGGGAAGTATGTACCTAAATGGGGAAGGGGATCCAGTTGAATGGAATATATGTGGAAGGTAAGCAAATGAGGTAGTCGATCAGACATGCTGGGGCGGGGAACAAGCAGAGTGGAAGAAAAGGGAAAGGGGAATATTAGGGTCAGGTGGAGTGGATGTGAATGATATCAGAAGTGGTCGGATCTGGTATATGAGAGCACAGCTCAAAAACTTACTGGCAAAAGATGCAACAATGTTTATTGTCACACTTTTCAAAAAATGCCCAGACAGGGTGGCATTGGCAACTTTGCCCTGGAGACCGGATGCTGAAGCGGCATCAAAAGGTAGGTTATGGTCAAGAAAAACTTGATTGTGATAATGTACCACAAGGTGATGTTTATGATTGGGGAGGATAGGAATGGTGCGATGTAGTGGGGTGCACACTGCAGGGGTCATGCAGAGAGGAGATAGCGGGAGGAGAACACAGGGACTAGAGCAAGGAAGGCATAGAGGTTAGGAAAGCAGTGCAGAGAGTAACAGGAGGTAGAGTTCAGGCGTCTCAAGGGTTTGGGGTCCTGGGAAACACCATCCCTATATCGGCCTTACCCACTATGACCTGGAACAGCAGTACTCAGCTTGGGAGAATGTTACATCTGTGGGATAGTTGCAGAGCCAACTCACCTCAGCTCTCAATGTACGACAATGAATCCTTTGCGGCCACAGGAGACTAGGTGGCGCCAACAGATGGCCGGATTACTGCAACGCGCAGCACCACAACAAGCAGCATGCTTCCCATATCCTACCCCTGTACAATATGTCATGCCAATGAACTATCCATACCACCAAGCATACGGGAATCCCCAGCCAACGCCAGTATATGCCATCGCTTCACAGGATGAGCACAACTGGGGAGACCAGAATGATGCATGGGGAACTGTCATATACCAGATCCGAGCACCTCCAACACCACCTGTGAGCATCCCTATTGCTGGTCCGACCCTCTGTTTCCCCGTCCGCTTCATTCCTCCTTCCCCAACAATGCACAAAGTGCATCTCAGCAGGAATAGCCCTGCTACCTCCACCTGACTCCAATCTGCTCCTCTGACACTACCCCTATTCCCTTTCCATCTGACCATATCTGGGGTTCTGCTCCTCCGCCCTATCGGTCTGCCCGATCCTACTCCCTCCGCTTTTCCGACCCACTCGGTTCCTTTAGTTCCGCTCGTATTGCCCTGCCTGACTATTAGTCCGCCTGACCACCTCACCGGTGTGGGTACAACAAGTGCAGCAGTGAGAAATTGATCTACTACACAGTTGGGTCTTTGCTGCCTGCTGCCTCACTTGAGAACAAGCATGTTCGACCCTAAAGGGGATTGCTACTGGGGAGTGCTAATCTCTGTCTAAGTGACCCTAATCAACCCTACCGCAGGTAGGATGAGAATCCGCAAAAATGCGGAACAAGCAGAACAAGCAGAACTCAAGTGGAACAAGCAGAACTCAAGCAGAATGAAGCAGAATGAAGCGGGACTCAAACAGATAAATTGCAGAATGTACAGATTCGTCAGAACTTGCTGATCAAGTCAACAGAAGTATATCACAAGGTTAGATTGACAGTGGGCATAAGTCAAAGCAGTCCTCTAGTAAGGTGAAGGAAAAGTCGGAGAAAAGTTGGAAGGTAAAAGATGGGATTTGATAAAAACACCCAAGCCCTGAGTACCACTACTTATAGGGAACATTATTTTCAAGGAACACTGAGGTACAGGTAGTAAACTTCTCAGGAAGCGGAAGTGAAGGCAGGCAGTGCACATGGGTGCAATACTCCAGAATAGGGGTCTGTGCCATAAGGGCATGTGTCAGTGTGATCTGGATAACGTTAGAAGCAACGGGAAGAGAGATACAGCGTACCAATGGACCTGGAAGGATGGGGACAGGACATGTGAAGGTTGTCTGATGATGCATGGGAATATCAGATAGTGTGGGTGGGTTCCGAAGGATGCACGGGAAAGTGGAACCCATCGGACAATGCGCGGGAAATGCGGAATGTGCGGAATACGCAGAACTGATGTGAGACAATCCAGAAAGGATGGGGTTTTATGCCTACAGTGGGGGAATTCCCTATGCTGGTCCACTCCTAGACTAGGAACCACTCAACTGGTCCTATCTCCATTTAGTATCATAGTTCCTCCTTTCGGATCACCGGTAATCCCATACCCAAGTGATTATTGATCTGTCGCGTACATACTATTCTCTGAGCCTGTTAGGTACCATGCTGGCTCAAGAGGCAGAGGGGTCAGGGCTTGGCTTCAGCTCTTGCGCTGCGCCCTTAGCCGAGTATGTGCCCCGAATTTGGAGTGGGTCTGATGTTGTCTGATGGTAGGACAAGTGGACTGCTTGGGTCCACTTTGAGGGTCGGGGAGTAAGAGCTGCTAGCAGCGGACTGACTAGGAGCAGAGCGGAGAAGGTGGGGAACAATGCAGAGGGTGGATGGGAACCAGGGAGATATTTTGATAGAAGCGAAGATGGCGGAGGATAATGCAGAGGATAGGAAAAGGGGTGATAGGAGGATATTGATAGGGGCAGGGGTAATAAGGGAAAGACTTAGAGCACAGCTCTAAGTCGGAGCGGAGGGTTGGAGGTGACAACAAGTTGAGACTTGTGTCCAGAGGAGGCAAGGTCCTACTGAGAATTCTCACAAGATGTAACTGCGAGAAGACAAGTAATATTAAGACTAAGGAAAAATATCTAAGTACATGATATGTTATATACTACTATGTATGAGGCAGTGATCAGGATAACTATGCAGTAAGGCTATATACCAAGGATATAGTTTGTAAGTATTTTACATAGGCGAAGACATAAGTTGGGGCGGATATCAATATGTACACGTCGGATCAGCGATCGAGTGGTAATAGGAATTACCGGTGATCCAGAAGTAAGGGTCTATGTACCAATAGGGAAGGCAATATCTAAAAGGGGAAAGAACTCCAGTTGAATGGAGAGGTTATGGAAGGGGACCGGTTGAGTGGTTGAGTGGAAGTGTAGGGCGGAATGCAGACTTGTGATAGGATGGAGTGGAGGATGAATGGGGCGGAGGGGTTGGAAAGTGGAGCGGACATTAGTATCAGAGCGGTTGGATCAGGTATATGACAGAGCCTCTTTCTTGTATGTCTCAGTCATCTCTCTTGTAATCCTGTACACTCAGCACATAGCCTTCTGCTATGCTATGCTACTTACTTAGAGTATATAAACATATGTACATCTGTTTGTAGATACTCAGTCTGAATATTACCTTTCCTAAGCCCTGCTCTTCTGTCCTTTAACTTAGGCTCAACCCAAGTCAACTCCTGTTTGCCGGCCTAGGGGATTGACTCCCTAGGTCGGCTGCCTTCTCTGCTCGTCCAACTTCCTGTGCCTCCGCCCCCTTTCCTGCGCATCGGACGTGTGGCTAATACTCCTGTACCTCTCTCCTCTGTATTTCCATCCTGTGTCGGACTTTGTCTGAGCAGTCTCCTCCGCTCTGTTCCTACTGTTAGCTCCAACTGCAGTAGCCCTCTGACTCTCCCCTGTAGGGCGGGCCAATCTCCGCCCGATGTTCCCATGCTTATCTAGTAGTCCGTTGGTCCTCCTTCAGAGGACCTCTGCTCCGATGTCCTGTCGGAGCTTGTAGAACTTGAGTTGGACTACAATCCGAAATTAGGGGCATGTACTTGGGTAAAGGGCGCAGCATACGAGCTGAAGCCAAGCCCCTCAGACTCCATCTTACCCCTGAGCATGGTCTTAACAGGAACTCTTGAACCAGGATACAAATAGGTGTTGGAAAATTATGGGGGACCACTGCCAGCACCAGACCAGCAGTAGTCCCACAAGTATTGAGTCCGCCAACCAACCTTCCATCCACATTGTTATCAAACCCTTCCTTGCTTCATACATCTCAAGCGGCATCACAAGTGCCCAGTACTGTACATAATACAAACATCCATCCTATGCTTTCCAAACCCTCTTCTGTTACCTCACAAACTGACGCGCTGTCAGCCAGCATGCTCTTATCTATAGACTCTCTTCTTTCTCCAACTACGGACATAGTGACATCATCCAAAAACCTGCTGTCAAATATGGTACCAGTTGTACATTCCTCTATATCTAGTAATCCCATCACTGATGTCTATGTGGTAGATGCATCGGGCAAGTCAATCCAAACACAAACCAGCAACCCTTTTTTAACAGTACCACATCTACATGGACCTCGAGGAGAGAAAATACGGATTCTAGCTATTGTTGATAATGGCACCATGATTAATGCCATCAATACTGCAGCCTACCAATGAGTTGCACGAAGGCTATCCCTGCTAAGTCCATTATTTAGAACACTTCACATGGCTGACAGCTCCTTAGTACAGTCAACAGGTGTATAGTCAGGGATGATTTCCTAGGGACCAATCAATATACACACGTCCTTCGAGGTCTTCCCCAGTGGAGGATTGTGGTGCATGCTAGTCGGGAAACCACTATTGGAGCAGGTACAGGCAATCCACAATTACAGTAGCAACTGCATAATGCTACTGCACAGTAGCACATTCCATCAAATTCTGAACTTTACTACTTATTGCCCCTTACCACTCCCGTGTTTACCATCTGCCATTTGATTTCCATCAGCCACCATTTTCAATCACCCCTTACCACCATCAGTACATATTGATTCAATAAATGCCAGTAGTAGTAATATCCCACACGTACAAACTGTACCACCCTCATTGAATGTACATAATATCTCATCTCACACTAATACCCCATCTAATCAGTTACCTGTACCTAATAGTGACACAGATGCACTGACCACTACACCTGCCCAGTCATTACAACCAGATTCACTGGTAGAAGAAGAACCCTACCCAATCCTTGAAGTCAGAGACACAGAACGACCAACCATCATAGGTGAAGTGCTGGATCTCTCTTCCACAATGCTACCAAATGACACATTCACCAGACTAATGAAGCATGGGCCCTTCTGGCCAGCATGTGTAGAAGCAATTGTGAACACGGTTCACTATGGAGACTACCTCATGGGAGAACAACGGAACCAAGCACAAGCATTCATAGCTGAGTTCACAGATGTCTTTTCACTATCAGTACGAGAAGTGAAGCCCATAGACTTCATCAGCTTTCACCTACAGATTCCGCCAGGCACAACATTTGCCAAAAAGGTGCATCAACAGCCGTTAATGAAACCACAATGTGAATACCTATTCCCAGTATTGGATGATATGTGAGAAGCACGTTTATCAAGTCAGATGAAGTCAAAGCAGTCGCATCAACAGTGCTAGTGCAGAAAACACACTCAGGTACAAGCCTCTTGATGGAGGACATATGGCAGATCGTGAATAGGCAATGTGTTACACTCAGTGAGCCACTGGATCCAGATATTGACTTAGACTCAACACCAGCAGTAATGCTGGAACCCGTGGATATATCAAAGGTCAAATGGTGCATTTTTCAGAACTTTAATGAGGTCAACAAAGTATCAGAAGTTGCACTGACACCTCAGAGAGATATTGCAGCAAAACAACAGTGCCTAGTGGGACACAAGTACATCTGTGTACTTGACTTTGCAGCTGGATTTTACACAATTCCAGTGGAAGAAGAGAGCCAACCCTACCTATGCTTCTACACAGAAGGTCAAGGATATGAAGCCTACTGCCAAATGCCAATGAGCATCCAAGGTGCACCATTGTGCTTTAGTGACCTTACAGCACAAGCCCTATATGACATCCTCATCAAGTTACTCATGGAATTATACATAGATGATGGTGTGATAGCGGGAAATGATTTTGATGAACTACTAAACCACCTACACATGTTTTTCACCAGGTGTAGAGAATGAAATCTCTCAATATCCCCGACAAAGATGCAGTTGTTCATGAGAGATGTTATCTTTGGAGGAGCACAAGTGGCGCAGGAAGGCATCCGCCCAGACCTGGCAAAGATTGCTGTAGTCACTGAGTGGCATACCCCTCAAAACCTCTTAGAACTGATGCACTTTTTAGGCCTCACAGGGTATTTCAGGCCCCTCATCAATGATTATGCTCATATTGCAGCCCCACTCACTGATATGCTGCACAACCTGGACATGCCGCCACCTAGTGCAAAAGGAGGAAAATGCAAGTATAGACAATTCTTGCAAGATTGCAAACTCAAGACCTTCTGAGAGCAACATCACACGTGCGCCTTTTTAAAACTCAAGCAGATCCTCATAGCAGAGCCAGTACTTCATGCCCCTAGGTTTGACAGATCACCATTCATCATCATTAGTGATGGCTGCAAAGATGGGTTTGGCGCCGTCCTCACACAACAATTCTCCACACAACACCCATCAGGTGAGACAACCGAGAAAGTGCACCCAATCGCATACACATCAAAATGAACCTCACCAGCAGAAGAGCAATACAAACCATACTTGCTGGAGTTTGTGGCTCTGAAGTATGTGTTCAACCAGTTTGGAACAACCATCTGGGGCTTCCCTGTTGAAATTGAGACAGATTGCATTGCGCTATGAGACACTCTGCTGAGCAACAAATTATCAGTAGTACATGCTCATTGGAGAGATGGAATCATCGCATATCAGATCACAGACATCCGACATCATTTGGGCACAAGCAATATGGCAGCAGATGCCCTCAGTTGTCAAATGTCAGGTCATCTGCGCATAGAGGGAGATGGTAATGTATGGTTAGTAAGTGAGGATTGGGAGTCATCACATGGCCTGGTGAATGATCTATTCCTCATCCAATCAGCTAACACTATATCCCAATTGTTAGCAGCAGAACTACACAGTCAGTTCAGTGAAGAACTGCTCTTCTTAGAAGTTGTTGAGGCATTGTTCAACCTTGACAATGACAAACCAGAGTGCAAACGAATATGAGCACAGCATCATGCCCTTGGATATGTAATCGAAGAAGGCAGATTATGGCATATTGCAGATGACAAGTCTACACGCACACAAATGCAGGTAGAATTCATAACATAGAAGGAAGCGATAGCATTAGAAAAGGACACACATGCCAATAACAGGCACTGGGGAAGAAATCACACAAAACTACAGCTCATGGACAAGACCATGAGTCCATGTCTGGATCGCTCCATCATGACGGCACTACTTGATTGCCCACAATGCAAGAACTTCAGCTCAACACAACTCCACGCCCTAATGCACCCAATCACTCGACACCACCCATTTGAGTTATTAGTCACAGACTACCTATCACTTCCTAAGGGCAAGGGTGGATACCACAATGTCCTACTCATCCTTGACACATACTCCCAATATGTATGGGGCTTCAAACTGAAAGTTTATGGCACTGCAAAAACCACAACAAATGGGTTAGATGCAATCGCTCACACCTTCCACACCCCAGAAACATTCATGACGGACAGTGGATCACATTTCAATAATGGAGATGTATAGGCATGGTGTACAGCACACAATACGATGCACCACATCATAGCAGCGTATTCTCCATAGATCAATGGACTAGTCGAGAATGCCAATGGGAAGCTGTTAGGCCGCTTGAAGTGACTTTGCAGCCCAGGGCTAGGGGAAGACAAGTATGAAGACATGAAAGCAGAAGATATCGCTCAGGCATGGCTGGACCATTTTGACACCATGATCCACCAGCTGAATGAACACATCATACCAGCATTCAAGTTTTCACCAAAAGAACTCCTTCTTGGACTGGTAATCAACACCATCCCCACAGCCATTGCAGATGCAAGCACATCCCCAAGCATATCAGATTTCAACATCCACATAGCATATGCAGACCAACAATGACTAGATGGCGCAGACCATGCTGCAGCACACACAATGAGTGGAAAGCCACCTTTGACAAAAAGGTCCTACAGTCACATGTAGGCAAGGTTGTATTTGAACCAGGATAGTTAGTCCAAGTCTATGTGAATGCCATGGATATGACCATGGCAAGCTTGAGGAAACTTGCACCAAGATGGTCCATGCCCAGGTGACTTATCTCTAAAGTTGGCAACTCTTATACTCTCACTTCTCTAGAAAGATTCCCCCTTAATAGACTGTTCCATGCATGGCACCTTCGTCACTTCATCTCATGCGACAGCACCACGCTAGCCACACTTCAAGCTGCACTGCGAGGAGATAATGATAAAGAAACTGAGCTGAATGAGATGTGGTCAACCATTCAGGAGGAACTAGAGGACATGTCGGGGGATGAAGACATCAGAAATGACGATGAGGACATAGACAACGACTGAGCATAAGATGCGCCCCTGGAGGAACACATTTGGAGGGGGGCAAATGTAGTGGGGTGCACACTGCAGGGGTCACGGAGAGGAGATAGCAGAAGGAGAACACAGGGACTAGAGCGAGGAAGGCATAGAGGTTAGGAAAGTAGTGCAGAGAGTAACAGGAGGCAGAGTTCAGGCGTCTCAAGGATTTGGGGTCCTGGAAGTACATGCAACCAGATGCATGTTCTACAGTAGAGACAGAACTACAACACATCTGCGATCCTTCCCTTCTCTAGAGAGCAAGGCTGGTGGGTACAGCAATAGGCACCTTTGATGTTAAGGGAGGCAGCTTGAGTGCCAGGAGGAGCAATAGCCACCTAGAGGGTGGGGGGGGGGGGGGGGGGGGGTGAGTGAGGAGACTTGGAGAAGGAAGAAGGATGTTCAACAGAATTTGCATGGAGGCAAGGAGAAAGGAGAGCCTTTGAGGCTTATAGAGTGCATTGGCTTCCCCTAGCATGTGAACTCCTCAGTGGTTGGTGGCCATGAGGTCATAGGCGAGATAGGGTAGCATATAGGGAAATGTGGGGATGAAGGAAATTCAGAAGGCATGAGGGAGACTTATGAAATTGGTGACTAGCTGGGGTGTGCCCCCCAGCAAGTGGGGAAGTCCTTGGTGTCAATTTCATCATTGATAGAGTGGCCAGAAGGGCCTTTAAAGGAGAGATTGCAACAAACTCAGAATTTTTTGGGATGCCCAGGGGCCTCTTCTTTGACAGCTACTTGCAGTGGGGAGGAATGGAAGGGGCCAATTTTGGCTTCTAAGACAACTAAGGTTTCTGTAACAGAGGCAGATGGGGGGAAGACGGTCACCTTCTGGCTTTGAGGAGCCCTGAAAGAACTTATTAGCAGTGGGAGGTTTGTGTGCAGAGTCATGAGGGTAAGGTTCATAGTGATGAGACTTCAAAGCCACTTTGTGAACCTCTTTGAGGCATGCTTCTCTAAGGACACAAGTTTTAATGCTCTCAAATTGGCAATGGTACTTAGCTTCATTGAGAGGTTGTGGATCCACAGTGTATGAGGCTCATTGGGCCATGTTGAAAGCCAGGATGGTTGGCCAGTGTTCTTCAAAATCGTGGTGTTTGCATAAGTCCTTGTGGTGATGTGTTCATCAGTCGTGAATCTCAGGAGAGGCATAATCTGCAAGTAGTTTGAGAAAACATGCCCAGGCTTTGTGCCATTCTCCAATGGAGATGGAGGATTCTATGAGAAACCAGGAAATGTCAAGGAAATGGAATTTTGTAGGTGCGGAGTTGTGATGGGAGGTATAGTGCATAACAATTTTAAGTGCTGATGGTTCTAAAAATAAGTGAGTTGTGACTTTCATGGTTAGGATTGAGAAAGGGATGTGCTGATGGCACCTGGCCAATTCTACAATGTAAGTATGTGTGCTGTATGTGTCTGAAATGGAGGTTGAGGAGATACATTCATTATTGATATCAAATTGGAGGGTCGGGGCATTGTTGAAAGTATGTACAGTGGTAGATGGGACAGCTGGAGCAGTGATGGATAATGAAAGGGGAGTGGTGGCAGAAGAAGTGGAAGCAGCAGTAGTAGACAAAGAAGAAGCAACACTAAAAATAGTTGCATGTATCTTGGTGAGCTTGGTGATATTTGTATTAGTGGGGTTAGGGGTTAGGGGAGGAATCATTGGTTGCGTAGCAGAGGAGGCAGGAGTAGAGGAAGATGACAACAAGGCATTAGTGTGAGTAGTATTAGAATTAGAGAATATAACAGGGGAAATGGGAGGAACTGTTATGACCAACATTCACCAAATAGCAAAGGTTCAACACACACTAGGACTCAGTCATAGATGATGATCAAAGGAGTATAGGATTGAATGGGAACATCTAGGTTCTACAAGTGTAGGAATGAAGAGGTTAAGTCTAAGGAGTACTGACTATGACTACCCTAACTATATACATAACATCAAGTTGGAGATATCTGAGTATGTGTTAGAGACTGTGCTTGGACGGAGAGGCAGAGGGGTCGGGGCTTGGCTTCAGCTCTTGTGCTGCGCCCTTAACCAAGTACATGCCCTGAATTTGGAGTGGGTCTGTTAGGTACTGTGCTGGCTCAAGAGGCAGAGGGGTTGGGGCTTGGCTTCAGCTCTTGCACTGCACCCTTAGCCGAGTATGTGCCCCAAATTTGGAGCAGGTCTGACGATAGGACGAGTGGACCGCTTTGGTCCACTTTGAGGGTCAGGAAGTAAGAGCTACTAGCGGCGGGCCGACTAGGAGCAGAGCGGAGAAGGCAGGGAGTGATGCGGAGGGTGGATAAGAATAGGGGGAAGGTTTGGTAGGAGCAGAGAATTAAGGGGAGCACTTAGAGCACAGCTCTAAGTCAGAGCGGAGGGTCGGAGGGTCGGAGGTGACAACAAGTTGAGACTTGTGTCCAGAGGAGGCAAGGTCCTACTGAGAATTCTCACAAGAGGTAACTACAAGAAGACAAGTAATATTAAGACTGAGGAAAATATCTAAGTACATGATATGTTATATACTTCTATGTATGAGGCAGTGACCAGGATAACTATGTTGTAAAGCTATGTACCAAGGATATAATTTGTAAGTACTTACACAGGTGAAGACATAAGTCGGAGTGGATACCAATATGTACGCGTCGGATCAGTGATTGAGCGGTAATAGGAATTACCAGTGATCCGGAAGTAAGGGTCTATGTACCGAAGGGGAAAGTATATATCTGAAAGGGGAAAGAGGTCCAGTTGAATGGAGATGTTATGGAAGGGGACCGGTTGAGCGGTTGAGTGGAAGCATAGGAGCGGGTATGGATGATGATTGGACAGAGCAGAGGATGGATGGATGGAGTGGAGGTGATTGGAAAGCAGAGCGGATATTGATATTAGAGCGGTCGGATCAGGTATATGACAGGGTCTGACAATGTCCGATGATAGGATGGGCAGACCACTTTGGTCCACTTGGTGGGTCGGGAGGTAAATGCTACTAGTGGTGACCTGACTAGAAGCGGAGTGGGGGAAGTGGAGGTAGTGTGTTGGGATGGAGGGGGGCAGGGGGATTGGGTTTGGTTGGGTTGGAGAAGTAAGAGCGAATACTTAGAGTGTGGCTCTAAGTTGGAGTGGAAGGTTGGAGGTGATGACAAGGTAAACTTGTGTCCGGAGAGGGAGCAAGGTCCTATGGAGAATTCCCACTAGTAGAGACTGCAGGAAGACAAGTAATATTAAGACTGGGGAGTAGCTAAGTACAGGATATGTTTTTATATACTTCTATGTAGGAGGCAGTGACTAGTTAGTCCTTGGTATGAGGCTATGTACCAAGCATAATTTGTAAGTAGACACAGGTGAAAAACATAAGTCGGGGTGGATATCAATATGTACGCGTCAGATCAGTTAGTCGAGCGGTTATAGAAAGTACCGGTGATCCGGGAAGTAAGTGTTATGTGCAAATGGGGAAAGTATATACCTAACCGGGGAAGGAGTTTACAGTAGAGTGGAAACAATGCAGAAGGTAACCGATGAGGTGGTCGAAGCGGAACTGTAGGAGCGGATGCGAGAGCCGACTGAGTCGAGCAGAGGATGGTTGGAGCGGAGGTGGTAGGAAAGTGGAGAAAGTGTAAGGTCAGGCAGAGCGGATATTAGTAATGTCGGAGCGGTCGGATCAGGTATATGACAGTATGAAACAAATCAGCCAATGAGAAAAGAGTCGTATGATAACTGCAGATGACATAGTGATATATAAGCAATAATGTCCCTTCAGAATGGCTCTCATGTGGTTGTTTGTTTCCCCAGGCATGTCCCCTGAAACTGTGCAGCACAAGGAGGCTCGGCAACTCAGATTTGAATTTTGTTACTCCAACACTGACACATATTGGTCCAATTGTGACTTGATGTGTAGCTATGTTTCGGACATCTTGGTGCCCTACTGAACACGCCAAAAGGAAGTCCATTGCTTTTCGGACTTGGTTGAATGAGACATACCCATGGATCAAGTATCAGTTTGTCCCTGGAAACTGCACAGGCATTGCACAACCATGCAATGTCGGAGTTCAACATCCCTTCAAGCTGGCGGTGAAGCACTCCCAACATGCTGATATTGTAAATGAAGCATTAGCTTTATTGCGAAAGACCCAAGACACTCCATCTGCATTGCAGCTCAATATGACATTGCCCACCCTGCGCCACCGTTCCGTGCAGTGGCTACTGAATGGGTACCATGCCATCAACAAACCTGAAATTATTAAGCAGGCTTGTTTCTACCTTTAACTAAATATCACGGTGTCCTAACGGCTGCACATTCTAGGCTTTTGCATCCTGCCATGCAGGTCCATTGTTCAACCTCTCATTTGACAGCCTTACGAGTCATGAGGCCTTGCAACGACTTCGGGATGTGCAGAAGAATGAGCCAGACCTCTGGACAAAGATTTTGACTCGCCAATATAAAATTTCCCAGCAGAATGACATCGCAGATCAAGAGCCAGCATTCACAGATGATGCCGACACCTTGTACAGAAGTGATGTGGCAGTTGAGGCTGTCTTACAACATATTGTAGATGGTGGCCAGGACCCACCAGCTGGTTACAGTGTTGATCCCAATGGCTTACTTGTCCCACACAATGAGTCAGAGGTGTACAAGTCAGAGGTTGCAGGAAATAATCAGGCTGCTGAGGCCTTGAACACAGGTGAGGGAGAGGAAAGCAAGGAGATGCCTCATTTTGGGAGAGGACAGCGCAGATGCATAGCCAATACCCTATATAATGATTTTTGGTCACACTGCTAACTTGTCTGTAGTGATTTTGTTGGTGATTTTTCCTGTTTCACCGCTTGTCACAAAATAGCTTCACTCCCCAAAATTTAGTGTGACTGTCACATCAAATAGGTTCAATTCGCTGTGGGGTGGGACACATGATGAAGTTACGGTCATAACTCTACAGTACTACAGTTATCAATGGGTACTTGAGACACAAAATTGAAAATTTATGTACCACACCTATACAACACATGATAACAACTCTGTCATATTTTTTCCTGACAAGTAGTCTACCTCAACACTCCAGATCTGAATTTTTAGAGAAAAATATACAACCACTCGAGCACAATGTCCAAAACAGTGAGGGGACCTCTTTTTTGCCCATTATTGTTCCTTGAGACACGTGACTGCTTAGCTAATCTTAGCTTATATCCAAATATAGCAAAATGGTTCACACTCGTCTAAGCTCACAACACTAGCCAACACTGTTTTCTACACCACACATGTAATTCATGATGTTTTCCAGCTATTTTACATGTTCTGGAGAGCTTAGATACTTGTTTTGATTGTTTTATGCATGATAAAGCAGTTTAGTGTTGAATAATGTTGAATAAGATGGATTATAAATTTCAGAATGAGGCTTTGGGGCGTGAAAACACACATCTCAAAAGCAATTTCCCTGATTAAGTTCATAAAAATTTTGAGACCATGTGAGAGGCAAGGTCAATTATCCTTGTGGAAGTATTTTTGAGACTATGAAGTGTGTTGTGAATGCAGGAGATGTGTTTGTATCAAGGAGTGATAGTGTCTCAAGGTGTTAAGGTCATGCTCAAGGGAGAGGTTACTCAAAGGGCTTCGGCTTCAGCTCGTGTGCTGCGCCCCTTACCCGAGTATGTGCCCTTAATTTCCAGGGGACAGAGGGGAAGTTCGACGGAAGTCCAGGGAATTCCAGAGGACAGAAGTCAGTGGAGTTTGGCGGAACTCTGGAAGACTATGTGGGGACGGAGTAAGGCTACTACAGAACAGAGGTTAGACTACCCTAAGGTAGAGCCGGAGAAGTAGTCCTAAGGTTTAACCCCTAAGACTCGGAGGTGGACAAGAGATGAGACTCAAGTCCGGAGATTGCAGGAATGAGCAGAACTAAGATGATATTCGAACTAAGGAGTTCTGGAGTATTACAGGGGTTTATATACTGTAGGTATCATGTAAGTAAATCAGTCAGCAAAGGTAAGGGCTATGTACAAAGCATGTGGAAAGTCTATTACTAAGTGTAACGGATCAAAGCAGTGAAGTCGGAAATGAAGTAAGAATGGACGAATAAGTAAGCATAGCAGAATAGGACATAACCGGTAACTGGAGCAATAGCTAATCTAAAAGGAGTTAGGGGTGAGTGCAGAGATGAAGGCGGAGCGCCGGGTGGAATAGCAAGACAGAGGACCGGACTTTAATGGAGTAGATCTGGAATTCCGGATCCGGAGGTACGGGATATGACACAAGGACCCATTGATAACTGTATCATTTTTCTCTTAAACTTGACAAGTCCTAGTGGTTGTGTGAAACCTTTGCCATTTGGTGAACGTTGATCATAACACTATCTTATCTTTGCTACTGAGGGTTTTGATGTAGTCAGTAGGGAGCTGTTCTTGTATCAGTGAGTGAGCAAATGAATCTAGTCCTTCCAGTGATGCTTCCCACACAGCTTGGATGATCAAGTTCATGTCCATTGGAGTTGTACATACATTAACAACACGACCACATTAAACATTTGCAAATTTCAATATCTCAAATATTCTCGATGAAATTTCAGTTTTCTGATTGGCCACAGGTCACGTGACTGCTCCAAAGCCCGCACTATCCAAATTCAAACCCAGATTTACCAGTCCATCTATCGACGGCTTGCCTCATTAGACGGGCTGGTCACCAGTCTAGCTTCCACGAGGCTAAGTGAGACCAATTAGAGGTGAATATAAGACTTGAGGCAAAATTTGAATTTCAGTGATGCTAGTGGTGGGGACAGGCATCTGTCCATGAGGGCGCACACATGGTTGCCTTTCTGAGAGTTTTCGTGACCGAACAGGGTCGTCCCTTTTAATCGTCTAGCTCCACAAGTAAACAGAGGCAGCGCTTAGACGAATTTTCCAAGACCTAGCCCACCGATATGAAGATAGCTGTAATGATAGCAGCTCGGAGCATGAAGACGACACTACGACATCTGGGCCCTCGGAACTGGGGACGCACAGAAACTCGCATGTATGCTTGGAAATTCGGGCCCCTGGCAGCCTGCTATCTGGCTATTCAGCTGAGCCTTTTCGTCAAGATGGCGTCCAGGTAAAGTTGGTAAAGGGGCTGAACAACTGCGTGTTTCAGGGTGAGTGTTCTTGTTTTTCTTTTTTTGGATTCAGACCTCTTTCAGAGGACAGTGACCACATCTCTGGCGCCACCATCCGACCTCAATTACAGACTGTTTTCTCGTTCATCCTTTTCAAGCCAAGAATTCGCTGAATTTGCTATAGCTTGCGATCAAGGAGTACTACCGTCACCTGTTGATATCTAGGCTACAAAGAAACTCGGTCATCATCGAAGATAGTATCTCCGATTTGATGGTGCGGAAGGCGCACGGCGTTCTCCTGCATGTAATTCACCCTCTATTTCCACCTCCATCTCTATCTTCCTCTCCGCCTCCTTTTATCCGTTAATTTTGTGCGGCTAGCCAAGATCCGCGATCATTATCTATTGTCTGCCAGGGCGGAGCCCTATGTTAAGACATTACATGATGTATGTACATGAACAGGGGCATCGATAATCATACATCAATGAGCACATCCAGTGACTGAGGTTCCAGGGGGAAATGTGACGCTAGAGAAAATGTGTTGCAGCAGAGTTCGCTCTCGCTGACACTCGATATTCCACTGTGCGAGCAGATGACACCGGTGACACCAGCTCAGCTGGTTGTTTTACTGCCCGTGAACTCTAGATTGGCTCTACGAACCCCGCGACTAGAAGCCACGGAATTCTGCCGCAGGCATTGGAAACGCGACCTTCACTTGACACTATAGTGCAAGTGAATTGTATAGTACGAATGGCTTTACTGATGCCGGATTCTGAACCAATATGGATCTAATTCGCTTGAACCAAACTGCTTGGAATATCGACTCTTTGCTGCCAACGACAGTACTTCAGGCAGTGGGTTTTTCCAACTTCATCTGCCCGCAGAGGGGTAGCGTACGTTGTCGTCGTTGACTTACTCCACACTTGGCTGGCTCTTGGTTTAGCCTCCACCATTGCGCATTTCAAGATCAAGCGATTCTGCATTCTGACGATGCTGGCGTGATCGCCGTTTTCGACCTTGCGGATTAATATTTTAACGAGCAGCAGCTATAAGATGCGTGAGCATAGAACTGACGAACAACGAACAAAAGAAACAAACCCGCACTTAGCTTGAAACCAGGCATACACTCGTATTTTTCGACGGTAAGGATCGACTCGCCAACCTGTAAATCCGACTTATGATTCTGATTCACATGGTCTAGATGAATCTCTTGACGATCATTCTCCTGGCATTGACGGCTGTCAGTCCTCTTATTGCACGAGCCATGCCCGCCTCCGAGGACACCGAGGCCTGCGCATGGCAGCTGGTGTGTGGGGGGACGGTGGGGCGGGGACTCAGTTCTGTTGCAAAGTAGGAAAATAAGTGAGGTATGTCGGCAATGACACGCTTTATCAGAACACGTACTTACTGATCACAGAATAGAGGCGACAAATCGTTCTGCTCACATGTTAAGCTGTGATAACTTGAAGGCATCCCCCAAAGATTATCGCAGATTGTTTACGGTAGCATCCTTAGTCGTCCTTGTAAGAATTATCCTGATGGTCCGGCACTTGTCGACTATGGCCAATAAATCAGACTCGTTCTTGGTAACTGACTGTACAGACCTAAGGATCGATTCACGATCGAAAGGGCGACCTGAGTAATAGAAAAGATGTTCGCGATCAGTCTCTGCAGTCAGACTTTGAGGGAAGGAAGACAGTCATAGTTCTTATCAATTCGGCCTTTTGAATAATACAAATATTCATCGCCTAGATCTGTGCGGTGGATTCCAGTTGGTTTCAATCAATGGATGGCGCATCCGCCTAAGCCTCAGTACACGGTACTCACGTGAGGGTGAGAAATCACTTCAGATCACAGCGTAGCTACCTCTTGCACTGAAGTTGCGTCATTATGCGGTAAAGTACTCAGAATATTTATTGATGCAGAGTTCTACGTACCTCAAGCTTCAAGGCTGGATTACATTCCGCTTGCTTGAAGGCTTGTAGACAGGACCCATTTGGTTGTCAGCCGGGACTCAAATCCAGATATCTGCTATGTTCGGACAGACACGTGGGGATCCCTTCGGGGGTCTGTTCGTGGCTGCACTATTGCCCAGTGCTGCGTAATATCATGGCGAGTCACCGTCCCTCCATTACTTTCTGAGAACCAGTTTCACTGCGCAGTTCTATCACATTCCGCTGGTATCATGTTTTAAATACATTTTTTGAGGAATATTATCATCACTCTATGTCTATTTCGAATAGGTAATGTTCACATAGATCTGGCTCGCAGTGCAAAGAACCTGAAATTCTATCATCAGTAATGACTTCGATGAACGATACTCAATGCACTACCTCGCCAGGATATGTGTTAGTGCAGATGGTGTTAACGTTGGGGTTGTTCGCAAGCAACGTGTTGATCGAGATACCAGCGGCATTGGCGACGCTGTAGCACGTGTCGCCGGTCTGCATGAGGTGGGTGACGCTGCAATCTTGGCCGGTAATTCCAAGGCATATATTCTATGACCATGAGTCCAAGCGTTCTTCAAACGTAAAAAAAAAAAGGATTACCTCTCCGATATATAGATTGTCACACGCGGTGTCAATGATGCCGCTGTTGACTGCCGCCAGCTGGTATCTGTGGCATGCATTCGATGAACAAGTGAATGTCCGCGATAAGATGGCACATACGTGGAAACGTTGTAGGCGGCGGAGATTCCGTCACATGTGTCTCCAGCTTGAACTGTAATGTTGCGGTCGCAACCAGCGGGGAGTGCTAGACGTTACCCAGTGATAAACATCAGCATAACCGAGCGTCGAAGAAGACTATTACTGACCCTGGCCAGCAACGACTGAGGCAATGGCGGCAAGCACAACGAGTCTGGCGGTGAAGAATGAGGCGTGCATGTTGGTCAGGTAAGGAAGAAAATAGGTGGGTGATATTTGATGCCTTTTGAACGACTCTTCTGGTTGATTTTATGCTCTTGAATGAAGCACCGGTCTTCAAACATTCATCAAATGGCCAGTGTTTGCCGTTTGCCGACTCATTGTGAGTAAATGGACGTAATGGCAGGCACAATGTTATGGAGAGCTCATCTGCAAAACCACTGAAATGAACGCTTACGACCTCAGTAACGCACTCATGCGATTGGTGGAGATGCTGAACACATAACCAAAAATGTGTGCTCACGAACGCAAACCTGAACTAAACCAAAAGCGAACTGCTCAAAAGCACTTTGTGAGTGCTTTCCAACAAAGTCGCATTTGCTGATGGCTGAGTCTGATCGGTATCATAACAAGATGACGCCCAGAGTCATCTTGCGGGCGGTGCAACTCGGGAATGATGCAGCGTGGGATTGGTAGTTGATATTGAGCTTTGATAGCGTGATCGGTAGTTTAGTTTCATAGTATGGTTTTATTTAGTTTTTGGAACGGGAATTCATAGAACATCGAGCACCTGAGTATTCACTGTCATTTGCTAGTAGGGACCTGCGACAGATGGTTGAACCCACCCTGCCACGTACCGTTGCGCGAGTTACGCACCCTACGTGATGAGAGATCATGGCTGAAACGAAGAAGTGACTCGGAACTGCGGAGTTAAGCTAGGTGCCCATATGGCGTTGTAGCTATGCAGTTCAAAGCGAGTTCAAAGAGTTGATCACGCCGGAATCTCCGGGAAACATTCTTGTCGAAATATGATCTAGGGTGAGAACAAAAGGTACGCGGGTGTCACATTGCACGTGATTGAAGTTACATCGCGTTGGTGTCACAAAGGGAAGCATACGTTTGTTTGAGCCACTACTAATCATGCCAGAAGCGTATTAATATCGTTGGTCTCTGCGCTCGACCTTTTGTATCAACATGGCTCCGAAGTACCCTAAAATCGAAGGTATGTACTCTATCCTGTCAGACCAGGCTATCAAATGACATGATGGCAGGTTATGAGCTCGTTCAACAAATTGGTGGAGGTGGCTTCTCGAGCGTGTTCAGAGCCGTTAATATAGAGAGCCACCAGGTGGCAGCATGCAAGCTGGTCCTCATCAGGGAGCAGACCACTCAGGCGGAACGCAAGCTTATCGACAAAGAGATGAAAGTTCATGCGCGCCTCAAGCACAAGCATGTCCTGGAGTTTCTGCACGCTGCGGTGGTTGAACCCAAATTTAAGCAGCACTATGTTCCTGGAATATACATGCTACTAGAGCTTGCCGCAGGAGGAGACCTCTTCGATAAGATCGGTGTGCTTCGTTGACTGATTGCATATTCCATCACTGACCTATAGCTCAACAGCTCCAGACGTTGGACTTGGAGAGGATGTGGCAAACTACTACTTCCTCCAGCTTCTGGAAGGGATGGTGAGATACCAACGCTGATCATCCATATCCAAGCAAGACCAACATTCCATCACAGGACTTTATTCATCGCGAAGGGGTTTGCCATCGTGACCTGAAGCCGGAAAATCTCTTGCTTGATGTGGCTGGTACTCTCAAGATAACAGACTTTGGTCTCGCATCGGTCTATAAGCTCAAGGAAACCGGCAAGACTAAGGCTATTAGACGGATTGTGCGGCAGCTTCCCGTACATGGCCCCAGAAGTATGTCATAAATACACGTCCTCGGATCGCATTCACAATCAGATTCCAGGTTCACTACGGAACACCGTATGAGGCAGAGCCCATTGATGCTTGGGGGATCGGTGTCATTCTTTTCACACTTCTCGCAGGAAGTCAGTCGATCTCCAGCCATTAACCCGAGTTCTTGCAATTAACGTTCTTCCCAGATACTCCTTGGGATCGACCCACAGTTGACTCAGGAAGATTTCTGTAAATATATCTCGGGTGAGATATTCAATGAAGCCCCTTGGAATCGTCTAGGAGAAAAAGCTCTGTGTAAGCCTGATCAAGGCCCCTTTCTGTCAATGCACAGCTGATATGCCCACCAGCACTCATCTGTGGTCTCTTAACCGTCGAGCCGGAGAAGCGTATGACGCTCCCCGAAGTGTTCAATGACCCGTGGTGCACAAGACCAAGTCAAATCGCGAAGCAAGGCCCTGCCTGCGCTGGCAGACCACTTGACCGAGTCTTTGAGGGCAAACGGTGACATGAATTATGCGATGCCGGACATAACAAGCTCTGCGTACGCTCCCTGGATTATCATCATGAGGCCAATATTCACTTTCATCTGCAGTGGAACTCGCAAAGATGCAGACGGAGACGAAATCATGCATTCCGCAACTCATCAGTCTCAGTTCACTCAGTCACTTCTGTTATTCGTATGTCTTATAGACATACATTTTGATTCCATATTGAATACTATTTTTCTTCAGTCACAAACACAGTCAGGTCGCAGATACACACCTAACCTCACACGCTTCTATACTTCTCTTGGGCCAGGTATTATGATGCAACTCATAAAGGAATCCTTGAGTGCCCTCGGCGTCAAACACAAAGACGGACCCACAGGCGAGGACGAAGGAGGGGAAGTCCTTCGGTTGCGTGTAGGCGGGTATGATAAACGCAGAATCACGTTCAAAGGCTGGGTTGAACTCGAGAACTTCCGTTACGCAGAAACTGACGGAAGCTTCTGCTTGATGACTCGGGATGTCGTAGGTTTTGTTTCATCCTCCATTTTTGATTTCGAGCTCACGGAGCCGTAGGGAAATCCTATTTCGTGGCGCCAGTTGTGGAAAGCACTGATTCAATCACCAGCCGTCGATCCTCATGTGCTCCGCAGGTGATCGCAACTCACGTTTCAGGAAAACTGCATTAGCGCTATGACGCTCAATACTATACTATGTTAGCCTATATGTTATTCACATGACCTTATGCTCTTCAGATACATTCGCGAATTTGTTGTTTATTGCCTTGTACATGATCTGATTGAACGCTTCCGTATGCAGACACCTGTTGCACCAAGAGACGATGCGTAAAAGAACCGAGTGATCCTAGAGGGCTGCCTTATAATCTTGTGCAGTATTTACCGTGACCATGCGGCCTGAAGTTCAAACCGATGAACAGTACATACTATATATTTGCACAGCGACCTGAACCTCTAAGACGGATGACTTGTGGTGGACCACGCGCAGTGCTACTTGCGCTCCGCGAATGGGTGAGTTTGTTCATTACTGCTCCTGGCCCTTACCTCACAAGTCCGTGCATCCAAAACTTTGCAGGGAGTGGACACAGTCACGTCGCAAATATGGGTCTCATCTCCTGCAATTGCATACTTCTCTTCGCCCGGGGATTATGAAGTGCCTCGGTGTCAAACACAAATATTCGGGTCAGGACGAACGAGCGTAGGTGGGTATGTTAAACACATAATCGGAGCTTTCGCTTAATGACTCAAGATATTATAGGGTTCGTTCCGATTACCATTTCTGAATCGGAGCTCACAGTCGTATGAAAATGGGGTCAGATGTCCCCCGCAGATGACCGCACCTCAGTTCTTATGGGTATAAGAAAACTACATTAGCGACAGACACGCGTGTCATTAGTGCTGACGCTCAACACACTGATGTCAGACAGTATTATTCACATGACCTCATGCTCCTTGGACATCTTCGCGAGTTCGTCTCTTGCTGCCTTGTACATGATCTGATTGAACGCTTCCGCATTCCGGACACTGTAAGACCAAGAGTTGATGAGTGAAAGTCAACACCAAGACAACAGAAGAAGACTTACTCGTCGAAGTCAGCTTCCACAGATGATCCAGGGGCAGCCTGGGCCACCCTCTCATACTCTTGCCCGTATTCCAAGGCCCACTAGAGGTGTAATTAGATATCTGACAACGAGAGAACCGCACGCAGCACACCTTGGCAAACAGCCTCAATTTCCATGCGCTCCGTTCAGTGATTACCTTGCGGCCAGGAGTAGTAAAGAGTATATATTCGTAGAGCGTCTGCACCTTCATCCAAGACCATGCAGCCTGCGGAACCCCAAGCTCCTCCGTCCGACACGCACGACACGCCGCTAGGTTGGAAAAGATCCTCGTAAACGCCTTGGCTAGAGAAGTGATTTGCACGGTGTCGAAGTTACACTCCAGCCACGAAGGACCGAACTCGAGCATCTGGATCGATGGAAGATGGGAAGCTGAGGTTCCCTTCTGAACCGTTCTGCTCGCACGCATCCACAGCGTGCATGCACGCATCGACACTGGCCTTTGACGATGCGTCGAGGCACAACCCAAGCGCTTTCAAATTGTGACAATATCGCGAATAAGTGCACCAAGGACGCAATGCTGGCTGGAGGTCTGTGGGCCCTGATGACACGCTGGACAATGGACGACAGGTACAGCAGCTGCGCGGAGCGCCATGCCTGTGCGACGCGCAGATGGTCTTCATCTGTGAGATACAGTGGGACACCGAGACAGGCCGAGAAGATCTCGAGATTTGGGAACTGCAGGGCAGGCTCGATAGCGTGAATGTCTAGCAGGAATTGGTGGGTGTCGATCGAATTGGAATCCCATTGGGCAAGGTCGTTTCTTGAGAGCACACAGAAGTCATAATGATCTTCTGTAATGACTCCTTGGATGCAGCGGCAACGATTCCAGATAGCACTAATGCTACATTGGCATTGGTATAAAGACCGTGCATCCGCAGGATCGCAGACTGGATAGTACGATTAGCTGGAAATACAGAGCATATGCGGCTGATAACATCAGGAGAACCACCAAACGTGACGTTCTTCAGTGATCTGAATGTCTCTGGCGTGCATGGGGATGGACGGGGAATTTCTTCGAAAGGTTTCTCGCAAACCTGGATGGTCAAGTCCTCCAGCTTGTGAAGCTGTGAGGTTAGATCGAGGACTTGTGGTAAAGAAACGGCGGTTATGTAGAATGCGGCATGTGTTAGGCTTTGAAGACACGCTATATTCAGATGATCTTGACCCGGGGCTTTAGTAAGTGACAATGACGGCAGTGCTTCGTGCAAGTCAACTGCAGAGAAGCGCACAAGGTTTGGCGCACGCTGGAAAATGGACATGTACGCCGACTCGATGAGATCATCAAGGTCTTTGGGGCGATCGAAAATATATAGATCTTCGTCAAGAGAGAGCGAGATGTCGGTTGTTTCCGACGTGAGAAGGGCAGGGAGAAGACGAAGGCCAGCCTCGGACGATATACGAAGGCGCAAGACATCTACGCGAGGAGTTAAGAAGATATTGTACTCGACGATGTCGTTTATTAGACTGCGATGGATAGGCTCGCGTGGTTCCGAAAAGGAGAGCGTGCGTACGCGGCTGGATATTGAGATATAACGCTGGCGCTCTGGTGACTGCATGTCCCAAAGAGCCTGCGGTGAAAATCAGTAAACTAACGGGAGCTAGTAATAGAGCAACGAGATGACCTTTGAAAGTCGAGCTGTATCACTGTGCTCTTCGCGAATATCAAGAGGAAGGAGTCGAAGAAGCGGGAGCAAGCTGTTGATATTTCTCCATAGGAAATCCAATGCAGGGTCTCGGAAAGTCTTGCAGACCTGAGAAACCCTAGCTATGTCCTTGACGCCCTGGCGAAGGTTGGGTCCCTCGTCATTATACACCTCGCGAAGAATGTGAGTGAGCAGCTCGATAATTGCGAGGGCGCGATGCATTTGGGCACATGATTATCACGAGTCTGAATATTTGAATGCTCCGTGACAAAGTGCACTTCCGAGTCGTTATCAGGGTTAATATGATGTTCCATCGATCGATTGACAGCCTTGGAGACCACATTGACAGGACTCCGTAGTAACAGCTTGTTCGTCCCTATCAAACGTGTCGAGGTAAGTGAAACAATCTGAAACAATTTGATCCTATGTACTAAAAGTACTGTTATGGCGCCAGCCGGTCATGGTATGCATATGACGTCGGAGACCATTGCGGAGATTGGTAATCCTCTGGCATCCTATACAACAACCACACCAAGAATGTGGTCTATGAAGGAATCGCATTAAACAGCAGTTCGTAACCTTATCAAAATTTTGTAGGTCCTCGCGATCAAATTCGCTGAAGCAAAACATGCATGGTTCCACTCTCATGACCACGTTATCGTGACGATAATGATTCGTCACCAGAGACGCCGAAATGGTCAAACTGACGCATTATGGACTATCACTGCTACGGCCCATCCACATAAAAGAAGTTAGCTGCTACTAACTTGAGATCATAGCTCGCAGCAAAAGTGGTAGCGTTCCAATTTTTCCTGCTGTTGAAATCGTTTCCGTTCTCGACTGCATCCGCAGGAATTGCGAAATTGATGCTCGGCTCTCGATATAGCAGCAGCACTACGGGAGATCGTTGGCATTGAAGAGAATCGATGACCACACTCTTACCGTATCTGTGAGAACCGCTGCCCGCAGGAGGGTTGGGAGAAAGGTACGCAGTTGTATCTGGTCGCGTAAACTCTGCAGAGGCATTGACGGCTTGGGGAGGCCCTACGCCCGTAGCCTAGCGGCGTAAATAAGTCCATACGCAAACATCATAATATTATCGAAGTGCGCATGAACGCACCAACCAATGTCTGTATTGCCCATATTCCTGATTCTCCCTTGTGGGTGCATCGGGGTCCGTCATGACGATGGTGTAGAGAGCTTCGCCATGCATTGGCGTGAAGCTAACTAAAGGTGGAGTAACACTGCTCGTGGAGTCAAGGGTGTTGCCGAGCAGTGCAGGCCCTGTTGGAAATGTGACGGAGAGAAGCGCTTGAGGATGGAATGGCGGATTGGCCGGAATAACATCTGGAATGATGCCATCCTGTTTCATCGGTATTGTCACGAAGTCATAAGGATGCAATGATAATACTGGGCAAACTGAAAGTAGTGCGACGGCAAAGCGCAGCGAGTACAGCATGTTTACTGAGACTGAGAGATCGCCATTTCACTTCACAATTTTAAGCGGCTGCATACAGAGTCCGAGCCCAATAAGTCAGGATCCCGTTACTTAGTGACGTTGATCGACTAAACTCCGAGGCTGGCACATCAGGAAATGCAAAATTCACGTACATAGGCAGACCTTGCATAGACAGTGCCACAAAAGGGTAATGGATGGCTGCACGTATCAACTTCGATTTTCTCCTGCTGAGTCCTGACGGTGATACGCGCCGAGTTTTGAACTGAAAGAATGGCGTATAACTTACTTATGATGATGGTTCTATACGCGCTAGCGAAGTGAGAGCTCAGTAATGTTAGAGAACAATACTGAGGTGTCAACAAGAGGCTCGACGATGTAAGTACCAACGAAGGTAACGTAACACCGGAGGATCGACGAGCGGAAGTGCCATAAGGTGCAGAAGTCAAGAAGTACCGGACAGTATGGTGATCAACATAACGAGATAATGTAAGAAAGGAAACGAAGCTAACAGCTTCTTGTAGGCAGACCCGCTAAGTCCCTTCTGTATCATGTTAAGGTTTACGCTGCACACGATACGACAGAAAACGATAACGTTTCGAGATGCTGGCAGAACGGTCCCGGGGTGCCTGCCAGCAGCCAGTAGCTGGTGAACCGGTGAAATTAATATCATGCGCCCGAGAAGCCTTTGCAAAACAAATCACAACAAACACTTCTGGAGTGGCGCGCCGCGTTTGTATCAGACGGACAGTCACGGACTCCAACCTGTTTCGGTAGCATTGGCTCGTAGTACAATTTCGCATGACTTCAACCACTTGTTGCGCTTCGGACCTCCTATTCCCCGACATAGAAATAATTCACCCCAACTAGCTTCAGCCCGTACTGTTCAGCGAACTTCGCTGCATTCCATTTCATTCGGTTCTTGGACTCGTTGTCGCGTTCCGGGGCATCGGCAGGGATCGAAAAGCCCGCATTGGGCTCCTGATATAACAATACGACTGGTGTAGCAACAATTATTATCGTGTGGCAACTTAAGAAGTTGTTATTTACCATAACGATGCTTGCCAGACCCCGCAGGAGGAGTGGGAGGATAATACGGCGTCACAGCGGGTGTGGTGAGCTGTGCAGCAGGGGTCACCTGCCTCGACCGGCTGACGCCGAAGGGACTTTCACGCCAGTGACCTACGCATGAATTTAGCTAAAATGTCTGTTGTCTATGAAGTCACTGACAACCCAGTGCCGAAATTGTGCGTATCTTGGGTCCGCCTTGGATGGCGCGTCTGGATCTGTCATGACGAGCGTATAGGTAGATTCACCATTCACAGCCGGAACCTGCACTGGTATGAATGCGACAGTTGGTTCATCAGCAGTATCCGTTTCTGTGAGTGTATTCCCAAGAAGGGCCTCTTGGCCGGTGGGGAAGGTCACGACAAGCAGATCCTTGGGATCGAAAGAAGGGTCAGCGGGAATAACGTCTGGAATGAGGTCCTTGTCCTCGATATCTTGTCTAACAGCACTGAGTGGATCAAGGAGCATTGTGGGCTCCAGTCGAAGGTGTCAACAGAGGAGCTAAAGTCAAGTGGGCTGATAAATACGGTCCCGCACAGATTGCTTAAACAGTGCCAAAGCGAGTTGACAGGGGAGTCTGGGGCAAGGTGAAAGTCTGTGCAAGTCTTATCTGCGTCATCGGAGAAAGGGGTGTTTATGTAATATGTCTTGCTGGCTGTACCATTTCGGAGAGCCTAGGAAGATGCTTTTATAGTGCCGAGGATCTACAGAACATTCCATGCAAGAGTGTCATTAATATCGTATCACTCGCACGTCGAATTCAAGAACTGCAACAAGCTCTGCCTATTCGCGTCCATCTCAAGATCTCTGGCGTCTTTATGAACTTTCAACTTGATCTGAAGCAATTATCATCAGATAGTCTGAAGGCCATAGGGACAGAGAAAACAGACCTTCTTGCCTGTTAAGACGCTGCGCCTTTCCTCCTTGTCCTTCGCCTTATCCCGGTCCCTGTGCTTCTTGTGCTTCCTGTCTCGGTCTTTGTCTCTGTGCTTCGACTTGGACTTGCGAATATCGCGACTGCTTGAACGAGAACGAGAGCGGTGTGTTGGAGACTTCCCACGCGACCTATGATGACTACTGCCACCACGGAGTTCATTTTCCTCAGATGACGTCGATACAGCAGAGTCTGTTGAAGGCGAAGGCGATCGGCGTCGATGTTCAGCAGTCTACGCATTTATGTACACATCTTCAAAGGTCAAAGGCAACTCGGTGAAAAATTAGGGCGTAACGTACGACGCTGCGACTTCTGATTCGCCCACGCCTTTCGGAAGACTCGTGGTATTTGTCTCGATCCTACAGCAGCGTTAAAACACTATGGGGAAGAGAATACAAGTATCTCACATTACGACTGTCCTTCCCTCTGTCTCTCGTATCGTCATGATACTTGTGACTGCGTGAGCGGTGTGGACTTCGGGACCTTGAACGCCTAGCATGGCGAGACCTTCTGTCTCCTTCGTCGTCGTGGTGGCTGCGCCTATCAGGAGATTTAGAACGGCTCCATCCTCGATCTCCCCCTGTTCAACGAATGCATATCATGACATGTTATGAATATGAGCATAAGTGAATGTGTTGTCGCCCCATTACCAGCACAGCCGACGTAGTGCGTGGTAATCAGCATGGACACAGAAGGTCAGTCAAGAATCTCTAAAGAGTCACGAACAACATTTACCACTTCGTCTATGATGATCTCTTGAGTGGTGTTCTCTTTCTCTGCGTCTTCTCTCGCTCATGAGAGTTGTTGCGGAAGGGTGACAGCGGAATCAATTTATTTAAACAAAATCAAATTGGGTTGTTTGGCATCAAGTCTCTGGACCAAACAACACAGGGACAAACAGGGGCAAAGGTGTCCCTTGAGTGTGAATTAAAAGTGACGGAGGAAAATTGTATGTCCGATAGGTAAAAAAACATATGGCGGATGATATGGATGGTACAATTCAACATGAAGGTAATCCGCTAAGACTACTAGTACTTAGACGCACTCCCCTACTATCGGTTACGGTCTATTCGTGATGAGCCTCCATTTCGTGAGTCACACTTTTGGGCATGGAAACGTGATGGCTTGTCACATGGTGTAACGGTATGTCACGAAATTCACCGCGAAAAAGTGTGACTCACGAAATGACGGTCCATCACAAATAGATCGTAAGGGATAGTATTTCATTTATGGCTGTCAAGGTCGGGATTGTCTTCGCTCGAAACAAATTCATCTCCGAACTCAGCAGTGACAACGCGGGATCATTGCTAGTGCAGGTGATATCTTGGTTGGTATTGCAAACAAACAACCCAATTGTCCACACCATTCGCACGAACCTCTACCCTGTGCGAGGTTTGATAATGATAGGACCGTAGGCCATCAGGTCGTTGTCGCGATCTATGGGACATCCTGCATTAGAAGTGAGGTGAATGGATAGAAGTGTTCCTTCAGAAATTAAGTGTTTGGAACTAGGCTACCAATGGAACGGAAGGACTAATCGTCTGGAAGTAATCGATTATCAAGCTCGAGAGACTCATATGGAGTACTCAGCAGATCAGGCGATGCTCACACAAGCTGGTTAAAACGCGCGACCACGTTAAGCATTTAATCTGCGCGCTGCCAGATCCCAACTAAGCTGATATTATAAAACTGCACAGTAGGGCCGACGACGACGTTGATCATCGTGTACGAGTATCAGCGGCGCCAAGTAAATTTACAGCAACAGTATTGCTCTCTTGAATACGTTTGAGGAGCTCATAAAGCACTTCTACCTCGCGAGCCGTGCCATCGATGAGTTCCTGTTCTGTAGGAAGTCTCGATGATGCGCTCTGAGACTCGGGAGCGGGTGGCAGGGGATATGCGCCTATACCAGTTTGTCGAAGAAATTCAGCCAGTGAGCGAAGTGACTGCATGAGTGCGGCCAGTTCAGCTGGAAGGCGGCAGCGTAAAGTCACAATCGCAATATAACATGGATCGTACTTGCCTGCTGTGTGCGCTGGACTATTTCCTGCCTGGTATGCGTTTTGTCTAATTATAACAATTAAACGTCGTAGAAGCATGATGTGGAGCAGAGAGCCTTACATGTCATGTAAGCAGCTACGCGCTAGTGACTGAATTCTCGCGGCATGGTCAAGCGCAATTTGCACGTTCTGCTTTAGCGCGTCTGGTGAATTTGGATCGGTGTGGACGGTGTTGTGCAGCGATGATTGCGACATGAAGACGGGGCCATTTGGAAAGCCAGATGATGATATTGATAGCGCAGTAGAAGATTGACTAGAAGTATTCATCTCACTGCCTACGAATATCGTGACACTGATTCTGAGTGACTTAGCATTTGATTGTTTGGTTATGTTGTGTTATATTATGTATATACCTGTAAATATATCATTATTACATAATGGTGTTTGTTGACGCCTGTTAGGATTAAAAACCTCTCCAGAGTCAAGCTTCATTCTCACTAGTCAGTATGATTCTGAATGTGTGTTAGCATTTCGTCTTAGTTTCCCCTCCTTGATTTTCAACGTCTCCAAATGTCCACTCTCTGTCCCCCGACAGTATATCTTCCACCAATCGCCAAGATCGCGTTTTTCTCTGTCACCCAGCTTCTCGATGCCTTGACCTATTTGCAATCACTTTACCATCCAGAAGTCCGTGGTTCGCGTCGCAAACGTGCGCAGGCATCTACATTCGATGGAACGCAAAAATTGCACCTTCGTCATGACGATGATAGCGAAGGTTCAAGATATCCGATTCGACGCATTTGAGCGCTCGTATTCCATTCGGTGGCTCACCGTTCTTATCGCCAAGCTCGAAATCTGGCAAGATTCATTGCACTCTGGGGAGGTCTCATTGGATGATCTAGGGAAACCAGAGCCCAGCTTTGCTCACGTGGAAATGCTCGTCGAACGAGCAGCGTCGCTACTGGCGATCTGTGCCGGGGTCGCTGCTGCGGGAACGATAACTCGTAATTTCATTTTTGGCTCTATGGATGGGCAGAGGAGAGTGGAAGCCCAGCTGACGGATATTCCGCTGGAAAATGATGACTATGGAAGTGTGGGAGCGCAAACATGGGGCGGGGCATGTGTCTTGGCGGAAATGATTGTGGAAGATCCTAAGCGGTTTGGATTGGATTTGTCCTCTGGTGGTGCTGAATCACGCAGGTTCAATGTCCTCGAACTTGGAGCAGGAACAGGGTTGGTTAGCTTAGGTGGTTGCAAAACTACTAGGATAGGTTATCATCTTTCGAAAATTGCGAGGTTTCTGTGGTTGCGACCGATTTCCTACCCTTCGGTGTTAGCCAACCTCAAGTCCAACATCAATGCGAATTTTCCCTCCACGCACGATCCAATTATCTCGACCCATTCCATTACTACTCACTTCCTCGACTGGTCATCATTCTCTACTACTCCTCGACCGGATTGTCTTTCATGCCCATTTGATGTGGTCTTTGGTGCGGACATCATTTACGAAGCCCAACACGCGGTCTGGATCAGAGACTGCCTAAAAGGGCTCATGCGTTGTCCTTCTGATGGTATCGTATCTCCTGCCACTTTTCATCTTGTGATACCACTTCGCCCAACACACGCATTCGAGTCGAGCACGGTTGAGTCCGTGTTCCTCGAGGCATGTGATATCGATCCGAACGGCGATGCCGATCTCGTTATACTATCAAAGGAATCTATTACATGTGATGCACATTGCGATTATACACGAAGAGGGGGTCTCGGTGAAGATGTGGAGTACGTTTATTATAAAATTGGCTGGTCTAATGTACGATTGTAGAGTCATAGAATCTAGATCATAGTCATACGTAGAGTTTACTAGATAACATAGAGTTAACGTTTCAGTGCGGCGCTTATGCTAGTGTCTTAGAGTTTATGTAAACGTTGACAGGCCCCCGAGTCATACTGAAACCTGAAGTAACCGTTTTTTATCGCCCTCAGGACCTCAGGCTCCATGATATGATGTGCATGGAGGTGTCGGCGAACATCTCATCGCTCAGTCATGAGCGATCATGCCACTGTGTTTGAGGATAACAAAATGTTTTACTGACACGAATATTACGAGGAAAATTAATTGATGCGGAACCGGTCAACGTTGCAATTTTGCAATGTTCAACTTTTGAAAAATTTGAAGTTTGAACACCCTACAAAACGCTACACTGAAATAGCCTCTTCTTGGTTCCTTCTACCTAAGTAAATATGTGCCGCTAAGTGCTAGCCATACGATGCCTCTGATCATCTACATTTGCAGCGGCTCCCAGGCTAGCTCCAGTATCACACTCGGGCCTTCATTGTGATCTCCTTCTCCAGAAACTTCCTTTGCACATGTGGTCCTTACCTCAACTCCCTACTAGGTTGATAGAACTCCGTGGTCGTGTCCAACGGTTCTGGACGTCGTTCAAGTCGCAGCAGACGGTGCTAGACTGCGGACAACTTGTCGAGCTATGGCCACTAGCAGGCATCGATAGATCTTCAATCTCGCCTCATGCACAGCAGACAGGTACCGTGGGGGTCCAGCCAGTCATCGGAACAGAAAGTGATGTTCCGAGATCCGACTGGATGCCTTGTGGAAGACTGAATCAAAATGCCGTGGTCAAGGCGTGACTTGGGCGGCTTGCCCTAATCGTTGATTGACGTTGATTGATATTGGGCCTTGGCTGACTAGGCTTTAGTAACTCAGGCACATATAGTAAGAACATCGCCAGCTCATGATATCGGTGGAAGCAAGAAAACTGGTATTGAACACCACTGCTAAGCGCTGGTGATTACGAGATGCTTACGACGACCTCGACCCTCATTTTTTTAAACTCTCGGTAAGTACGCTGGTAGCTGTGTTAAGGCCCAAGGTCTCTGATCTGGGCCTCAATCGAAGCTCTGAGTGTAAAACATAAACTTTGACGTGCTGAATACTTCCAGCTGAATTCAACCCTCAATGGCTCAGTGTCCACTCTCATCAGAATTCGATATCATTTTTGCTGGAGGTGAGCCCTGCTAACGATATCTTGCGATAGCTTATCCTGCTGACAAAATGCTCTGTGCGCAGGCGGTGCTACAGCTTGTGTTGTAGCAGGTCGCCTAGCTGCATGCGATTCCTCTCTCAAGATCTTGATTTTGGAAGCGGGCGAACACACCCTCAATGAACCTGCTCATGTTCAACCCTATCAATATATCACCCATCACGCGCCTACGAGTACAACTCTGACATCCAATGTTGGAAATCCTACTCCGCGTCTCAATGGTCGTGCACCAATCGTTCACTGCGGTCATTGCGTTGGTGGAGGCTCAAGTGTGAATTGTTCGTGGCTTATTTGCAGCGGCGAACACGGCTCTGATGTTTATACAGTCATGGTATACACTCGTGCGCCTGCCTCAGATTTCGATGATTGGGAAGTCGATGGTTGGGGATCTGAGAATTTAATTCCTCTCATGAAGAAGGTTGTCGAATGCGTTGTCACTATATTTGTCGAGCTGAACTATTGCATTTTATGCAGCTGGAGACATACGAGGTGCAGCCCGATCGTCCAACTCACGGGTACAATGGACCTATCAAGGTGTCCTCTGGTGGGCGCAAACTAGGTATCAGTGAAGAGTTCGTCCATGTCGGCACGACCTATCACAAGAGGTCATACGCCGATGACACGGATGATCTAGAAACATGCAACACATACAGCGTGAGCTACTACTAGAATGTTCCTTCCCTGTCTGAGATCACTAACTAGATTATATCAGCCGTGGGCGAAGTGAGCCTGCACTTATAGCATACTGTGGATCAGGCTCATATTCAAGAAGGTATATTGACGGGACAACTGGAAGGCGTTCTGACGCGGCACACTTGTACATCTACAACCAAGCTCACAACCCGAATTTACAACTCTGGGTGGGCAAGCGCGTGAAGCGTATCATATTCGAGTGAGTGACCCGCTTGGGATCGCAACCATAGCCGACTGTTGACGACCTTTTCCGAATCAAAGGGGAAAACGTGCTGTAGGCGTCGAGTTCACCAGCGACACAGTGTCTTGCCCAGGCGCGGACCAGTTGTCGAACATTGCGAGAGCATCGAAGCTTGTTGTTGTCTCTGCTGGCGCATTCGGTTCTCCGGCCATTCTCGAGAGGTCTGGGATCGGTGCCGATGCGGTCCTCAAGCGGTGTGGCATCAAGCAACTGGTGAACTTGCCTGGCGTTGGAGAAAATTATCGAGGTCTGTGAACGTCCATTGATTTCATCGTCTTGGCTTAGGTCATCAGATCACAATGGTGCTATCGTTCCATATTTCGCTGGTGACGGGGTTGTTACCATGGACTCCCTCTGGCGTGGGGAGGAGAGTGTTGTACAGGGTAAGCATCTTCTTGCTATATTTCCAAGCACTCTTCACCTATCCGAAATTAGAAAGCGTTGCGCGATGGAAAAGTGATGGCAAGTCACTCATTGCCCAAAAGTCGGTACAAGCTATTGCTGCTGCTGAATGTACTGATTAGGTAGTTGCAGTGGAATTGATGTCAAAATCAAGTGGCGTCCTGATGATGACGAGCTGAAAGCCATGGGTTCAACTTTTCAAACACGATGGAAGGAGTTCTTCCAGGACCGTCCCAGACAAGGCTGTTGCCATATTCGCCCCCATGGCCGGGTGTGTGCATACCGCTTCATTTTGACGACCTGCGAATGCTCACGATAGCTAGATATGCTCCACTCTCGAGTGACTTTCCTCCTCGCAATTACCTGGGTGCTGGCTATTTTACAGTAGTGCACCCCATCTACCCCGTCATTTTGGCTCTGAATCTTTCGATAGCTTTACCCCACGTCTGTTGGCAGCGTTCATATCAAGTTGGGAGACAACGGCAAGGAAGAGCTCGACTTCACTACGGGCTACCTCGACGAGTGAGTCAGTACATTTTATTTTAGGCGCCTGTGTGACGACGGTAATTGGCTCAGTCCATCCGATATCGTACCTCTTAACTTTGGGTACAAAAAGATGCGCGAAATCTTTCGACGCATGCCTTCCTACCGAGGCGAAGTCCACACCGGTCATCCTCGTTTCCCAAAGGGAAGCGCTGCAGTGTGCAGAGAAGCGTCTGGGCCAGTGGACTTGAATGGTCCTGACATCATCTACACTGCTGAAGATGACGAGGCGATCGATAGATTTCATCGTGATAACAGTACGTCCTGACTTGACACCCCCATTGTTACGATAAAATATTGAACTGAATCTCAGTGCAAACGTCGTGGCACTCGGTGCGTGCAGCTGACACTTTGACAATTCTACACCAGGTGACTGACCCTTGTGTTCGTAGCTCGGGACTTGCGCAATGAAGCCGGAGGCGGATCAAGGAGTCGTCGACGCTCGGTTGAACGTGTACGGCGTGACGAATCTCAAGGTTGCAGATATGTCTATCGCACCTAAAAATGTCGGCACGGTGGGTAGTGTATGGGGAATTAGTATCGACATGTGGTCTAACCGTCTCCCCAGAATACGTATTCGACGGCTCTCCTCATTGGAGAGAAGGCTGCAATAATTATTGCTGAAGACTTGGGTATGCATTGTAGACTATGTACGTGGTGATGGGCAAGTACTCAGGCACGCTCATCTGGGTTGTCCGTGTATCAAGAATATGGTCCCAGAGAAATGTATTCTAGGATCATGTAGAATTATTATGTTGCGTTTTAGAATTTTCCGTGGCGATTTGACTGTTAGAACGAGGATTGTGTGTGCGAAAATAGCTTCCAACATTATAAACTTTAACGTGGCACAAGAACTACGTGATTTTCGAAAATAATAACAATACGGACGTGTATGATATGCTGGGTGATCCCATATGCAACATAGTTAACGATTCCGTGAAAAATTCCGTCTACTAGAGTGGAAACGCATACTCTTGGGAGTAGTAAATGTGGCTCGCAGTGCAGAGAACCTAAAATTTCACCATTAGTGATGTATCCATAAACCACATGCCATATGTACCTCGTCAGGATATAGGTTAGTGCAGTTGGCGTTTATTTTTGGATTGTTCGTATACAATGTTTTGAGAGGGATATCAGTCTCATAGATAATTTTGTAGCATATGTCGCCGTATTGCACGACATAGGTAGCATCACAATCTTGGCCGGCAATTCCAAGACATAAAACCTATGACCATGAGTCCAAGCGTTCAAACGTAAACATGTCTTACTTGTCCGGGATACAGATTACTGCAAGTGGGGTCAATGTCGGGGTTGACTGTCATCAGCTGGTATCTGTGGCATACGTTCAATGTTAAGTGAATGTCAGGGATGACGATGGCACATACGATTGGAACTTTGTGTTCAGCGGAGATTTTGTTACATGTATCTCCAGCTTGAACTATTAAGGTGCGGTCACAACCAGGGGGAAGCGCTAGACATTAACCAGGAATAAACATAAGTATAATACAGCGTCGCAGAAGACAATTACTGACCAATAGCAAGTGAGGCAATGGCGGCAATCGCAACGAGTCTGGTGAAGAATGAGGTGTTCATGCTGGTCAGGTAAGGAAGCTCAGAAACAGGTGAGTGATGTTTAATGCCTTGGAAATGACTCTTCGAGGACGAGTACTTGTACTAGAATCGAAACGGAGCTTGAAACGATGTGGTTTGTCTGAATCAACAACTTTGAGAAACCGGGGGTAGCAAGACACATAAGATGAGTATGTATCAACTGGTGCAAAGGACCGCCACGTCATTATTGCCCGTTCGCAAAGCCATCCGTTCTGTCGCGTAATTTCAGATCCGTTTCTACGGGATGAAGTTAGTCGGAGGATCGCGGATATACGGGGCTATGAATCGTGGCTTCACGTCCAACTTGCCTGGTTGCCACAAACATTTCTTTCTGTAACAATCTACGGAAGCGAAATTATCGCGTTACACAAGGATTTTACAAAGGGTGCTCTCACAGGGTGTGTGACGAGCACTCCACGATGCTGGCAATTTCTTCGGACGCAAGGAATGAAATGCCTCGCAATTCAAATAGAAAAAGCAGGCTCGGGCTAGGAGAGGAATGCTGGCATTATTTGGTATGGCCACCAGTATGAATAGAACGGCCTCGTAGATTTATGCTGGTAAATATTGGGCCAGATCTAGTACGATCAATAAGGGCTACCAATGGAATGGGAGCAGTGAACACACCCGAGAGCAACTCAGTTTGTCACTAAATACGAGTACGCGGAGGATCTGTTTTCGCTGGGTAAGTGCTGGCACCCGTTCTGAAACTGCTGACTGATCCAAGGTAGAAAAGAACGCCGCTCGTTAGGTAGAGTCCAAGCCTTGGGCTGGTACAAACTTCAAGTTCCCTGTCGTTCTGTAAGGAAAAGTTGCTCGTATGTCCTCATTGGACGACTCAAGTAGATCCTATGGAGCGGGTTGGCAAGTAGCGGACTGTATCTGGTACGAAGAATGATGAGATAAGGACAAACGGAGGAAGGCATTGCGCAGAAGCGACGTCGCTCAATGCGTTTGGAAGTCCTGTGGACCTCTGCGCCTAAGGAAGCAGCCATGCTCAAAACTCTGTGGTAGTGGTGATCAGTAATCACAGTGTTCTGCAAAATATGTAGATATCAATCAATGCATGATGCACAGGCAGAAGGTGCCCGGTTTGGCTTTGTTGGGCAACAGCTTCTAATCCTAACAGGCGTCAGCAAACATAATCATCACATACATCGTTTTGTTAGTTTCGCTCAGACTCAGGAATCAGGAAGTACTGATAAGTACATAAGGTTGTTGCACAAACAAATACATCGATCTATCCGGGTATGTACTTTCTATAAGATTGAATACTTAGCACCAACGCGAATGCGCCGAACGAACGAACAAACTGTATCGCATACGGTGTGTGCGCGCAGTTTTCATGGTCTGCTTTACTGGTAAGCAAGTTCATGATACGGGTACGAATGGTACGTATTTTCTATACAGGTATCATCCAGGTGCACATGAGGACTCCTCATGACAATGCATATACCTACAGCATCTCCAGTGTCCTTACATCCATCATGTAGATGAACCCCGCGGCAAGCCATTTACGTGCAAAGAAGTGAACTGGACCAACATCTCGTCCTTGATGATGTCTAGTGATCATTTCAACAGCATGTCACATTTTACCTTGCTCCCTTACGTTTATATACTGAAGAGCGTCGCCAATAGGTGCTATCGTATTCGTCTATTTTGCTCGTCTCTGGCAATCTATGGAATCCGTATATATAATGGATCCCTCGACACCGATGTGGCGCCACGGAAGTACATGTCAAATAAACGCGCACGATCACTCCTGCAAAGCTGCATGTTAAAGGCGTACCCGAGTACTTGCCCATCACCACGTACATAGTCTACAATGCATACCCAAGTCTTCAGTAATAATTATTGCAGCCTTCTCTCCAATGAGGAGAGCCGTCGAATACGTATTCTGGGGAAACGGTTAGACCACATGTCGATACTAATTCCCCATGCACTACCCACCGTGCCGACATTTTTAGGTGCGATAGACATATCTGCAACCTTGAGATTCGTCACGCCGTACACGTTCAACCGAGCGTCGACGACTCCTTGATCCGCCTCCGGCTTCATTGCGCAAGTCCCGAGCTATGAACACAAGGGTCGGTCACCTGATGTAGAATTATAAATGTGTCAGCTGCACGCACCGAGTGCCACGCCGTGTTCACTGAGATTCAGTTCAATATTTCACCGTAACAATGGGGGTGTCAAGTCAGGACGTACTGTTGTCACGATGAAAGTTGTCGATCGCCTCGTCATCTTCAGCAGTGTAGATGATGTCAGGATCATGCAAGTCCACTGGCCCAGACGCTTCTCTGCACACTGCAGCGCTTCCCTTTGGGAAACGAGGATGACCGGTGTGGACTTCGCCTCGGTAGGAAGGCATGCGTCGAAAGATTTCGCGCATCTTTTTGTACCCAAAGTTAAGAGGTACGATATCGGATGGACTGAGCCAATTACCGTCGTCACACAAGTGCCTAAAATAAGATGTGCTGACTCACTCGTCTAGGTAGCCCGTAGTGAAGTCGAGCTCTTCCTTTCCGTTGTCTCCCAATTTGATATGAACGCTGCCAACGGACATGGGGTAAAGCTATCGAAAGATTCAGAGCCAGAATGACGGGGTAGATGGGGTGCACTACTGTATAATAGCCAGCACCCAGGTAATTGCGAGGAGGAAAGTCACTCGAGAGTCGAAAGTATCTAGTTATCGTGAGCATTCGCAGGTCGTCAAAGTTAAGCGGTATGCACACACCCGGCCATGGGGGCGAATATGGCAACAGCCTTGTCTGGGCGGTCCTGGAAGAACTCCTTCCATCGTGTTTGAAAAGTTGAACCCATGGCTTTCAGCTCGTCATCATCAGGACGCCACTTGATTTTGACATCAATTCCACTGCAACACCGATCAGTACATTATCAGCAGCAATAGCTTGTACCGACTTTTGGGCAATGAGTGACTTGCCATCACTTTTCCATCGCGCAACGCTTTCTAATTTCGGATAGTTGAAGAGTGCTGGAAATATAGCAAGAACATGCTTACCCTGTACAACACTCTCCTCCCCACGCCAGAGGGAGTCCATGGTAACAACCCCGTCACCAGCGAAATATGGAACGATCGCACCATTGTGATCTGATGACTTAAGCCAAGACTATGAAATCAATGGACGGTCACAGACCTCGATAATTTTCTCCAACGCCAGGCAAGTTGACCAGTTGCTTGATGCCACACCGGTTGAGGACCGCATCGGCACCGATCCCAGACCTCTCGAGAATGGCCGGAGAACCGAATGCGCCAGCAGAGACAACAACAAGCTTCGATGCTCTCACAATGTTCGACAACTGGTCCGCGCCTGGGCAAGACACTGTGTCGCTGGTGAACTCGACGCCTACAGCACGTTTTCCCCTTTGATTCGGAAAAGGTCGTCAACAGTCGGCTATGGTTGCGATCCCAAGCGGGTCCACTCACTCGAATATGATACGCTTCACGCGCTTGCCCACCCAGAGTTGTAAATTCGGGTTGTGAGCTTGGTTGTAGACGTACAAGTGTGCCGCATCGGAACGCCTTCCAGTTGTCCCGTCAATATACCTTCTTGAATATGAGCCTGATCTACATTATGCTATAAGTACAGGCTCACTTCGCCCACGGCTGATATAATCTAGTTAGTGATCTCAGACAGGGAAGGAGCATTCTAGTAGTAGCTCACACTGTATGTGTTGCATGTTTCTAGATCATCTGTGTCATCGGCATATAACCTCTTGTGATAGGTCGTGCCGACATGGACGAACTCTTCGCAGATACCTGGTTTACGCCCACCAGAGGACACCTTGATAGGTCCATTGTACCCGTGAGTTGGACGATCGGGCTGCACCTCGTATGTCTCCAGCTGCACAAAATGCAATAGTTCAGCTCGACAAATATAGTGACAACGCATTCGACAACCTTCTTCATGAGGGGAATTAAATTCTCAGATTCCCAACCATCGACTTCCCAATCATCGAAATCTGAGGCAGGCGCACGAGTGTATCCCATGACTACATAAACATCAGAGACGTGTTCGTCGCTGGAAGTAAGCCACGAACAATTCACACTTGAGCCTCCACCAACGCAATGGCCGCAGTGAACGATTGGTGCACGGCCGTTGAGACGCGGAGTAGGATTTCCAACATTGAATATCATCGTTGTACTCGTAGGCGCGTGATGGGTGACATATTGATAAGGTTGAACATGAGCAGCTTCATTAAGGGTGTGTTCGCCCGCTTCCAAAATCAAGATCTTGAGAGAGGAATCGCATGCAGCTAGGCGACCTGCGACAACACAAGCTGTAGCACCGCCTGCGCACAGGGGGTTGTGTCAGCAGGGTAAGCTATCGCAAGGTATCATTAGCAGGACTCACCTCCAGCAACAATGATATCGAATTCTGATGAGAGTGAACACTGAGCCATTGAGAGTTGAGTTCAGCTGGAAGTTCGCTGTGCACTTGACCTTACGGTCATCCTTTCGCAAGTTACCTGCATAGACGTCGACCCTGAACCTTCCCTAATTTGTTCACCACCGCTCGGCTAAACCTTCGCATGGGAGAAGTACTAAATGTCCTGATCCTCACTGTACAGTAGCTACCTGAACCTTTCCATGTAGCAGTATCCTTAACGACATTTTGGAATTGAGCATCCCGGATGCCATACGTGACGCTAGTAAGCACTATGATGTGGGAAAAAGTCTGCTATTCTGCCACGTGGCAGGGCATAACTGGCACTGGCAGGCAGCAACTAGATTTCTGACAATTTCTGCCCATGCGCGTCCCTTGACTGCCACAAGTACTGGCAGATTCCAGAACATAGTTCTTCCAGGTTTTGCCAGTTCTGCCGGCGGAACTCCTTCCAAACAGTTCTGCCCACAACACTATCATGATCCGTCCAACTCGGACATCCCCTTCAACAGATTTGGCAGTTTGTTTCAAGTGGTGAATGTAGTAACTGATAGATCTAACACGTAATTTTCAACTAGCTATCGTCACCAACTCACCACCGGTTTAGCAGGTGAATCGAACAATTCCCCAGCTAAACCGGTGATTCTAACCTCCCTCCAGTTATATAGACGAGAGTACTAGAGTCGAGAGAGCATTATTACTCATGTTGGTTGTGTATGAGCCCTATCTTACCATTTTTACGGGTGATCACTGATCACTGCTATTACAGAGTCTTGGCCATGGCTGCTTCTACAGGCCTACTATCCACAGAACTTCCACACATATCAAGCGACGTCGCTTTTGACCAATGTCTTCTATTTCTCTTCATCTCATCCTTCTTCGTACCACATACAGTCCGCTACTTGCCAACCCGCTTCATAAGATCTAACGACTTTGGGCCTGAGTTGTCCCACGACGACCTAGAAGCTCCTAGAGGCAACCTTTCTTTGCAGACAAACAGAACCACCCTACATAACGAGCGGTGTTCTTTTCCAGCTTGAATCGATCAGCAGTTGCGGAGCAGGTACCAGTATGCTTATATCACATACCCAGCGAAAATAAATATCCTGTATACTCTCATTCAGTGGCGAACTGAGTTGCTCTCGGTGTGTATCCTGCTTCCATGCTATTGACCAACTTCTTACCTCGGTTCGAGCCCTTTTTGATTGTACTAGATCTGGCTCAATCTTTGACAGCATGAATTCACGAGACCATGCCATTCGTGTTTTTGACCACCATATAATGTCAAATTCCTCTCCTAATCCGAGCATACCTTGACCGTTTGAATTGCGAGGCATTTTATTCCTTGCGTCCGAAGAAACGGTCTTGGAAATTGGTATCGCGGAGTGCTCGCGATACACTCTATGAGCATCCTTCGTACAGTCCTTGTGTAACGCGATCATTTCGCTCGCATAAATTGTTGTAGAAGAGAGGGAAATGTTTGTGGTAATCAGGCAAGTTATACGTGAAGCCACGATTCATAGTTCCGCATATCCGAAACTTAGTTCTTCCGACTAACATCATCCCTTAGAAATTGATGCGAAAGTATGCAACAGAATGGAATCCTTGCAATCGGCAATAATGATGTGGCGGTCCTTCTTTGCACATGCTCATCTTGTGCGTATGCCTGCTACCAGTTTCTCAAAGACATTTCTTCAGACAACCCACATCGTTTCAAGCTCCGTTTCTATTCTAGTACAAGTACTCGGCCTCGAAGAGTCATTCCAAAGGCATTTAACTTCACTGATCTGTTTCTGAGCTTCCTTGCCTGACCAGCATGCACACCTCATTCTTCACCGCACTCGCTGCGCTTGCCACAGTTGCCACTGTTGTTGTTGGTGGTCAGTAATCCTCTTCTTCGATGCTCCATTATGCTTATGTTTATTACTGGGTAACGTTTAGCAATCCCTTATGATTGTACCCGCAAGACAACAGTTAAAGCTGGAGATACATGTGCCAAAATCTCCGTTGCACAGAAAGTCTCAACGTATGTGCCATCGTTATCCCTGACATTCATTTAACATTGAACGTATGCCACAGATACCAGCTGATGACAGTTAACAAAGGCATCATTGACACCGCTTGTCATCTGCATGTCGGAGAAGTAAGACATGTTTACGTTTGAAGGACACTTGGACTCATTGGTCATAGGAAATATGCCTTGGAATTAGATACCAAGACTGCACTGACGTCCATGTAGTGAAGAACGGCGAGAATTGCGTCGGAATTTGCAAAGCAGCTGGTATCTCGCTGTCCACATTGTATACGAACAACCAAAACTTATTTAGGGACTGCAGTTTTGTATTACCCGGCGATGTATGTATAGCATGTGGTTTATGGGTGTCATTGCTGATGATGAAAATTTAGGTTCTCTGCGTTTCGAAGCACCTTTACTACTCACCAGATGGTATTCCCCCAGTGTAAGGAATGTCACTCCGCTAGCTACGGAATTCCCTTTGTACTCCCGGCTATGGACTTTCCCTTGTACCGGTTCGAAGTGTCACTCCGCTGACTACTTGTACTGCCACTCACTTAGATATAAAAGCCTCTCCTTACCTTCTGTATCTTCAGTGAATAAACTCCCCCTCACTTATCTCTCATCACTCGTGATCCATCAATCCCTGTCGAACTAATATGCAGCATTACACAAGAGTTCGTGTTTTAATTGCAGTACACACAATTCTACACGGAATCCTCAAGTATGTTGCATATGTCCTCCCAACATATCACACATGAAGTAGTTCTCGTGCCATGACCAAATTTATAGAAGTATTCGACACTAGTTTTGCAATACAATCCTTGTTCCAACAGTCAATTTACCACGGAAATTCTGCAATGCACCATAATGATTCTACCCTCAGGATGTACTGGACTTCTGTGTCATATCCTGAGGCATGAGGACTGCATGTTACAACACTCCTCTAATTTTGACATTGTTGTGTAGGGCACATGTGTCTGGACTACCAGCCACAATCTTGATACCTCTGACTCCTCTCATATTTCCATTGTGTGTTTGTTTCCGAATCTTGTGTAGCTTATTGGCACATATACATGGCCTTTGCGACTCTCTTGATTCTACCCTAATCACTTGACCTACCTTGTGGGACATTGTCATAGTGCTTATCAATATAATATCAGAGCATGCAGTCATCACAGTAAATGGTATGGATTGATCCTGTTTATTTCCAGGTGATGTATGCTGCAGCCATATTACAAACCCTCTCCGGCTGCATCAGCACCTTACAGCACTGTCCCATCTTACAATGACCCTACCTTCTTGAGTTCAATCAGCATGGCTGTACATCCAGCTTTCTAGCAACATCATCATATCTGATATGGTCTTGACTTCAGCAGTACATGCGCACCCTATTAGGCAAGATGTGGCAGTGAGCAATGAAGTAACAACTGCAACTGCAGCATAAATTAGACCCATGTGAGAGGCCCCAGAAAGGCAAGCTGTTGAGCAAGGCTGATATCAGAATGTGGAGGCAGCCTTTCAAACCATGGAGGTCTGAGAGTGAGCTGCCTCATGCCTTTGGTGTCTAACAAGGTATGTGAATGTTGTGAAGCAGCATACTCACCTCTGTAGCTTACAGCAATTTGTAGATATAATTAAATTTGATGGTCAATCATGTAGAGCCCCAAAGTGCGAAGCTCTGGGCTGAACAAGTTTGAAGGGGAAGAGAGATGATAGTAGACAGAGTCAAGTATTGGGAGAATCATAGAGTCAAAGCATTGATGCGAAACTTAGGTCGGATGGAACATTGGATCAGAATTGTGGGTCAATTTGATAGGTTAAAAGTAAGGGTACATGTGCATCTAAATACAAGTTTGAGTGGCTCAAGTGGCTCACATCATTGTACAAGTGGTTTGCAAGAAGATGAAAGAACAGCTAAAGGATAAAGTCATTAGGGCTGTTCACTGTACCATATATGGTGTGCTGCCATATGAAGTTAAACAATAACCATCTATTATGGTTGAAAAAAATATGTTGACAGTGTGGGTACAACAAGTGCAGCAGTGAGAAATTGATTTACTACAAAGTTGGGTCTTTGCTACCTGCTGCCTCACTTGAGAACAAGTATGTTCGACCCTAAAGGGGATTGCTACTGGGGAGTGCTAGTCTCTGCATAAACGACCCTAATCAACCCTACCGCAGGTAGGATGAGGATCCACAAAAATACGGAACAAGCAGAACAAGCAGAACTTGTGCAGAATGAAACAGAATGAAGTGGAACTCAAACAGATACAATGCAGAATGTACAGATTCGTCGGAACTTGCAGATCATGTCGAAGGAAGTATATCACAAGGTTAGATTGATAGTGGGCATAAGTCAAAGTGGTCCTCTAGTAAGGTGAAGGAAAAGTTGGAGAAAAGTCAGAAGGTAAAAAATGGGATTTGATAAAAAAACACCCAAGCCCTGAGTACCACTACTTATAGGGAACATTATTTTCAAGGAACACTGAGGTACAGGTAGTAAGTTCTCAGGAAGTGGAAGTGAAGGCAGGCAGTGCACATGGGCACAATACTCTGAAATAGGGGTCCATGCCATAAGGGCATGTGTCAATGCGATCTGGATAATGTTAGAAGCAATGGGAAGAGAGATACTGTTAGGTACTGTGCTGGGCTCAAGAAGCTGAGAGGTCGGGGCTTGGCTTCAGCTCTTGCACTGCACTCTTAGCCGAGTATATGCCCTGAATTTGGAGCAGGTCCAACGTTGTCCGATGGTAGGATGAGTGGACCGCTTTGGTCGGCTTTGAGGGTTGGGAGGTAAGTGCTAATAGTGGTGGGCCGACTAGGAGCGGGGTGGAGAAGGCGGAGGAAAGTGCAGAGGGTGGATAGGAGCAAAGGGGGATTATTGGTAGAAGAGGAGAAGTAAGGGGGGAGACTTAGAGCACGGCTCTAAGTCGGAGTGGAAAGTTGGAGGTGACAACAAGATGAAACTTGTGTCCAGAGGAGGCAAGGTCCTACTGAGAATTCTCACAAGTAGAAACTGCAAGAAGACAAGTAATATTAAGACTGGGGAAAATATCTAAGTACAGGATATTTTATATACTTCTAAGTGTGAGGCAGTGATTAGGAGACTTATGTTGTAAAGCTATGTACCAAGGATATAGTTTGTAAGTACTTACACAGGTGAAGACATAAGTTGGAGTGGATATCAATATGTACGCATCAGATCAGCGATTGAGCGGTAAGAGGAGTTACCGGTGATCTGGAAGTAAGGGTCTATGTACCGAAGGGGAAGGTATATATCTAAAAGGGGAAAGAGGTTCCAGTTGAGTGGAGATGTTCTAGAAGGTGACTGGTCGGGCGGTTAAGCGGAAGCGTAGGAGTGGATGCAGACTGTGATTGGATGGAGTGGAGGTGGTCAGAAGGCAGAGCGGATATTGATATCGGAGCAGTCGGATCAGGTATATGACAGATACAGTGTACCAATGAACCTGGAAGGATGGGGACAGGACATGCGAAGGTTGTCCGATGATGCACGGGAATGTGGAACACATCAGATAGTGCGGGCATGTTCCAAAGGATGCGTGGGAATGCGGAACCCATTGGACGATGTGCAGGAAACACGGAACATGCAGAATATGCAGAACTGATGTGAGATGATGTGGAAAGGATGGGGTTTTATGCCTACAGTGGGAGTATTCCCCACAATGGTATGGTATGGGGTACTCTATGGCTGTATATGGTAGCATACGGTACATACAGAACATTAAATGAGGTCTTTGACCGCAGCACAAGCCAAATGAAGCTTCATCTTCACCAGCATTAGCATCCTGATGGTCTCAGGCTTGAGGCTTGCATGCCACATAGAGACTGTCCTGACTGTGGTGATCACAGACGAGCAAGAACATGGAAAGAGTTGATAAGAGAATGTATTATCTCAGTATCTGTTAGAAACTTGTAGCACAGCTATACTACCTGATAAGAGAATGTATTCTACGTCTTGTTAGCACTCTGTATAGTAAGGGAAAATATAATGGCTTACATCTCAGTATCTGTTGGAAACTGAGATGCTCAAATTCCAGACTTGTAGCTTTATATGTAGTTAGTATGGATACACTAAATAACGAATGTCATAGAAATAAAGTAGTCCAATATTGACGAACCTTGGCTGACATCACTGCATTGCCTTGTTGTACAGTTTGGTTGTGCTTGAGATGTTTCACTCTGACATCATTAACTGCCTCTTCAGTTCAGTCCTCTGATCCTCCTGATGTGTCAGAGCTTAACACTGATCCCCAGAAAAAATCCATTCAACAGCAACAGCAGACCCTGCAAACAGTGCAAAGACAATAATTAAATATGATTTAAAATAGGCTATACTACACTCACCAGGGATTGAAAGAATATCATGCACAAGATGAGAAAGGTTGGGAAATTGTGCATGGCGGCCTGCCCACCACTGAATGGGGTCACAGGTATTGAAATCCTCCTGCAGGAGCTTCAAGTACTGCTTGAATTCATCTATTGAAATATTCAATCACTTCTTGTACCTTGCTGTGAAGTTGACATTTGTTGGAGACTACCCAGTGTTCTCTGAAGGGCGTGTCTCAGTGGGAGATGATGAAGGGACTGATTGTGCCACCACCATAGCATACTGCTGTTTATAAAGAGCATGTAGATTGCTCTTCTGCATCTCAATGTGCATTTGTGCAGTGATATCATCCCCACGGTCGCTGTGGAGTCCATAGTACAAGATGCAGGGGTCAAGAACTTCAGAAAACACAGAATAGAATTGATAATTAGCTAGCCAAACTGACTTGCAATGAAATGTAATGTACTTGAAGCCCAGACATAGAAAGGTGACTCATCAACCTTGAAGTAATAATCACTAAGCTTATGATGAGTGCTTGTCAGCACAGACTGCAGCTTCACTGGGGCTGAATCTGGAAGCTTTGCCAAGTCGTCTCGAAGTGACTCCTGAAGTCCACAGAATATTGCATGAGCAGAAGATAGCATGGGGTGCTTTGTTGTGGACATTTGAGTGGTAGTGGAGCGAAAAGGCCTTTAACCAGTGTATGACTAGCTCAATCCCTGCCCAATCAGCATCAGAGGGTTTGTATTGCCTGAGGTCATGAGTCTTCACAACAAAGTTGTCAATAGCATGATGAAAATCAAGTGCCCGACATAGTATCTGATGTGTGGATGACCAATGAGTCTTGACATCCAAGATGAGTATGAGGGTGACTTGACTCGTTCCATTCTCAGCCTTCTTAAGAGACATCATGACTTCTGCAAGTCATGCTTTCTGTCGCTGTGGGCTTGAACAGACAGAATGAACAAATTTTTGAAGCTAATTTTGTCTTAGCAGTAGAATATGTAGCATGTAGCATACATACCTTTGCAACCACAGACAATACCTGCTGCAATGACTCAAAGTTATCCCTGGCTGGCTGTTCATCGGTATCATCTTCAGCCTTGTCAAGAAGAGCCACATAGTCATCATGCTCATGATTGAGTGGTGCTATGACTGAATTTTGATATACAACTTGTTGATTTTGCTTCACATCTGGCTTGATAGCTCCAATACCTTCAAGCAGCTGCATGGCAGCCAAGTGGACAATGTGCAGCAAGCAGTGGATGCACAAGTACTTATCGGAGAAGTCAATTCCTTCATCAGCACACTTCTCTCCGAGTGCTTGGAGTAGGGTGTCATTATTTGAGGTGTTATCGCATACAACAGCCATAATGCAATTTTTCAGTCCATATAGCTCTAAGGTATTCCAAACCGCTTCAGCAAGATTAAATCTGCTATGTTCCCCAATGATCTCATGGAAATCAATCAAAAATTCTTCTATAAATGCACAGTTCATAATTCAGTACAATAAGATATAGCAGTCAGTGACATACACAAACTCCAGTCATTTGTGATATAATGCATGACAATGGCCAGGAAAGTGAATTGGTTACTTGAAGTCCATGTGTCAAGAGAGAGGCTGACTTTAGACTTGAGTTTCTGTCATACAATTAGTTATTCCTTGGCTTGACTCGACTTACCTCAACCATGTCCTTAACACCTTCAATAGTATCTTCTCCCATCTTCATAACACAGCACTTGATGGCAAGTCTTCCAGGGACGTGGAGTGGAGAGCCTCCATAGCGTGTAGTCTAGGAGTGCTTTGAACTCTGGTTGTTCTCCCTCCTCAAACAGTTGGTCACATGCCATGAGCCACTGTGCGAAGCAGCTCTTCAAACTTTGCTTGGTTCCAGTTGCCAAAAGCTTTGGTGACCTGCTTGTTGAATGCATCGACAATGTTTACTGATGCTTGCTTGAGCTGGACCAAATATTGCATAGCAGCCATAACATTGAGCACCTTCTCTCCCCATGCAATTCTGAGTTCATCATCGGTAGGTGGGGTTCCACAGGACTTTAAGAGTAGATATAGTTGCTACATTGGTGGAAAATGAGTCTTCAGATGACCGATCAAACCTGAGACTAGTAAGCAACAAGACATGCCTTAAAAATGTAACATACCATTCAGATTGCTTTTCATTGTATGTGTGATAGTAAAGACCTTGTGGTTGCCCAGATAGCATTTGTAGTGCTTGTGTTAGGTACCTGTGCCAGCTCAAGAGGCAGAGGGGTTGGGGCTTGGCTTCAGCTCTTGTGCTGTGCCCTTAGCCGAGTACGTGCCCCGAATTTGGAGCAGGTCCAATGTTGTCCAATGATAGGACGAGTGGACCGCTTTGGTCCACTTTGAGGGTCGGGAAGTAAGAGCTACTAGCGGCAGGCCAACTAGGAGCGGAGCAGAGAAGGCAGGGAGTGATGCGGAGGGTGGATAGGAGTAGGGGGAAGGTGGAGGATGGAAAAGGGTCAGAGGGAATATTGTAAGGGGCAGAGAATTAAGGAGAAGACTTAGAGCATGGCTCTAAGTTGGAGCGGAGGGTCAGAGGGTCAGAGGGTCGGAGGTGACAACAAGTTGAGACTTGTGTCCAGAGGAGGCAAGGTCCTACTGAGAATTCTCACAAGAGATAACTGCAAGAAGACAAGTAATATTAAGACTGAGGAAAATATCTAAGTACATGATATGTTATATACTTCTATGTATGAGGCAGTGACCAGGATAACTATGTTGTAAAGCTATGTACCAAGGATATAATTTGTAAGTACTTACACAGGTGAAGACACAAGTTGGAGCAGATATCAATATGTACGCGTTGGATCAGTGATCGAGCGGTAATAGGAATTACCAGTGTTCCAGAAGTAAGGGTTTATGTACCGAAGGGGAAAGTATATATCTAAAAGGGGAAAGAGGTCCAGTTGATTGGAGATGTTATGGAAGGGGACCGGTTGAGCGGTTGAGCGGAAACGTAAGAGCGGGTGTGGATGATGAATGGACAGAGCAGAGGTGATTGGAAAGCGGAGCAGATATTGATATTAGAGCGGTCGGATCAGGTATATGACACTACTGTGGCCTACCAGGACATCATAAGCCAGGCACTCCAACTTATTATCCAGCAATGCACCAACCCCACGGTACCACAGATCACCCTGACATTCCAATCAATCAACTGCCCCCTGCCAGATCACTCAACTATGAGGATAATGTGCAATGCATTGTCTGCTGTCGAAACGCAGCAGAATACGAACAGGCATGACTCGAGACAGGTATCACCAAGCCTAGTATATTCTGTGGCTTTGATACTAACCGGATTCTATTGGTTCCCCTCGCTTTCAGCTCTGACATCATGCATGTTGCTGCTATCAATGCTGGAGACTTGCTTATCCCTCTATGGCGAGGTGCCTTTCGATCTGACCCCACAGACGATAAGGCCACATGGGACTGGGCCATTCTAACTAAGGAAACCTAGAAGAAACACGGGTCAACTATATCTGACGTGACTCCATTCCTCCTGGGATCTTTTGATCGCCCTCCTCGTAACCCTGCAGAGAAGATTCACAGCAGTTACAAGGCCTGGGAGTGGCTACTCTATCTCTATGGCATGGGACCAGCAACACTCTACGGAATCCTTCCAGATCCTTATTGGACTAACTTTTGTCACCTTGCTCGAGGTTTGCGCATCATACAACAATATCATATATCCCAATCCAAACTTCTTGATGGCCATCAGCACCTTCTCAACTTTGCTGATGAATTCGAAGAAATCTATTATCAGTCTTGGATCAATCACCTTCATTTTGTTCACCCGTGGATTCATTCTCTCACACATATAGGGCCCGAGACAGTGAACAAAGGACAACCAATCTGTTCCTCTCAATGGACTATGGAATGCACAATCGGAAATCTCAGGCAAGAAATCTGCCTTCACAACTCATCTGTCTATGCTAATCTTTCTCAACATGCCATCTGATGCTGTCAAGTTAACGCCATCAAGGCCATCATTCCCTCTATTGAACCTTCTGGAATCACTTCCCCAAAAGGTTCAGAAGATGTTGGTCAGGGCTACGTCTTGCTTCACTGAAGAGAAAGAAATGCTCATGTGGTACATCCTTGTGAAGCCGCCGCCATACTTAGATATCTAGCCAGCAATGGCATTGAGATCCCTTCTGCACCTCCAGTGACTAAGTGGGCACGTCTTCGCCTTCTAAACGGTCAGGTTGCATGCTCGGCTTGGAAGGAACATGCAATGTCAAAACAGCCGAGGATGGCTCGCAATGTTAAGGTATGTTTAGTTCATTTACATTGTTCAATACACTTAAATTTTACAGTTACTACTTGATGGAGGGACAACAATTGTGGAAGTCTATTTCTACTTTAATATGACCATACACAGTCAATGCAAAACCTTTGCCATGGTCTCGGAGTATAGCGATCCACATCAAGAACTTTTACAGTGCTCATTTCACGCAGTATTCACATGTCACTACCACGGTGACACTTCATTAAAACTCACTGAAGCTTCCACAATTCAATCAGTGGTAGCCATGGTTCCGCACCAATTTCTGGGTATCAACAGTATACTTTTCTATCTTATAGAGTGACCGGGTTTGGATATCATAACAATAAGTGGTATCAATGAGGAGGACATACCTGACAAGGATTAAAGTTGGTATTAGAATGCCCGTCCTGACACTATTAAACTCTGCCATGAATCCTTATGAAAAACTGTATTTGTTTTCATGTGTGTGACTATGATCTATACTATTTCTAACTAATGTCTTTGAGTTCTTGCTTGATTCAATGTACTTTAAGAAAGCTGTTGTCTGTTTGCGAACGATCATACCATTTTTCATCCTCTTCATGCGACACATACTTCCAATAAAGTGAATCCGGCCCTGGGGGACTTGGAGTGTCAAAGAAGGTTTTCTTTTTTGGCGTGCTGAATTCAGGCTGGGGTAGGTTTTCAGGTTCACTCTCCAGCTCTGTCACACTTCTTGGATTGTCTTTGGGGAGGGGAGGAGTAGGTATAGTCGGTGTAGCTATCTCAGGTTCACTCTCCGGCTCTGTCACGCTGCTTGGATCGTCTTTTGGGAGGGGGGGAGTAGGCATAGTTGGTGTAGCTATCTCGGGTTCACTCTCCGGCTCTGTCATGCTGCTTGGATCGTCTTTGGGGAGGGGGGGAGCAGGTATGGTCGGTGTAGCTCTACTGAACTTGTTTAGTTAAAATGTAATAGAAATAAATAAAAACTAGCTCTGGTTGTAAGTCTCTTAGTGTCACCAGACGCACCCTGAGATGATCTGAAGTCCAATTGGTGGGATCCAAAAGGAAATCGTCAGATAAAGTCATGATGGGGGTACTAGAGCGGGTGTTGTTAGAGTCGTCAGTATTGATACTAGATAAAACTGTTAGGTCTCGAACTAAAAAAACAGGTCCGACTCACCTGGTATCAGCCTGATAACCATCAAAATCTGGATCAGATGATAAGTCCAGAAAGTCCTGTATGGCTAGGGGTAACATAATGTGGGGTGGCAATATGCGGACTTGGTAAGTTTCCTTTCTTGACTTCAAGTCAGCGTGTACCTTAACTCATACCATCATGTCCCTCGACGACACAACCTCATCTGCCAGATACCTCAACCTCTTATCTCAACTTAATCCACAGTCATTATCAGACCCTCTGCTATTTCAAGATAGCCTATATTCTCTTCTCAAACAAGATCAGTTGGCATGCAAGGACTCCAATAATAATCTGGTTTCCCAACTCAAACAGCAACTCACGGAATCACAGCACGCTGTCGCTAGTCTGCAAGCTGATAGACTTAGGTTGATCAACAAGAATGCTGGCCTTAATTCTGCTTGCCAAGCGTTATAGTAAGTGAATCCGCTGAGTATATGCGCATATATATGCTATAAACATCAAATATAGGAATGTTATTGTTAATATCTGTGGTTCTGCAAGTTCTGTAGCCTCGACATCATCATCTTTATCCCAATGGGACACCTCGAACATCATTGCCAATGAGCAAAAACCTTTGTTAGTGGGTGAGATAGTCGCTGAAGAATCCGATCGAGAACTTGACTGGAAGGACTATCCATTAATTCAATCGTGGACGAAGAAGGAATGGCAGGTACAATATCCGAAAAGCACATCAGCGGAACCTGAAAGTTCTGGAAGCACCTCTCGAGGATCTGGGTACATGGCACAAGGCATTAATGTGTCATGCACTTACTTGCAGGACGAGAAAGGCATGCCTGTCTCGGCTGATTGCACCAAGAGCATCCACAACCACATGCTCTCTAGCTTCCGGCAACTTCATGCCCAAGGCCTCGCACCAGTGTCTATCGGCCAAGCCTCATTGCTAGTCTTGCATTGGCTCACTCACACACTATGCAAAGCATACATTGAATTTCATTTATGCGCTGACAACTGGAAGGCAATGAAGCTTATGACTGACAATTACTCTCAATGGTCCACCTATCATGTCAAGGGAAAGAAAACTAGCAAGCGCATTAAGGCCGAGCCTGGTGAACATACAAGCACATTGGCAATCCCTCAAAAGCACACCTGCGACACTGACAACGAACTCGAAGCAGAACATACCAAGAAGCGAGCACAAATCGATTCAGATACTACAGAGGTAGTATCCCAGCCTATCACCGAGCCTCCTACTAGTGGCACCAATGAAGTGGTGAGTTTTTTTTTAATACTTAACGCTCGCTAACCAACCCATCTACAGATACCTGACATACTGCGACACCCCTCACTCGAGTGTGAACTAACACCACCACCCAGCACCAATAAAGGAAAAGACAAAGAGGTACCTATTGTAGAGGTGAGTTGGATGTAAGCGCGCCAACCAGACACTAACTTCACTTGTTTACCAGGTCAAGAACCCACTGTAAGTTTTGATCTATTGAGTAGTTCTAATCTTGTTTTGAAACCTTGGCCCAAAGCGATCCCTAGGAAAGCTCCTACCACTTCCATTGACTCTTCAACTTCATCTTCGACTTCTTCGACTTCTGGAGACATTCACACTGCTATTACACCACCATCCAATGGCTCTACATCTGTTTCTATACCAGATGGACCTTCAAGTACCGATACTGCCTCTCTCGCTGTGAAGGTGGAACTCCTGGCCACCAATAAGAAGTCAACACCCATCACGGCTGATTCGAAACCTAGGCCCGAAGCCATCAAGAAGCGCCAGCCAAGCACAAAGCCTATGCGTGTGAGCGCCAAGATAACAGCACAGTGAGTTCTAGAACTTCTACTATTTGTTATTGTGATACAAAGTAAGGCTAGGAACCTTTGCGCTCTCGACTGGCAAATGAACAGACATCAGAGGGATCCTGCAAGTGTCTTTGCGATGTACTGGAACAGTTTGTCGAACACCGACAAAGAGGTACGTCATTTTCATATTGATATCATCTCTACTACTAATGGAGTCTGCTATTACTATATTACCGTGACAGGTATACAAGCACAAAGTGGTCCTACAGGTGCGTGGTACTACTATGTATTGCACTACTTTTTATACTAACAACCTGTTTATAGTTCAACTCATCTGGAGCCGTTCAAGAGGGTGGTACCGGCGATGATGCGGACGAGGAGTAGTGGAATGGGCAGGATGGCAGACAGGGCGGGATGGCGGGCAGGATGCGATACCTACAGTTACCACCATAATGATAGTGATACCCTACAATAATCTCATTTTCTCCCATTAGACGCATATCAATATGTTTTTTCAAGCTAAATGAATGGATTTGCAGGCCAGAGATATATCTAAACACAGCGAGAGTCACATCTAAACGTCTAAATTTTCTCTCGAGGTCTTTCTTTTTCTGTCTCAAAAAGTCTCATCTGGCTAAACACATCAAAACTCTTCGATGTTTTTCATAGGGCTGATATTTTTCGACTTGTATCTACACCTATCTACCTCTTTCTGGTCGATGTTCACTGAGGCTCAGGCCCTGATCCACGACCATCCACGGTTAACTTGTGCTTTTTGGTCCCTGTGCATCCAAGGGTGCCCTGGAAAAACTCATTTTTATTTTCATGTTTTAGTACCATGAGGCTGGTACGCACTTAGCAGCGCTAGCACCTTTGTGCCCTCCACTTCTCCATGTATTTTTGGTGAGTGTCTTTTATTTTTTGGTTTGCTTAAAGCAACTGCTGATCTTTCTTCTTGTACCCATCTCTCTTTTTAGTTTTATGACACTCATTGGTATCAGTTTGAGTTGGTGCTTTCGAGTGTTTGAGGCTCTATCCTTGACGGTCCTGAGAATATCCATGTTAAAGATACTACAGTGTGAACGCTCAGGCAAATCTGCAATCTACTAATAGTAATGATCAAGCCTGACGTGCATTTCCATCCTTTTGCATTGGCCCTCATCAACGGTCTCATTGATCGCCCGTGTATCATCACCAATTGCTGTTGGCATGTTCATCACGGCAGCTTTCATATACTCTTGCACATACTGTACGCACCAGAATTATATCTATTTCTATATAACCGGTGTTGCAGTGTGACTTGAGACTCACCCTATGGCAGATCACCAAATGCTTCTGTTCCAAGTCTGCCAGCATCATGAAACAATCAGCATGCTACAATGCTGATAAAAAGTGAGCAGTTCCTGTTCTGGAGTCTACATCGTTGTCATCTGTCGTCAGCCTACATCTACCATCTTTGTGCTATGGATGGCACACTCAATTGTATTGGCTGTGGTCGGGCCTTAAAGTTGCAGAGACAGCTCTCCTGTCATATACCTGATCTGACCGGCTCTAATATCAATATCCGCTCCGCTTTCCGATCACCTCCGCTCTGTCCATTCATCATCCACACCCGCTCTTACGTTTCCGCTCAACCGCTCAACCAGTCCCCTTCCATAACATCTCCAATCAACTGGACCTCTTTCCCCTTTTAGATATATACTTTCCCCTTCGGTACATAAACCCTTACTTCTGGAACACTGGTAATTCCTATTACCGCTCGATCACTGATCCAACGCATACATATTGATATCTGCTCCAACTTGTGTCTTCACCTGTGTAAGTACCTACAAATTATATCCTTGGTACATAGCTTTACAACATAGTTATCCTGGTCACTGCCTCATACATAGAAGTATATAACATATCATGTACTTAGATATTTTCCTCAGTCTTAATATTACTTGTCTTCTTGCAGTTATCTCTTGTGAGAATTCTCAGTAGGACCTTGCCTCCTCTGGACACAAGTCTCAACTTGTTGTCACCTCCGACCCTCTGACCCTCTGACCCTCCGCTCCAACTTAGAGCCATGCTCTAAGTCTTCTCCTTAATTCTCTGCCCCTTACAATATTCCCTCTGACCCTTTTCCATCCTCCACCTTCCCCCTACTCCTATCCACCCTCCGCATCACTCCCTGCCTTCTCTGCTCTGCTCCTAGTTGGCCTGCCACTAGTAGCTCTTACTTCCCGACCCTCAAAGTGGACCAAAGCGGTCCACTCGTCCTATCATTGGACAACATTGGACCTGCTCCAAATTCGGGGCACGTACTCAGCTAAGGGCGCAGCGCAAGAGCTGAAGCCAAGCCCCGACCCCTCTGCCTCTTGAGCCGGCACAGTACCTAACAAGTAGAGTCTACAGCCCATTTTACCATGATGGCTGACCAGGCTGGTTAAAAATGCCATACCGGGTCCATCAGCAGTTGCAACAATGAGGAAAGGGTTTGATGTGAATAATCGGTCAAGTGCAGTGTCCCAAATGGCAAGACCCTCGGTCTGGATTGCGTGTAAGTGATGAAGGCCAGGAAACATAAATGAATCGAGATTTTTTGGTTTCTTCAGACCAGGAATGATGCCGCCAGGGAGAACATATTTCTTTTGATAGCGTTCTTCGGGTGTGTGATTGAACAGAACCAAAATATAGATCCAACAATCTGATTGTTTGGATTCATATAGCTGGGCACCATCAATGGAAAGCATCAGGACAGCGTCGCCTTCCTTGATCTGACCGGAGAGGCAAGCATCCAGGTATTGCTTGCCATGAAGGACATCTTCATAGACTTCGGGTACCCCACCAGTAATTCCCAGCTCCTCTAGAATTTGATCTGTGCACTCTTCTCGCCAACACATCTTTGCTGCATGATCAGGATGCTGCCATGGAGCCTGTAACTGCGGACCAATAGGAAAGGTGTCGAATTTCTGCTGAGGGACCTTCTTTTGCGTGGTACTCCTCTTCTCGTCCCAATGATCTTCCCGCACATTGGACATCAATCAAAATCTGCAAAGGGGCCTGTAAAGGCAAGACATGTGTTGATGCACATGTCATGCATGAGTGGGACAACTCCACTGAGTTCAGAGATGAGCTGCTTGACACAGGTAGTGGCTATACACATCATCGTCAGGGTGTTGTTCAGTAATGGCTGCACGAATGAGATCATATGCCTTGATTGTCATGTCAGGCAAAAAAAAGCTTGAGAGACAGGAGGAGATCGGGGTCTGTGATGTCTGGGAGTGCATGTGGTGGGTTTTGAAGACGATTGAGTGCTTCTGGAGGCAGACGGGCAAAAGTGTCATTGAGCAATGCTTTCCGAAGGGCTGTAATGAAAGCCATGGCATCTTGAGCATCCTGAAGGCAGTGCCATGTGGTGAAGTTCATCCAAGTCTTCATCCGTCTAGCCCATTGTTCATGGATGACCTCCAGTTGCCCTCTGGATTGATCTGCTGCTGGATCACAAACTTCTGGCTGAGAGTCTGGTTCATATGGAGCCTTGCCGTGTTGATCGTGGTCACTGACATAAGGCTCCATTCAATCAAGATCATCTCGACTCAGAGGAAGTGCATCATTTAGCTGTGTAGCGGGGGACTGTACCACAGGCTCCAGAGGGTTGTCGACCCCATCAAAAGTTGGGACATCTGAGTTGTCAATGCTGTGACCGTGCTGAAATGGATCTAATTGAAATAGTAAGAATTACAATCATGATCAAGTAGATAGTACATACCTTCAACTTCGGGGTCAATATCATCATTGACCATCCCATGCGCGTCATAGTCTGGTATATGAGCGGGTGACTCAGGGCTGGGGTATGATAGGCTATAAATCTGGTGCGATGCACAGTACAGTAACAGGTGGATGCGGGAGATGCGGGGGATCTGGTGCGATGTCAAGGGGGAGTGGTGGTAGAAAAATTGTCAGCAAGTTTGATGGGCTTGTGTCTGAAGTAAGTAGCTTGTGATACCTGTGTATTCTGCCCTCCCGTCTTATGAAGACAGGTACTACAGTCGCAGACATAGATAGTGGTGCCGTCGTCGAGTCTGTGTGCGCCAGCTTTGATGGAGTCCATAGCAGATTTGGACTTAGCAATATTTCGAATGTCGATGCAATCTGATCTAAGCAGCATGCACGAATTGCAATCAAAGTTTCCAAATTGCACAAACTTTGATTGTAATTTGTACAGCATTTGTTGCAAAATGAATCGCATGTTTGGACTTTGCATGCTTTTTTTTGGACTTTGCATTGTTTTTAAAACTTTGCATAACTTTGTATATTTCTCATCTCGGATTGTTTAGATGACTATCTATATCATTTGCTATTTCGACATCTATTCCTACCTATCTACCTCTTTCTGGTTGATGTTCACTGGGCCTGAGCGCCTGAAATTGACTTTTTGAAGTCAGCCGGCAAATACCGGTAATGCAAAGAGCTGCGAGTACCCATTTTTCATATTCATCCTTATCAAATACTACTAATGTCCACCCCTGAACCCATCAACCTGTTGGAAAACTCCACTTTTTTTCGATGACAATACCATTGTTGTCGAAATTGATAACCTTCTCATTGGATGGCCTGACATACACAATCAATTTCATACCTGAGTGTCCAGGACCAGTGGTAAGTACTTTTATTATATCAGAATTGTTGATTGCTAAGGCTCAATACTGATATCTATGTTATAGAAGTTGATATTGCGCTTGAAGGATGCATCAAAGTTTAGATGGGTTGAGGATGAGGATAGTGAAGATGAGGCAGAGGGGACGGTAAAACCAACAAGGTAAGTACTTTTCACTTCTTGTTAGTGTACTGACATGTTCTGACTTTCCAGTCACTTGCCACAAGTTACTGAAGAGGACCCAGACATTACTATGGTCTGTGAGGCAACTCCCAAGTAAGTGTTAGCCTATTCATTAATTCTGATGTTCTCATTATTTATTCTGTCAGGAATACTACAGCTCAACACTTCAGTGCAAAACCTGTGGAGTTGCATGGCGTCCACAGAGACCCTCATTCTGTATGTCTCACACGGGAGAAGTTTGAGGAGGAGCATGGTTATACATGGCCCCCCGCTGTGGCTTCAGGGTGGTCTCTTCTGAAGTACCAACCACTCAACTTGATGCGATAATGACATTGCCTGCTGCTGTCTGCTCTGAGTAATTTTCTTTGCACTTTACCATTTTCATCTCATTGCACCATTGTTGTCCCATTGCACCATTGTCATCTCATTACACTTTACCGTTGTCATCTTGTTGCACTTTACTGTATCGCTCTGCACATACATTGTCTCTGTAATTGTAGAATCACATTAATTGCATTTCTTGTCACGCATACAGTCACCAAATGGGAACATGCAATATTAATAAATGGTCTGATAAATACAAACAAACAACTAATATCAGATATCAGCCTGTTGTTGTGTCAGGTTTAACCCTATTCCCACTATCACCATGGCCCGTCCGAGTCATCATCATGTTGTGTCCAATTCTTCAAGTTCATCCAATTCAGACTCTGAATATGACACCTCTTCAGCATTGTCGCATAAAACCTCACTCACTCCTCCAGTGGAGAAACCTTCTCACAGTACCGAGCCCCTTAAGGGCGGGAAACATAAATGTGGCAAGTCATTAGATACCAATGATGACTGTGACGACAACAAACCAAAGGTTTCAAAATGTCCACGATTGTAAGTTATCTTGTTATATAGCGTATATATGGACTTGATTGTGTGTTTTCAGGCAAAAAAAGGATGTCAGCAAGGACAAGTAAGTATATACAGCCCTTATGATCTGGATGTTGACAAGATTCACATTTTTTATGTATATAGGAAGGATATTACACCACAGGAGCAATGCATCCAGTTCACTCGATGGATCCCACACAGTATCAACATGTTTTGTATCCTCAAAGACATTTTTCGCATGGGGCCATGGGTTGAGATCACGCGCAACAGCAATTCAGATGATTTGGATGTGGGTGATGATCACATTGCTTGCAGTTCACTTGCCAATGTGTAAGTCTCATTTTTATTTGATGGATTATATGCTGTTGAAGACCACACTAGATCCAAAGACGCGCAAGACCAATTACTGCGTACCTACAAGATGATACTTGCAGGAGCCCCTTACCTTCACGAGCTCATCAAAGGAGGTGCCAAGAAATCAAGAGAACTTAGGGAGATTCTGGAGGATGTAAGTCTACACATATATACAGGTTTTCACTCAACCAAACCTCACTGCAGATGCAGTATATGATTGGTCAGGTCCGATCTGAAGATTCAACACACTTGAAGAAAAGCATTGCAGTGTTATGCCACATATGACTCTGTCAATAAGCCATTTGACCCCACCATCTACCCTGATAGCAAAGAGTCACTGTGCGAAGATGGGTCTCAATCACCCTGGTCTCGCACTTTTGCTGTGTCCTGTTAGACACCTCAAGGATTATCAGAATTTGCCATCAAGGTAAGCTCGTTGTTTTTATTTAAATTCACGAATAATACATCATCTTTGTAGGACTAAAGCCAAACTCAAATCTGGCGATATCAACATGGATGCTTGCGCATGGCCTTCGCTTCTGTACAAGGGTGAAGTGGCTGGTGAACACTTCGATCTGAACAACAGGCAGGATGGTCTTTTTGAAGGTTACCTTGTCGAAACACGTGATTTTGTTTTATTTTCAATTGAACATTGATGCCAATCACTAACTTTGCTTGCAGGTGATGAAACATATACTTACTGGACCTTCATCTGCACTCACCGGTGATAATTTTCACATCTCGAACACTTGTAATGCCTCGATCCATGGTATGATGTCTGTTGAAGCAGAACATATTGCCTATGCAGCTGTACAGGTGAGTTGAATCCCAACAAGCCAACTATGAGCTGACATCACACACAGGCACAATCATCCATATCTTCTCATGGTAAATGGTCCAAGAATGATGGACCCTTCTTGTATCGCAAATTTTTCTATTGCATTGTAGATGTCATTTGAAATCCTCCAGATGAAGCATGGGCTACAGCTGTTTTGCAACACTACAATCTGTACATACCAAGGTTGCCATCACACAGTCACTAATTTATTCTCTTTGTTTAGGAAATTGTTCAAAGATAAGGCAGGGTGTGCAGGTGCACTGCTGAGCACTATGTCTTCTGATTCCAGAGAAGCAGATGATGAAGATGATGATGTTGCAGTGATGCGAAAGCAATCTGTGCTTTGTTCTACTAATGCTACAGGTTCATCCCAGTCCATTGCACCCCCTCCAGCTCCACCTAACTTGCATCCATCGCTTCTTGCTGCACCTCAGACTCCCACTCAGTCCCCAACACCAGCCTCCAAGCCTCCCTCTCCAAGTCCGCCTCCCATCCCATGCCCAGTTCCATGCTCAGTTCCATGCTCAGTTCCATGCTCAGTGCCCATCCCACTCCAAGTTGTACCGTCTTCTGATTCACCACTTCGAAAGGGACAGAATGTAGTGACATTTGAAAGTCCACTAACCCAACACAGGTCCAACAGCAGAGCTCGAACCTCAGCTTCGAAGATCGCTACACAAAGGTCGTGATGAACACCACCATTAGTGCTAGAGCCCCTAAGGCGAAGGCTCCTGCATCGAAAGAAGCTGAGGTTCAAAAGCCCAGTGCCACAAGACGAGTCTGAGGAGGAGCATGAACCTGATGTTCGGAGGTCACCACACAAAAGTCACAAGGACACCGTCAATGCAACTACTGCGTCCAAGCCAAAGGCCACTGCACAGAAGAAGAAGAGGAAGGGTAAATAATGAATGTAATGGTCAGTTTCATGCTTGGCTCTAGTTTTTTTGATCTGACACATATCTTCAGCTGTATTCCACATTCTGACAATACCACTCTCATGCTCTCACTTGCTGTTTCACTCCCTTATGTCATGACACTGCCGCTTATGATTCAACTCACTCGTAATTCCAATCACCAATGCAACTGACGCCTAGACCACACTTATATGTAACAATACAACTGCTCATACCATGTAATACCTTACTGGAATGACAATGGGTTATCAGTTCTTATCATCGGATCAGGATAGATCAGTACTCCTAAGGTCGAAAAATCTGCCAAGTCTCAAATGTAGTTGGCATACTGAGCAGAAATCCTGCTTCTAATTCTGGTCTGATAGGCCTCTCCTTCGATCTGCTGCTTGCTGATGTATATGGTGCACCTTGTGTGACCTTTCATGTCTTGATCTGACCTTACCTGTGCATATCTGTTTTCAGGAATTTTGGTGATGGGGATGGGGACAAGAGTGCCGCCATCTGGACGATTGCATTGCGATGTTGATGCCTGGGGATCCATCACCCTCGAGCACACTTGAGGGTTACTTCAAAGTTGCACAGAATGGCAGACATGTTGGTAAACAGCAGGCATGGTGCTTCAAACTCCGCTGTACGATGCTGGCCTGACTTGCAAATTCGTTGACCATGCGCAGTGTTCTGCCGGTCAGTGTATGTTCATCAAAGTTAATGTACATTCAGCTGCAAACTTTCCCATGGATGCAAGTGAACTGAACCTGTGCAGTGCCAGATGTCCTGCTTGGATATTAGATAATCATGTCTGATTGGACGATGAAGCAGGAGTGAATGTTCAAAGTGCAGTACACGGTGCGTCAACGATCGCAGAATGGATAGTACTCGACTACTACTACTAAGGTAGCACTAATTTTCTGAATCTACTCATCAAGAACATTGTCAGCTTCTTGAGGAAAGTCTGGATTGTCAATTCCCTCTGCATCTAAGTCAAGAAGCTCATACAACTCAAGCTCAGCATCTAAACCTCAAATGGCAACTTTATAAAAAGATCCCAGCCATTCCTCTGCATGAGAATAGTCAAGTAAGTCATTGATAGCAATGCGGGAGAATGAACCACCGACAGCACCGATGGGGACTGAGTGCATTGATTCTGTGGTGGAAATCTCCTCCTCCTCCTGAACAGCTCGGATAAGGTCTGCAGCAACATTGCTTATCCCTCACCTCTCAAAAGCAAGGCTGCATGGCTCCCATTTGCTGCTTTCTCCTGATAGATCATCACCAACTGCATGAACTACTTGAGCAGGCTCTGCTTTGTCAGTGTCCTCGGTGTCACAGTACCGGTGCTGAAGCCGCTTCTTGACCACGTCATTGCGTACATGCTCCTCATGAACATACATCTTGAGTTCTGCCAGAAGGGTGAGCAGTCTCAGTTGAGAGCCAATTGCACCATTTCATGAGAATTGCGCCAAACATGCTAAATAGGTGTTCGCAAGAGGCAGAATTCGGGCAAATTGAGAGAAGACGTTGAGCGATAGTATGAAGTAGGTCGACGTGCTGAACCAGGATGTGACAGTCCTGTCCATATATTGATTGGATTGACCGAAACACCCTGAGGACTGTTAGCAATGTCTTCTGAACTTGAAAGTATCAGTTTGATGAAGCATACCTCCTTTTCTGCGCGATATAACAGTGAAAGCTTGTAGTTGTCCATGTATGCGAAGTCATGGGAGCTATTCAAATAGTCGTCCAAGTCCGTATAAAGATCGAGTGGTATATCATTAGTGTTGTAAAAACGGCGCCAAAGACATGCAAAAAGTGTCGCAAGCCCCGCACATGTTGTGAGGGGTACATTCCGGAATGGAGAAACCTTATAGAAAGGATTCACAATGATGGCAGCAATAAAGACTTCCTGGTCGCACTGTTCCCAGCGGCACTCAATGCTTGCAAGAACAGCTGTATGAGCTGCCAGATCAGTGCTGTTGTCGATCTTGGAGTAGCTGAAAGTGCAGAAAACCAAATGATATTGCAACATTTTCAGGGTCTTGCCTGGGCTGCTTGATGAACATTCATCATGAGGGAAATTGGCTCCAGCAATGTTTTCCATCTACAGAGAGCATTGGTTCCGATTTTTACATTTATTTTTGAACCGTACCGTGCCAATGCATGCCAAAATGTTGCGTTTTTGATTGTTGCAATGGCTGTTTGAGTCTTTCTGCGTGAGCATGCATCTCCACCTGATATCAAATGAGCTTCATGCTTCGTTACGAGCAATTTGATGGCAGGACAAAGCTCAAGGAGGCGGCGATAGGCAAGATAATGAGACATCCAACACGTCAGCACTGCCCTGAGAACTGCGAGCATCTTTCCGATTGTCGCCATCTGTATTTCGCAGAGGATGGCGAGCACACGTGTCTTGCTGCATAGCCACATAATTAGTTCTTGCACCATGTCTTCATAGATCCCATAGTCGTCTTTGACCTTGAAAAGGTCACCAACGATGAGATTCCACTGTTGTTGTGTCATTCATAATCAGCAAGTGTGACGAATCACGAAAATCACCATACCTGATGAGCCAAGCAATTAGGAACAACAATGTGGATTAGGAACAACAATGTGGGGTAGCTGCTCTTGAAGCAGACACTGAGCTTTTTGTGATTCACCGGATGCGTCCATGGTGCAAGCGATAACACTTGCCCCCCACTCAGACTCAATCCTGCTGATTGCATCTAACATTTGCTTGAGAAGTTCTTTGGCAGTGTGAGGGTCCATCGAAGCATTGTGAACTTTAATTGTGTGCAGCTAAATAGACAATTAGTAAAATGATTGATGGTCTCCACAGTTATATTTACCTTTCGGTGAGCAGTCATCATAAACCCCAGGAGGTGATGGTGATTTTCACCAGTCCAACCGTCACATTGCAATGTTGCATCAGCACCTTGACATTCTTCTTTAGCGGTACCTTTGAGTATATTGAGGGCATGGGGTAGGACACGCTGCGTCAAGACTTTTGCAGAGGGAATTTTCGCTCTTGGGAGAAAACAGTCACATAATACTTTCCATTTGTGGTTCTCAACCCACCGCAGCGGCAAACCAGCGCTTGCGGTGAGTCTTGCAAGCCTGATTTCCCAATCAGCTTGATCTGAAGTCGCCCAAGCTTGGTCACCAAAGCCGTTAAGTTGGTTGCCCAGTGCTATGGGGGAGAGAGGTGGAAGTGAGCCAGAAGCAGAGTGATATTGACTGGATTGGATTAGATGTTGGTGCTTTGGATGGGATGGTAATGAGACTTCCAAGAGGGCAGGACTTGGACTGACTGACAGAGAGTCGCGGTAAAGGCTACTGGAAGAACTCAAGGCTGTGTCAGCCTCAGGAATTAGCAATGCGGGAAAACTCAGACGTGCAGACTGCATAGTCGATGACGTATTGAGATTTGGTGTGCATGGTGGGCTGGCAGTGAGAATGATTGGAGGTATAGCACTGAGATGTGCTGGAGTTAGGACCCGAGCACCTTTTCGTGGTGAATATGATTGGTGGTATTCAAGCCGTGCTTGCGAACGGATATCCTCAGAGTGCAATGTGCAATCATGCAAGTGACATAATAGTGTCGTCGGCCGACTGATTAACCAGGTGTGTTGGGGATCATTCTGGCCACTGGCCCAAACTAGTACTCCAAGTTAGTAAAAGAAAGCTATAAAATAGGCTTGCGTATGAGTGCCTGCGATCGCCACTTCATCCCTCGGTGCATCTCACTGGCCTGCGTGAACCTGCTGCTCGTCTATTGCCTGCTCATGTGCAACACGTTGCTCATAGAGCCTTGCACACACCACCTTTGCCTTTCTGCTGACCATCTAAGCTGGGTCTTTGACAGCATAACCTGGGTGCTCCACGAAATGATCCCACCACCATCCTCGGTTTGACTTTGATCTCTTGCTGATCTTCGCCATCGAGTTAGCGTGTCGAAAGTGGGGAGTCCATCTTCGAGTTATAAGCCTTGAAGCGTGCCCTTGAACCGAACACACGAAAACCATGCGTTTATGTGAGTAATGATATGTGAAGCCGCACAAGGATAATGTCTAATCAAAGATTCTAGCATTGACCAGATATAGTATAGTTCATTATAGTAGGACCAGGAAACTCCTCAAAATCGTGTTCAGATGAACATCGATAAACTTCGCCAGCTTTCCCACGAAATCCGGTCAGTGACCGGCAGAACACTGACCATGCGGCTGTGTTTAGCAGGCTTAAGCGAGTTTGTTGAAGTTTTAGCCGACGTTCAAAATCTAACCTGAGTCCCACTAATGTGTGGAGCAGAATGTGGCAGAATTCAAGGTGTGTAAACCTCACGGCGGGGTTAACAACTGATTTCTGACAATTTCTGCCTATGCGCGTCCCTTGCCACAAGTACTGGCAGATTCCAGAACATAGTTCTTCCAGGTTTTGCCAGTTCTGCCGGCGGAACTTCTTCCAAACAGTCCTGTCCACAACACCATCATGATCCGTCCAACTTGGACATCCCCTTCAACAGATTTGGCAGTTTGTTTCAAGTGGTGAATGTAGTAACTGACAGATCTAACAGGTAAATTTCAACTAGTTATCGTCACCACCTCACCACCGGTTTAGCAGGTGAATCGGACAATTCCCCAGCTCGACTAGTGATTCTAACCTCCTTCCAGTTATATAGACGAGAGTACAAGAGTCAAGAGAGCATCATTACTCCTGTTGGTTGTGTATGAACCCTATCTTACTATTTTTACGGGTGATCACTGATCACTGCTATTACAGAGTCTTGGTCATCGCTGCTTCTACAGGCCTACTAGCCACAGAACTTCCGCACACATCGAGCGACGTCGTTTCTAACCAATTCCTTCTATTTGTCTTCATCTCATCCTTCTTCGTACCATATACAGTCCGCTACTTGCCAACCCGCTTCATAAGATCTACCGAACTTGGGGCCTGAGTTATTCCACGAGGACGCCACCTTTCTTTGCAGACAAACAGAACCACCCTACATAACGAGCGGTGTTCTTTTCTAGCTTGAATCGATCAGCAGTTGCGGAACAGGTACCAGTATGCTTATATCACATACCCAGCGAAAATAAATATTCCCCGTACTCGCATTCAGTGGCGAACTGAGTTGCTCTCGGTGTGTATCCTGCTTCCATGCTATTGACCAACTTCTTACCTCTGTTCGAGCCCTTTTTGATTGTACTAAATCTGGCTCAATCTTTGACAGCACGAATTCACAAGACCATACCATTCGTGTTGTTGACCACCAAATAATGTGAAATTCCTCTCCTAACCCGAGCATGCCTTTACCATTTGAATTGCAAGACATTTCATAGTTCTGTATATCAGGAACTCAGTTTTTCCGACCAACTTCACCCCTTAGAAATTGATTCGAAATTGCAACCGGCAATAATGATGTGGCGGTCCTTCTTCGCACATGCTCATCTTATGCGTGTTCCTGCTACCAGTTTCTCAAAGATATTGATTCAGACAATCCACATCGTTTCAAGCTCCGTTGCTATTCTAGTATAAGCACTCGTCCTCGAGGAGTCATTCCTAAGGCATTAACATCACTCACCTGTTTCTGAGCTTCCCTGACCACTATGCACACCTCATTCTTCACCAGACTCGCTGCGCTTGCTGCACTTGCCTCTGTTGTTGTTGGTCAGTAATCCTCTTCCTCGATGCTCTATTATGCTCATGTTTATTACTGGGTAACGTCTAGCACTCCCTTCTGATTGTACCCGCAAGATAACAATTAAAGCTGGAGAGACATGTGCCACAATCTCCGCTACACACGAAGTCTCGACGTATGTGCAATCATTACTATCCCTAACATTCATTTGACATTGAACGTATGCACAGATACCAGCTGATGAAAGTGAACACCGGCATCATTAACACCGCTTGTGATCTGCATGTCGGAGAAGTAAGATATGTTTACGTTTGAAGGACACTTGGACTCATTGGTCATAGGAATTATGCCTTGGAATTAAAGACAAAGACTGCGTTGACATCCACGTCGTGAAGACCCACGAGGATTGCACCGAAATTGCCAAAGAAGCTGGTATCCCGCTGTCCACATTGTATGCGAACAACCCAAACGTAAAGAAGGGCTGCAGTAATCTATATGCCAACGAGGTACGTATAGCATGTGGTTTATGGATGTCATTGCTGATGATGAAAATTTAGGTTCTCTGCACTTCGAAGCAAATTTACTCCTACTAGGTGGTGTGTACCAAGAGTTCGTGTTTTAATTGCAGTACGCGCAATTCTACACGGAATCCTCAAGTATGTTGCATATGTCCTCCCCGACATATCGCACATGAATTAGTTCTCGTGCCATGACCGAATTTGTAGTAGTATTCAACACTTGTTTTGCAATGCAATCCTTGTTCCAACAGTCAAATCACCACGGAAAATTCTACAATGCACCATAATGATTCTACCCTCAGGATGTACTGGACTTCTGTGTCGCGTGCATATCCTGAGGCATGAGGACTGTATGTCACAACATTCCTCTAATTTTGACATTGTCGCGTAGGGCACGTGTGTCTGGACTACCAGCCACTATCTTGATACCTCCGACTCCTCTCATATTTCCATCTTTACTGGGCGTGTGATTCTTTCCGAATCTTGTGTGGCTTATTGGCACATATACATGGCCTTTGCGACTCTCTTGATTCTACCCTAATCACTTGACTTACCCTGTGGGACATTGTCGAAGTGCTTATCAATATAATATCGGAGCGCGCAGTCATCGTGGTAAACGCTCAGAAGCATTACATTGGCTTCGCCCAGACTGAAATGGTATGGTTTAATCCTGTTTGCTTCCGGGTGATGTATGCCGCAGCCATTTTACAAACCCTCTCCGGCTGCATCAGCACCTTACAGCACTGTCCCATCTTACAATGACCACACCTTCTCGAGTTCGATCAGCATGGCTGTACATCCAGTTTTCTAGCAACATCATCGTATCTGATATGGTCTTGACTTCGGCAGTACATGCGCGCCCTATTAGGCAGGACGTAGCGGTAAGCAATGAAGTAACGACTGCAGCTGCGGTAGAAATTAGACCCATGTGAGAGGCCCCAGAAAGGCAAGCCGTCGAGCAAGGCTGATATCAGAACGTGGATGCAGCCTTTCAAACCATGGAGGTCTGAGAGTGAACTGCCTCGTGCCTTTGGCGTCTAACGAGGTATGTGAATGTTATGAAGCAGCACAAAACCGAGCAGCACACACTCACCTCTGTACCTTACAGCAAATTGTAGATATAATCAAATTTGACGGTCGATCATGTAGAGCCGCAAAGTACGAAGCTCTAGGCTGAACGAGTTCGAAGGGGAAGAGAGATGATAGTAGACAGAGTCGAGTAGTGCGAGAATCGTAGAGTCAAAGCGTTGATGCGAAACTTGGGTCGGACAGAACGTTGGATCAGAACTGAGGGTCAATTCGATAGGTTAAAAGTAAGCGTACATGCGCACCTAAATACAAGTTTGAGTGGCTCGAGTGGCTCGCGTCATCGTACGAGTGGTTTGCGAGACGATGAAAGAAAAGCTAAAGGATAAAGGGAAGAGACGTCATGCAACGAGGCGTGATGATAGTGAAAGCGTGAAAGAAAATGTGAAACGTTATGAGTATCGTAAGGGAATGTATCCGATGTCATACCGGATGCGAGAAGTGAAAGCTTCCCGCACCACGTGTATGCGATGCGGACTCTTTGCTCTGCGAGGAGATCGATGGGCTGGGCGTAGAGGAATGGGGACCCTTACAATCAAATCAAAAATACGCCATAGCAGAGGTAGTTGTGCTCTTCTTGGATGGACGTCGAGAAGTTTGAAGGGGATCAGGATTCAGCCAGCCTCATGGCTATGCATTTAGTGATACAGCTGAGCGTTGTGAAGAACATCAAGCACACACACTTCTGTACTTGAGCGAGACACGCAGTCTCTACAAGCACACCTCAACGGCGCGCAATTGAACTTTATGATCAAGATCAGGATGACGGAAAAGGCAGAGCAGCCCGCCATTCCAAGCACCCCTCCTGTTCGGGTTTTTGAAGTTCATGAAGATGCCATATTTGCAGTCGCAGTCTTCCCTGGTAAGTAACCGGGGTATGGTGATGGTCTTACGAATGTTTGTTGACACCTGTTAGGATTGGAAGCTGTTGATCAACACAGCCAAACACCTTCTTACGGAACACTGTGATCACTTCTATTACAGTCTCGGCCATGGCTGCTACCATAGCCTGCCCACACACACCGAACGACATTGGTTCTAAGTAATGCTTTCTATGTGTCTCCATATCATCGTTCCCTGTACCAGATACAGTCCGGACTCCGCTACTTGCAAATCCGCGTCATAAGATCACACTTACTTGGGCTTCAGTTGTCCCACGAGGACCTAGAAGTAACCCATCTTTGCAGACAAACAGGGAACTTGAACCACCCTACATAACGAGCGTTGTTCTTTTCTAGCTGGAATCGGTCGGCAGTTTCAGAACGGGTGCCAGCACGCTTATATCATATACTTACCCGGCGAACATAAATATCCCGCGTGCTCTCATTCAGTGGCGAACTGAGTTGCTCTCGGTGCGTCCCCAGCTTCCGTACTATTGGCCGACTTCTTATCTCTGTTCTAGGTCCTTTTTATTGTACCAGATCTGGCTCAATCTTTGACAGCATGAATGCACGAGACTATACTATTCGTGCTGTTGACCACCAAAAAATGTCAAATTCCTCTCCTAATCCGAGCATGCCTTGACCATTTGAATTACGAGGTATTTTATTCCTCGCGTCCGAAGAAACGGTCTTCGAAGTCAGCATCGTGGAGTGCGTTGCAAACTCCGTGAGCATCCTTCATACAGTCCTTGTGTAACGCGATCATTCCGCTCGCATAAATTGTTGAAGCAAGAGAAGGAAATGTTTGAGGCAACCAGGCAAGTTGGACGTCGATTCATAGTTTCATATATCCGGAACTCAGTTCTTCCGACTAACTTCATCTTTTAGAAATCTATTCGAAATTGCAACCGGCGGTAATGAGGTGGTGGTCCTTCTTCGCACATACTCATCGTGTGCGTCTCCCTGCTCCCGTTTCTCAAAGATATTGATTCAGACAATCCACATCGTTTCAAGCTCCGTTTCTATTCTAGTACAAGTACTCGTCCTCGAAGAGTCATTCCTAAGGCATTAGCGTCATTCACCTGTTTCTGAGCTTCCCTGACCAGCATGCACACCTCATTCTTCACCAGACTCGCTGCGCTTTCTGCCATTGCCTCACTTGCTGTTGGTCAGCAATGGTCTTCTTCGACGCTCCATTATGCTTATGTTTATTACTGGGTAACGTCTAGCACTCCCCTCTGGTTGTGACCGCAAGGTAACGATTAAAGCTGGAGATACATGTGCCACAATCTCCGCTGCACACAAAGTCTCAACGTATGTGCCATCGTTATCCCTGACATTCATTCAACATTGCACGTATGCCACAGATACCAGCTGATGAAAGTTAACACCGGCGTCATTAACACCGCTTGTGATCTGCATGTCGGAGAAGTAAGAGATGTTTACGTCTGAAGGACGCTTGGACTCATTTGTCATAGGAAATATGCCTTGCAATTAAAGGCCAAGACTGCACTGCCGTCCACGTCGTGAAGTATGGCGACGTATGCAACGCGATCGTCAACGAGGCTGGTATCTCGCTCAGCACATTGTATGCGAACAACCCAAACATAAACGAGGGCTGCACTAACCTATATCCCGACGAGGTATATATAACATGTGGTTTATGGATGCCATTGCTGATGACGAAATTTTAGGTTCTCTGCACTTCGAGCCACATTTACTACTAGATCGTGTGTCCCAAGAATTCGTATTTTAATTGCAGTACACGCAATTCTACACGGAATCCTCAAGTATGTTGCATATAGCCTAAATATCACACATGACCGTTTTTTTTTTCAAAATCCAAGTAGTTCTCGTGCCAGACTGTGTTTGTAGTAGTGTTCGACACTAGTTTTGCAATACAACCCTCCAGAGACAGTCAAATCGCCACGGAAAATTCTGCAATGCATCATAATTATTCTGCCCTCAGGATGTACTGGATTTCTGGGTCAAGTGCATACCCCGAGGCATGAGAACTGTGTGTCATAACACTCCTCTAATTTAACATTGTCGCGTAGGGCACGTGGGTTTGGACTACCGGCCGTGATCTTGATACTAGCCCACACCCGTTGTGCCTTCGGCACATGTCTACATATTATTTATTTGTATTAAATCTTACATTTACAAAATACTATATACTTTTATTTTAGTTCTGAGGACAGAGACACGGGAGAATTTTTTGGGAAGGGCAAGAGTCAACAGCAAGACACAAACAGTGAGACTGAAGTTTACCTGGGACACTGGCTTGCAATCCCGTGGCCTCGTTGACTCTTGCCCTTCCCAAAAATTCTCCCGTGTCTCTGTCCTATTTTCTGCTTTCCTATCTCCCATTCTCCCATTCTCCTGTTCTCCTGTTCTCCTGTTCTCCCATCCTCCTGTCCTCCTCCTCCCATCTCCCCATTCACCCCATTTCTCCATTCTCCACCTTCCCATTCCCATGTTTACCCATTGCCCATTTTTCCTATCTTTATATTTTCGCATTTTTCGCATTTTTCACATTTTTCTATTTGCTTGGTGTTCCTCCCCTTGTTGTGGCTCAATTTTGACATATAACCAATTTTGGACAGTGAGGTCGTATAGTAAGGGAGAACGGTTTTTGGAAATTCAAACTCCGATTGACAGAACCACGTGAAATTTCTAAATCAAGGTTTAAGCGAGCTAAGCGTTCCCATGTGGCCTTAGCGAAATACGCGTCTCCCACACACAGCCACAAAACCAGTCTCCCTTTCTTCTTAGATTTTTGACTCCTCAGATTTCCATCTTTACTGGGTGTGATTTTTTCAGAATCTCATGGCCTCGTATGGCTTATTGGCACGTGCACGTGGCCTTTGTGACTCTCTTGACTCTGCCCTAATCACTTGACCTCTCTTATGGGACATGGTCATAACGCCTTTCAATATAATATTGGAGTGCTGTAATCACTCAGAATTATTACATTGGCTTTGCCCAGACTGAAATGGTATTCATTAATCCTTGCATCAGGTTTATTTCCAGGTAATGCACGCTGCA